CACCGACTTCGAAATGCACTAAAAAGTATAAAATAATTTCTATTTCCTAATGAAGTAATTTCTATTTCATTCAATCATACAATTACGTAACAGATATGAATGAAACCTATTTACTCGTTAGGTATTATATTAAATACATTTCAACCTTTTCGGAGGCGGCGCAAAATTAAAAGATTATTTTGAATAGTTTATTTAATTTTGCGCCGCCTCCGAAAAGGTTGAAATGTATTTAATATAATACCTAACGAGTAAATAGGTTTCATTCATATCTGTTACGTAATTGTATGATTGAATGAAATAGAAATTACTTCATTAGGAAATAGAAATTATTTTATACTTTTTAGTGCATTTCGAAGTCGGTGTATTTTTTTTTTTAAATTATTTTATCATTTTGTTTCTTATAATTGATCTATGAATTTATGTTTCGTATATGTAATTTTGGGAACGATACCTGTTCATGTTAATAATATGGCCTTCCACGTTCGCTTCCCTCATTGCAAGTACAGCTTGCTTTGTGCATTCCATTAATCCCATCACATTAATGTTCATTACAAGCTCCCAATCACTTCTTGAAGTCTCTAAAAAAGAGTACTTAAGTAGTGCTAAATAAAGTCGTATATGGATATTCTTTTTAGAGTTATTGAGGAAAGTACGTATGAGTTTAGATATCAAAAAAGTAGATGAGAAGATATTAAAGAAGTTTCTCAATGATAGTTTTACCATGGTACATCTTTTTCCAGATATTGGACTCAAAGTATCAAAATTGTATATTTTCAAAATTCCGCGAAATTTTTAAGTTCTAAAATTCCAAAGGCTCAAAGTTTTGTCATTTTAAAAATTAAACAATCCACTACTCCAAAATTTCGAAATTCCAAAATTCCAAAATTCCAAAATTCCAAATTAACAAATTTTCAAAATTCCAAAATTCTAAATCTCCAAATTTTTAAATTTCCAAATCTCCAAAATTCCAAATTTCGAAAATTTAAAAATTCCAAATTTCCAAATTTCCAAATTTCCAAATTTTCAAAATTCCAAAATTCTAAACCCCAAATTTATAAATTCCAAATCTCAAAAATTCCAAATTTCGAAAATTCTAAACTTCTAAATTTCCAAATTTTCAAAATTCCAAATCTCCAAATCTCCAAAATTCCAAATTTCGAAAATTCTAAAATTCTAAATTTCTAAAATTCTAAAATTCTAAAATTCTAAATTTCCAAATTTCCAAATTTTCAAAATTCCAAAATTCTAAATCTCCAAATTTTCAAAATTCCAAATTTCGAAAATTCGAAAATTCCAAATTTCCAAAATTCTAAATCAAATTTTTAAAATTCCAAATCTCCAAAATTCCAACTTTCGAAAATTCCAAATTTCTAAATTTCCAAATCTCCAAAATACCATGTATCAAAAAATGTTGAACATCTGTAGCTTCCAATGGCCTAAATACAATCCTCATCAATTCTACGTGAAGTTTTATTTTAATTTCATTTTTATTCTAACAAGTTTAATTACATTTTAAGTTTGAAAATTAATTAGAATATATAAAACCCACCAATAAGGGTGCCAGCAGTAACCAATCCAGCATTATTAACTAAAACCTGTACAGTACCAAAATCTGATTTAATTTTTGCAAAAGCATCGATTACTTCTAGTTCTTTCGTTACATCACACTTAAGTGCATGAAAGTTTTTTTTTTGGTCCTCATGTTCCATGTGCATCTAATAAAATCATAAAATTAATATTACAACAATTTGTTACAAAATTAACTAGATAAATTAAAGTATAACGTGCACAAAATTGTCACAAATTATTTTGTACTTTTTCAAAACTTTAGTATTATAAATTTTGTTTACGATATATTAAAATATTAAAAAATAAGAAACAGCAATCTTAAGTATTTAGAGTGTATTTAAGTATTATTATAATTTTTATTATTATTATTATTATTATTATTATACTTCAGTATTATTAAGTATTATTATTTAAGAATTAAGTATTTGGTATGGAATTTAGAAATGTGAATTTACCTCCATTTCTTGTTTCCTTCGGGCTAGACCGATCACGGTCATTCCTTTTTGTAAAAATGATTTAGCTATTGCTAAACCGATGCCAGACGAAGCGCCTGTAACTACAGCGATCTTTCTGTGCCAGCGATACATTATTACCTAATATTTTCAATTTTTCGACTTATGAAATTTCTAGTTCTTTAAATTTCTTAATTTTTAGTTCTTGTATTCTATAATTGTCCGACTTCGCTATTAAAAACTTTTGAATGAACTATTTCAATTTTATGATCGTCCAGTTTTTTCAGATTTTCTTTTACTTGGTTTTCAAATTTTTTAATTTCCACAATTTACAATTTTTTTAGTTTTCTAATTTTCAAATTTTTCAATTTGTAAGACTGTCGACTTTTCAGTTTTCTAAATTTTAATTTTTCTATTTTCAAGTTTTCCAATTTTTCAGTTCCTTAATTTTTCAAATTTTCAATTTTAAAAGTCTGACAGTTTTCAAGATTTTCGACTTTTCAGATTCCTGAGACTCTTTTCAGAATTTTCAGAAAGAAAAAAATTTTAACTTTTTTATTCAGATTTTTAAAAGCCTATAACAGTTTAATTTTTTAATTTTAACTTTTTTATTAAAAATGTCACACTTTCAATTCTACTGTGGCCCAGTTTTTCTAGTTCCTCGGTTCCCTAATCTTGCAAACTTTAATTAATTATTATTAATTTTTCAGTAACTCCTATTATTATCTATTAATCTTTCAATTTTTCTATTTAAAAATAATAAAATCTTCAAGACTTTTAATCTTTCAATACACAAATTTTCAAATTTTACAATCTACAAGATTTTTAATTTTTCAATTTTTCAATTTAAAAATGAGAATTTGCAATCCTTCAATTTTTCAACTTCTCAACCTTAAAATCTTTCAATTACACAATTGAACTTTTACTCCAAATTTCTAATCACGAATTTATCAATTTTCTAATTTGATAAATAATAGAAGCACAAAGAAACGATGCTCTAACCATTAAAGCTCTTCATATACTAAACTCATAATTTGAATATCGTCCTGGTTTAAATACTGTTCTGATTTAAATATTCCAAAATGTTTAAAACATGTACGATATCCGAAAGTAGCTCGTCACCGTTAATTATTATCGGCGAACAGTATGAGTAAGAAGTGGCATGATTAAGTAAAAAAAATTGCAATTTAAGTGTAATATAAGTGTAATTATAAGGTAAGGAGAGATGGGTAGCTAATGTTTGCAGATACAGTGAATGATAGATCTTTGTTGGTGGGTATTAAATGATCGCAAGTCTGAAAGGAGATCGTGCGTGGGTGAATGAACTTGATGCGTTAGAGAAGGGAAGAGAAATCTACGAACGGGAAATCGGAGTAACTCGTCTTTCATTTGCGTAACACCAGTGTGTCCGAATGTACGCCCAAAATGTATAAACTGTTCCATAAGATAATTTGACTTTTTCATATCCAGAAGTTATTCAATTATTTTGTTCCAGGCAGACTAGTTTGTAGATGTACTTTTGTTATATGGAATATGTGTGAGAGTCACTTGTAATTCGATTATGTGAGTGCTGGTTCCAATGTTTTATAGAGATTTGGTATTAAAATTCTAAAGTTGTGGGGTTTTAAGATTTCGAGGTTTTTAAATTTCGAGGGGCAAAGTTTCGAGGTTTCTAAATTTCGAGGGGCAAAGTTTCGTGGTTTCAATTTTTCAATTTTTCAATTTTTCAATTTTTCAATTTTTCAATTTTTCAATTTTTCAATTTTTCAATTTTTCAATTTTTCAATTTTTCAATTTTTCAATTTTTCAATTTTTCAATTTTTCAATTTTTCAATTTTTCAATTTTTCAATTTTTCAATTTTTCAATTTTTCAATTTTTCAATTTTTCAATTTTTCAATTTTTCAATTTTTCAATTTTTCAATTTTTCAATTTTTCAATTTTTCAATTTTTCAATTTTTCAATTTTTCAATTTTTCAATTTTTCAATTTTTCAATTTTTCAATTTTTCAATTTTTCAATTTTTCAATTTTTCAATTTTTCAATTTTTCAATTTTTCAATTTTTCAATTTTTCAATTTTTCAATTTTTCAATTTTTCAATTTTTCAATTTTTCAATTTTTCAATTTTTCAATTTTCTAGTTTTCTAATTTTCTAATTTTCCAAGTTCCAAGTTTCAAGTTTTCAAGTTTCGAATTTTCCAAGTTTCTGAGTTCCCAATTTTCCAAGTTTCAAAGTTCCAAAGTCCCAATATCCCAAAGTCCCAATACCCCAAAGTCCCAATACCCCAAAGTATCAATACCCCAAAGTCCCAATACCCTAAAGTCACAATATCCCAAAGTCCCAATATTCCAAAGTCCCAATATCCCAAACTTCCAAAAGTCCCAAAGCCTCAAAGTTTCAATAACTTAAAAGTGCCAAAATTGCAAAACTCCTCCGCCGAAAATGTCCAAACACCCAAAGTCCCACAACATCTACTCAAACTCCCAATACTCTATAATTAAAAAATCCAAAACTGACAAAATACCAAGAACTCAAAACGATATTCCAAACAGTCGCAGAATAAGTATCACACGTCGTTTCACAAGGACTATCTCATTGTACGAAACAGTTCATCTGATCGTTGATGTACCCACTTCCTGGTTTCACTACAATGGAGTAACTCTTGTCTAAATCCGGCACACGGAATACAAGTTTTTTACTTGAAAATTTGTGCTCGTGGAAATGATAAATTATGTAGGACTTCCGTTCTCCCTTTTTCTGTTTCTGTGATTTACCTTTGTCGAACCAGTCCCGTATTCCCATATATGGCCACCGCTTTCTAATTTCTAACCTCGAATTTTTTGACAAACCAGAAATCGTGCGTCAACGAATTTCTTATACAATTAAATAACGAGTTTCTTAAACTGGTTGTTTATTAGTTAATTACAAAGAACACGCGATTAAGATTACAAAATATCTTGTAATCTCATAATCTTCAGATCGGATTGTCTGTTTTCCATATTATGGCGTTCGGTTCTCACGTACGCGATGCATAACAATCGCTCGAGCGATTCTATCTTATCCATCTAATCGAGGGAATTCTGATTGAATTCAATCGAATTCGAATTAAATCGAACGTGAAAAATCAACCACAAGTTTGCTAAGCGATTACATTATTATGTAACAGGATTTTCGTAAAAATTTTGTGAATTATGTTTCAAAGTGGGGCGTCCATTTTGTTTCAGGATGATCATTGGTACATCTTCTTTTTGTTGTGTCGTGAGGCAATTGCTCAGTTTAACTACGCTATTTATTCTTACGAGAGATTTTGCAACGATATTAGAAAAGAGTGTGGGAAAGAGGAGTTCAATACTTGACGTTAATTAATCCGAGTTCTTAATTGCGCGATGTTCTATAGCTGTAGGGAAGATCTGCCACATTGTATTTTGAGAGGTTCTATGTTATCGAACTCCTCACGTGCTCTGACTCGTAATAAATAATTTATGATAATTATATTGGCATTAGTAAGTAATTTATTAATTAATGAATTATGGAAGCTAATTTTTCGCAATTTTGTTAATTAATTTGTGGCATATTATAGTGCTTGAATTCTGCTAATGGTACTTGTAGTAAATTGGTGTTCATGGTGTGTTAATATTATATATTCATAGTATGTTAATAGTAAGTTTAATAGTAATTTTACTAGCAATAGTAAGTTAATAAATTATGGAAGTTAATTTTGTGCAATTTTCTAAATTAGTAAATTAGTTTGTGACATATTATAGTGTTTGAAGTCTGCTAATAGCACTTGCAATAAATTGGTAGTTCTTAGTGTGTTAATATTACATATTCATAGTATGTTAATAGTACTTATTATAAGTTAATAGTATTTTAATAGTAAGTTGGTAAATAGCACTAGTAAGTTATGATATTTTCAATGAAATTGAGTTATATATTCTAACAAATTATAGTATATTATTATAGTACGAGTATGTACTTATAATGTGAACTACTTAAGCTAATAATACTTACTTACAATGAAATAATACTAATACCATAATTAAGTTTCATATTGTAGTAACTCCAGAATACTTGAAGTAAATTAATAATTTCCATAGTGTCTCAATAGTACTGAAATATTAATACTATTCATATTAATAATCACATGTGACATTAACATATCAGTACCTGGAATATCTCAATACTACTTTAATAAAAATTATTAATTAATACAATTTCCTACAAAATCAAACTGCGTATTTTAATAAATTGATATTGACATATGATAAGTTAATATTAGTACAAAATTATGACATGGATTTATTAACTTAATATTATTGAATTTTAACTTTCATAGGAATGGTAGATGAGTTTCGAAAGGGAACGGATGATCGCACGGTAACAGGATAAATCAAGGAAAAACAAAAATAAAAGTGTTCGAGTTTCATAACTTACTATGTGTATACCACATTGCGTTGTACCTCACGTTTTCGAGATCACGATTCTCCTATAACGTGATCACGAACGCGAGACAGATTAGTTCTTACGTCAGTAATTGAATCGATTTGATTCCTCGCTACTGGTACACTTTCAGTGTAAATTATTACTAATTCGTGTTTTTATAATATTAATATTTTTTTTTAATTTGATATTTACTGTTTTTAATATTTTTTGCTATTTTAATATTAATTGTTATATTTTTAATACTTTTTGTTACTTTAATAGTTAACATTATCTGATACTTAAATTGCTTCAGAATAAATTGATAACTTCGAAATAATAAATACTTAAATATTTTTGTAAATAATAAATACTTGAATATATTTTCTGTCTAATTAAATAATCAATAAATAGTTTTTAAGATAATAAACACTTAAACAAATACTTATATACTTAAATAGCAAATACTTCAATAATAAATGTTTAAATAATAATAAATACTTAAATAATAACAAATACTTATATAATAAATAGTTAAATAATAATAAAAATATAGTTGCTCAATGCTAGTTAGATACTAATGATTAAGTACTTAATACTAGATAAATGTTAATGCACAAATACTTCCAGCTAATTGAATATTTTAATTAATATTGCTTAGTACCTTTAGGTGTTTAATTACGTACTGCGTTAAATCTTAAATGCTTAACATTTAAGACACTGAAAACTAATATTAATGAAACATTAATTATTCATCAATTTATTAATTTGCTATTTTGCTAATTGACCCATTTATTAATTTGCAAATTTTCTTATTTGTTAATTTGGTAATTTGGCAATTTGCTAGATTGGTAATTTACTAATGCACTATTGTACTGATTTACTGATTTACTGATTTACTGATTTACTGATTTACTGATTTACTGATTTACTGATTTACTGATTTACTGATTTACTGATTTACTGATTTACTGATTTACTGATTTACTGATTTACTGATTTACTGATTTACTGATTTACTGATTTACTGATTTACTGATTTACTGATTTACTGATTTACTGATTTACTGATTTACTGATTTACTGATTTACTGATTTACTGATTTACTGATTTACTGATTTACTGATTTACTGATTTACTGATTTACTGATTTACTGATTTACTGATTTACTGATTTACTGATTTACTGATTTACTGATTTACTGATTTACTGATTTACTGATTTACTGATTTACTGATTTACTGATTTACTGATTTACTGATTTACTGATTTACTGATTTACTGATTTACTCTAATTTACTAATTTACTAATTTACTAATTTACTAATTTACTAATTTACTAATTTACTAATTTACTAATTTACTAATTTACTAATTTACTAATTTACTAATTTACTAATTTACTAATTTACTAATTTACTAATTTACTAATTTACTAATTTACTAATTTACTAATTTACTAATTTACTAATTTACTAATTTACTAATTTACTAATTTACTAATTTACTAATTTACTAATTTACTAATTTACTAATTTACTAATTTACTAATTTACTAATTTACTAATTTACTAATTTACTAATTTACTAATTTACTAATTTACTAATTTACTAATTTACTAATTTACTAATTTACTAATTTACTAATTTACTAATTTACTAATTTACTAATTTACTAATTTACTAATTTACTAATTTACTAATTTACTAATTTACTAATTTACTAATTTACTAATTTACTAATTTACTAATTTACTAATTTACTAATTTACTAATTTACTAATTTACTAATTTACTAATTTACTAATTTACTAATTTACTAATTTACTAATTTACTAATTTACTAATTTACTAATTTACTAATTTACTAATTTACTAATTTACTAATTTACTAATTTACTAATTTACTAATTTACTAATTTACTAATTTACTAATTTACTAATTTACTAATTTACTAATTTACTAATTTACTAATTTACTAATTTACTAATTTACTAATTTACTAATTTACTAATTTACTAATTTACTAATTTACTAATTTACTAATTTACTAATTTACTAATTTACTAATTTACTAATTTACTAATTTACTAATTTACTAATTTACTAATTTACTAATTTACTAATTTACTAATTTACTAATTTACTAATTTACTAATTTACTAATTTACTAATTTACTAATTTACTAATTTACTAATTTACTAATTTACTAATTTACTAATTTACTAATTTACTAATTTACTAATTTACTAATTTACTAATTTACTAATTTACTAATTTACTAATTTACTAATTTACTAATTTACTAATTTACTAATTTACTAATTTACTAATTTACTAATTTACTAATTTACTAATTTACTAATTTACTAATTTACTAATTTACTAATTTACTAATTTACTAATTTACTAATTTACTAATTTACTAATTTACTAATTTACTAATTTACTAATTTACTAATTTACTAATTTACTAATTTACTAATTTACTAATTTACTAATTTACTAATTTACTAATTTACTAATTTACTAATTTACTAATTTACTAATTTACTAATTTACTAATTTACTAATTTACTAATTTACTAATTTACTAATTTACTAATTTACTAATTTACTAATTTACTAATTTACTAATTTACTAATTTACTAATTTACTAATTTACTAATTTACTAATTTACTAATTTACTAATTTACTAATTTACTACTATACTAGTTTACTAGGTTACTAGTTTTCGTAAGTTACTAAGTTCCTAATTTTTCAGTATACTCGTTTACTAGTCTTCTAATTTACTAGTCTTCTAATTTACTATTTTGCTAATTTACGACTTTACGGATTTACTAATTTTGTAATTGAATTATGTACTAATTTACTGATTTATTGATTTACTGATATCATGGTATAATGATTTAATGGCTTACTAGTTTTCTAATGTACTAATTACAAGATTGAATACCAATGTTTACGTACATAATACTAGTAAAACACATAATCAATGTTCTTAACAGTAATCAACTATTTTATTTATCTTACTTGAAGTAATTGCTACTTCTAAGTACAGATGCCTAACTAAATACCTGACCAATACCTGAGTATTGGTACTCAACAACAACTAAAAACCCTCTTTCAAATAATGAATATTAATTACAAACTCATACATCCAACTACTGATCAAATACCCTACTTGAAAATACTTGTAAATGCAGTAATTCTCCAAGGTCTTAATTCTGCCCTCAATTAAGAAAATTTTGAGCTCAATTAATGAAGGACTTTCCATTCACAAGTATCAGTGGTCAACCGTCATTGACTCAAGCTATCGATTACAGCGTGGATCAGTCTTATTCGACAGAGTAAGAAGGCGGTGGCACATGAAAGAAGCAAATTAAGAAAAAGAGGAAGAAGAGGGACGGGATGCAAACTTATCTTGTTCTACTAGTGAAAGTACTTTAAACTCAAATCACGTGCTTCAGTTCTCTCAGGTATATCACCAGGTGAACTCTTACCGACGAGTTCAGTATCATCTTCTCCATCCTTTAATCCCTTAAGTCTCGGTGTATGTGTCTACGAATTAATCCAATTCCATTGATTAAACTAAACAATTATAAGTAACTGTGAGATTAAATGTAATTTCTTTAGTTATCTTTTGATCTTCTTCTATGTTCTATGTTCTGCGTTAACATTTGTAGTATTTTGCGAAATACGAAACAAGTGGACGAATGTATTGGCGAGAGCACTACTACATTTTCTACTGTAGGTTTGTACTAACTACCTTTTCGTTTCTTTTACTTTCGTGGGTTTTATAGTAGTTTTGTTAAGACTTGTTATATTTTGGTAGTAATTTTGAGAGTATAAATTGTTAATATATGGACGACTTTCATGGTACTTTTATTAGGGTTTATTATTTTTTGTCAGTAGTCTTGAGAGTGGAAATTGTTAATATATGGGTAGTCCTTATGGTGATTTTATCAGGACCTACCATATTTTGGTAGTAGTCTTGACAGTATAAATTGGTAATATATAGACAATTTTCATAGTGGTTTTGTCAAGATTTATGATATTTTGGTAGTAGTCTTGAGAGTATAAATTGTTAATATATGGACAATTTTTACAATGGTTTTGTTAAGAGTAATAATACTTTGGTAGTAGTTTTTAAAATATAAATTGTTAATATAAAAGCAATTTTTATAGTGGTCTTATCAAGACGCATGATTTTCTGATAGTAATCTTGAGAGTATAAATTGTTAATACAGTACCGATTTGTATAATCTATAATTACTAAAATATAAATTGTTAATACACGGCTAGTACTGATATTTTAAAACCTGTGATTATTAGATTTATGTGAATTGTTAATTTGTACTTGTACATTAATACCTCCTACAATCTGAATTATTAAAATTATGAATTCAAATTGTTAATACAGATAGTTGGGTAATTCTTGCAATGAAGTAGTATTTGTGTAAGTATTATTCGTTAATACACACATTATTTAATGTCAAAATATTTAACTTTGATTTATTAGAGTCACAAGTTAAAATTGTTAGTACACATACATTACTAATTTTATTAGTTTATTACTATTAAATTTGTGACCATAGATTGTTAGTTTATATACATGAATAAATTCTACAGTTCTTACATATTTGATATATTAGTGCAAATTGTTAGTACTCATATTACTAATAATTTTTATGTTTTTCAATTATTCTTAAAAGAAGTATGAGCTGTTAATACATGTATAGTACGACCTTTATGATCTTTAAGTACTAATAACTAGTACTAGTACTAAAGATCTTTAAATACAAGTATAAATTGTTAGTACATACAGCAGTATTAAACCTTACAATTTGCAACTACTGATTTTAAAAATTGAATTTGCTAAATTTATACTTTTACTAAAGTATTAACACTTAAATACTTATCACATATAGTTGTACTAATCTTTACATTTGTTAATAGTACCATGCACACGGTTAATATACAAAGTTAATTATTCATGTATACATATACACTAAGCTTCTCAATTTTTAATAATTTTAGTCTTAAAAGTATAAATTATTGTTAATCCATGTAGTATTACATGTTACAATCTTTAACTATATTAGTCTTGAAAGAATAAATTGTTAGTACATATAGTTTTACCCAATGTGACAGTCTTCAACTATAATAATTTTGAAAATATAAATAATTGTTAATACATACAGTTTTAATAATTGTTACATTCTTTAACCATATTAATCTTGAAAGTATACATTGTTAGTACATTCAGTTTCACCAAATGTAACGACCTTCAACTATAATAATTTTGAAAGTATAAATAATTGTTAATGCACATAGTTTTCCAAATTGTTACATTCTTTAATCATACCAATCCTCAAAATATAAATTGTTAATACATATGTACCAACTGCAACAATCTTTAACTATATCAGCCTTAAAAATATAAAATATTGTTAATACACATTTTACCAACTATGACTCTCTTTAACCATACAAATCTTGAAAATGTAAATTATTACAATATAAATAAACACAAAATTTAATTTTATCTATTTAACTTTTACAATTTTCCACTAACAACATATATTTACTAACATAAATTAAGAAGAAAGTAAAACTGCAATTACGAAAGCTAGAAAAGCAACTTTTTGTTAATCGAAATGTTACTCAATAAAACTGGTTGCTTCTAAAAACTATAAATCACTGTAATGAAACATCTACCTGCATTTACTAACATTACGTTTCAAATAACGACTCTTTCTATAATTAAAGAGCGACGTTTAAGAAATGCTCCTTGCAGATTCTTTACTTTCACTCGTCAATTGTTAATACATACAATACACTCATTCAACGCGACCATGTAAAACTTTTGTCTTATACGTCAAACAAAAGCAAGCTTAAAAAACGAACCATGTTTCACGTACATGCACGTCTAGGAAGTAAAAGTCGATCTTCTCGATCTTCATGGAGGTCAATTGGACATACCTTATGTAAAACTTTCCTCTCATCAAATGATCGTATGTATTCTGTACATACATCATGTATACATATGCAATTTTCGTCTGCCGATTATTTAACACTTAGCCTTTCGGTTTAATTTACTTTCTATTAACAAAAATTCTATATTTAATTTTTCTTACATCATACTTTATGTAACAGTTATGGTTTTAATATACAGATATTGTAAGTGTACTTTTAGTATTTTCTAGAAAAATTGATTTAAATATTAAAGAACTGTAAATATTTTTATTAATGAAAATACTATGATACATTGTTCTTATGTCACACTATTTGACCATAACAGTTATGGTCTCAGTATATAAATATTACAAGTAAACTTTTAGTATCTTCTAGAAAAATTGGTTTAAATATTTAAGAACTACAAATATTTCTATTAATGAAAAATATATTACATTTTTCTTACGTCACACTTTGTGTAACACTTATGGTTTTAGTATGCAACTATTACAAATAATTTTAATATCATTTAGAAAAATTGATTTCAGTATTAAAGAACTATAAATATTTCTATTAATAAAAATACTGTACTATATTTGCCTTACGTCAAACTTTATGTCACAGTTATTAGTAAACTATTATTGTCAGTATATTTTTAGTGTTTTCTAGAAAAATTGGTTTAAATATTTAAAAACTATAAGTATTTCTATTAATGAAAATATCATACCACATTTTCCTTGCGTCAAACTTTATGTTACAGTTATGGTTTTAGTAAATTAATATTGTAGTATACTTTTAGTATATTCTAAAAAAATTGGTTTAAATATTCTGTAGTATTTTACATTGTTCTAAATAAACTCTTTTTACATTTTATCTTCTTATACTTTATAGAAATTCTATATTTCATTCTTATCTTGTACGTTAGACTTCTTTATTTCACTTTTATATTACATTCTAAAAATTCTATATTTTAATTTTATTCTTATTATCTTAATAATATCATAATTGTAAGATAATAAGATATTTTAATAGATGTTATATATGCATATTATATTGTATATTATGATAATGAGATATTATTATCTTATTTAGAATGTGCTAATGAATATTTCCTAAACTGATCGTTTCTCAATGTAAATAGACCAATGATTTTTATAGAGAATGTTTAGCTACAACGATTAGTGTAGTGATTGTTGACCTTCATACATCCTTTACGCCACTGCCTACAAAACGCTTAACATCAAATTATGTTCCTTTCGAAATCATTTAACTTCTACTTGAAACATTTTCTGCTCTTATGAATAATTCCAAAGATATTCGAAGGATCATTTCAACTACCGTATAATTAGATGGTTAAAATGAATTGAGGTTAAGTTGATATTATATTATATTATATTATATTTCATATTTTAACTTTTATTTTTATATTTGTTTGATGTTTGATACTCATGTACGTACTTACATGCAACACTCTGTATATATAAAAGATAATATATTTCTGAATATTTTTTAGATAGTACTTGTTACATATTCAGAATATCAGTTTAAATATTCGGAAGAATTATTTTTTATTAGTTTAAAGTATTTAATTACTGATATCAGTTTAACTGATACAACTTTGTAACATGCAACATTTCTACAATCAGAATAATAAATCAAGAACTAATAAATAACATTAATAACTAATAAATAACTAATATTGTAATAACATTACTTTTAAGATGTAAGGTTTCAATATCTAAAATATTCTTGCTTCATGAAGTTAAAACAAACTGAACAAAATTAATATTTGGTATAAATTATGTATTTAAAATAAAAGTAAAAACGTGTTATACAAATATTCTTACAATAATCTAGAAGAAAAATAAAAATGTATATTTCCAAAAAATATATTCAAGATGCTTATAAAAGAAAATAAAATGTGAAGGTTGATTTATAATGGTCATAAACACTTGCATAAGTGTGTGTAACACTTGCAATACTGTGTGCCTAAATATATCATAAAACTTCGTCCAAAATTCTCTCTTTTTTAGCTTTTACTATTTCGTTAAATATACTTTAGTTCGATATATATATATTCTGAAATATATCAAAAGTTGTTTAAATAATAGACAATCGATGATATTCGATATGTAGATCGTATTTAGACGCTTACGAACACACAAAACAATGGCGGCCATTACTCGATAGAATTCACTGCATAGTTAACGATGAAATAATCTTTCGATGTCAGAAGAATAATAAATTATCTTCTTTTTGATAGATTAATGTTACAAAAATAAAAAATTAGTGAAATCTTTCGAAATAAAATAATTTATCGAGATAAAATTACACGTTCTATAAAATAACATAATACATTTGTAATAACAAATATAAACGGGTTTTCCTTTCACATTACATTATTTCTTCTTACATCATAGTGAAATGATGAACTTCTTACATCTACTAGGGTGAAATCCCTAACATGATCCTACAGTTCTATTAGACTGACCCCAGCCTATATTTAGACCACTTTCTCTTGGTATAATTACTGTTGCATTTAATTTTCACTAAAAATGTACGTAATACATTTCTTCTTCAACAAGTAAACATATAAGCATCAAATGCGATCAATTGCAAATTTTATCACAAATTGTAAATATTAGAAATATTAAGAAAGTGTTATTAGATAATGAGTAGATGTTAATAAAAAAATATTGATAGCTGTTGAACCGTTTAACGAGCTATTGGAAATTTAAAAACGAAGGAATCGAAGAGGAAGATTCGTATTGACTCATAGACAGGAAACGTAGTAGAAATCTACCTACTGCTGAGACGAGATTGCGATAGGATCGCTCTGGGAATGCAATTAGAACAAGGCTGTGAGACTACACAAAGCGAATGTACAGATGGCAAGTCCCAGTTAGCCGATTACCAAATGGAATAACACAAGTTATGCATTCGCAGATTGAAAGTTACACACACGTTTACACGTGATGCCAGAATACTTTCACACACGGACAGTATTACTTCTTTAACACTTTGAGGAACGCGTCGGAGTGACGCATCTTAAATTCCTTACTTTAAATTACGAAGATTAAGATAATTAAGATTACGAAGATTCTTGTGTTAACTCTAAGTTTACCTAGGTTTTTACTGGGTGTAATTAACTAGGTTTTCAGGAACGCGTCAGGATGACGCATCTTAGACTCTTCATTTTAAATTACGAAAATGAAATTAATTTTTAATTTTGAAGCACTTGTGCGCTGTTCCCTGGTAGATTTAATGTTAACACTAGGTTGACCTAGGTTTTTACTAGGTGTAATTAACTAGGTTTTTGGAACGCGCCAGTATGACGCATCCCAGTTTCCTCATTTTAAATTACAGGAATTAGGATACTGTTGACGAAATGTATGTTAACACTAGATTTATAATGTCGAGGTCTCTTCTAGGCAATTAACTAGGTTTTTAGAAATGCATAAAAATGACTGACTTATTTTTAATTACAGAAGTTATTAAGATACTTTTGTTGAAGTTATTAACTTCTGTCAAGGTGAATAATAATGAATAATTGTATAAATAACTTGATGTTTCCTTATTCATATATTTACCATTGTACTTTATATTTAATATAAAAGTAACTGCATATCGAACATTCATAAACCTAATTTAGTTCATTAATGCCTTCATAAACCTAACATTAATAGTAATATTACTACTTGAAAACTGATAACATTTTTGTGCGAAAAAGTGAAATATCTTTTTTTACAAAATATTAATGAAGTCTCTGTATATAGTTCCTTTATTATAAAATATAAATTATTTGAATATCGTAAACTTATTTGCCGAGTATTTTAAATCGAAATTGATCAAGTGGATGCATATGTACGTGCAACGTGTATGTTAATAAAATACATGCGCATAAATTAAGTTATATCTTGGATGATACGAATTAGTAATAATGCAAATTGACAAGATACATATTGAAAGGTATTATTTGTCTCGTATGCATATTGACAATAACAAAAAGTTCCTTTGCTTTTTTGAGACAGATTTTTCAGAGAATACCTTATGCGAGGTTTATTGAAATAAGTAGTATTATAAGTTAATGAATATTAAATAGTGAATACTTAATTGGTAATTAAATAGTCATAATATTTGAGTTTAGTGTTATGTATAGATATGTTGCTAAATATTATTAATGTTTTTTAGTTACTATTTATTATTCTTTTTATTTAATTTTGGTATTTAAATATTAGGTCATTAACACTTTAATGGCCGCTCACACATGTATGTGACGACTAATGAACTGAGGTGGTTGCTCATATAATTATTAAATTATTACACAAAGAAAAATATTAAAGTTGTATTAATTGTGTCATAATTGTTGTTTCCATTTGTTTTTACAATGAAGTTAAATACGTGTATGTTCGCACATGTTGCATTGTTTCATGAATTTATATGTATAAAATATTTTCAATAAATTAATTCTTTAAAAATCTTGCCATGTTCTGACGACATTTGACTGCGTAGGCGGCTATTAAAATGTTACTACTTTTTATGTTTGTATTTAGCATTAGTACTTAAATATTATATTAATACTGACTACTAAGTAATAATAAAAAATATTAATAATATTGCTATTTAATTAATTTTGTATTTGATAATTAAATATAAATACTAAACATTAATACTGAATACAGATACTAAATAAAAGTTAAATTATTATATACATAGTCTAAAGTACCTACAAATAAATTTTGCAACCAGCTGTCACTAAAAGCTAAATGATCTTTCTTAACCATTTTAGAGAAACTAATGTATGAAGAAGATATTTCTCAACGCGTTGGAATGAAAAGTCTTCCAAACCCTCGTTACAATGAAGAAAACTGGAAAAGGGCATTGGTTTAATTTAGCATTATTTATCGTTTCATTTATAACAATCGGTAATGCAGAAAAGGTGAGGCACACAGTTATGCAAAAATTTCATTTTACAATCATTAACAATTTACATATCTACTAATAACAAGTTTTCCTAAATTCTTCAAAATTAAAATTTTACTTTACAATTATAATTAGGAAACTTGTACGTAATTTAAGTGTAAATTTTTTTTTGTAACTCAGTGTAATAATTTATCGATTTACAAATTTATACACTTGACAATTTTCCAATTTGCATATTTAACAATTTTCCAAATTACAGATTTAACAATTTTCCAATTTCTCAATCTACCAAATTTCTAATTTATAGATTTAACAATTTTCCAACTTATCAATTTGCCAATTTTCCATTATATCAATTCATCGATTTACCAATTTATTAATTTACTAATTTACCAATTTAACAATTTACAAATTTACAAATTTACAAATTTACAAATTTACAAACTTACAAATTTACAAATTTACAAATTTACAAATTTACAAATTTACAAGTTTACCAATTTATCAATTTAACAGTTCACAAATTTACTAATTTACCAATTTACAAATTTATCAGTTTGCCAATTTTTCCAACGTTACCAATTTTTCCAATTTTCAATTTATCAATTTGTCAATTTGGAAATTTGGAAATTTGTCAATTTGTCAATTTGTCAATTTGGCAATTTGGAACTTTGTCAATTTGGAACTTTGTCAATGTGTTAATTTGTTAATTGGTTGTTTCCTTATTTTATTATTTTATCAATTCGCTAATTCGTTCATTCGTTAATTTGTGAATTCTTCGACTTATAAATTTATATTTGCACAAAAAGTTACCATTTATTTCACAGCATAAACGTGAAATATTCCGGGAACAATTATTACCAGCACTCGGAGGTAAAATACCAGAGGAAGCTTTCAGAACTGATCGTTTGGCTCTAAATCGATTGAACAAGGAAGGCATTACAGTACCCGATGGTGTTATATTAGATGCTCGAAATGTTCATAAACATTCACAACATATTCAAACAATGCCAGAAGCAATACAGGTATGCAAAAACAGTAGACGACACTTGTTAAAAAAATAAAATATTTATTTTTATCTTACAGAATTTACTTTCAATATTAATGATTCTTTATAATAATATAATAGTAACAATAATCTTAATTATTGCCCACAGATTAATAAATCTAATTAGGCTAATGAATAATAATAACATTACGTGAACTAAAATACTGTGTTATGATATATATAATTTACTCCATAATAGCAGTACCATAATTAATAAATAATACTGAATATTTGATTGTTCAAGGTGTATTTAACACAAGATGGACGATACGTGCCACCAGAAGGACGCTTCCAGTACAATCATCCAAAAACAGTAGACACAACATACGTGATTCGCAAACCATACTCCCATCACAAACATTCAAACAATCACGCCAACAACAAACACCGAAATATCCCGAAATCACAAGCTTACTCAAGTTTCAGACAATTTGTACCACCCTCGAAACCAGGAGTGTACAAACCCATTATAACGCCTTCGTTGTTTCCCAATGGCGATTTGTTGGAACGAATTTATGTGCCAACGTGGAACATTCAATACGATTGGGACACCGTTTATCAACCGTTCGACGATTACATTGTCAACAACATTGCATTTTTCAACTCTCATCAGGTATTTTTGCGACATAAATATTTTATATATAAACGAAATATGTACAATAGTAGCAATACTAACTTTAAGTAAGGTGAAGTGGGGTAAGTGCAGACTGGTTTTTGTAAAGTTGGTATTTAAATGTAAGTATTTTCAGTCTGCTATGTAAATACTTAACGCTGTCGAGATCGAACACTGCACAATTACTACTATTTAATTAATATTAACTAGGACCTTAATTTTCCTTGTACATTTTGATTTTGATAGGAAATTGTTTAAAATGTCAACTACTCTGCACTTTCCCCGAAAATGGGGTAAGAGCGTAACTTGAAGTTAAATACTTTGAAACTTTATTTCATGTGCAATGGGGCAAGAACAGAATTATTAACAAATCCGCTATAAAATGCTTTCTACTGCATTATGCAAGTACTCTATACTGCAAACAAGTACTCTTAGCTGAAATATAAAAGAGGATATAGCGAAACAAAACAAGGAAAGAAGCATACTAAATGGAGGAATTTCACTCATATTGTAATAAAAATAGCCTGTATACGCACTTGCCCCGTTTACGAACTTAACCCACTTCACCTTATAATTCTTTCAGTTAGTATTACTTAAAATTAATTAATTTAAGCAATACTAAAAATTAGTATTGCTACTTAAGCAGTAATACTAATTAAAAGAATTATGCGATAACTAATGTATAATATAAAATAATTATGAGTTAAGTGGGGATTGAGATGTAGGAGACTCGCGTTATATTACCGCTGAAAAAGAATGGAGAGAAATGATGAGAATCGTTTGAAGTAATTAGAAGTTTGGTTAAGGGTGACTCTTACATTAAATCATTTTTTTTTAGATTAATTAATACTCAGAATATTCTATGTAAGATTTGGGGGCATAGTGTTTGGAAAATGTGGGAAAGGAGAATTTAGAGATTTGGGAATTTTGGGATTGATTTAGAGATCTGAGAATTTGAGAATTTGGGAATTTGAGAATTTGGGAATTTGGGAATTTAGGAATATGAGTATTTAGGGATTTGAGACTTTGGAAATTAGAACTTTAGGAATTTGGAAATTTAGTAATTTGGAGACTTAAGAATTTCAGAACGTAGTGATTTGATAAATCTAGGGATTTGGGAATTTCGAAATTTGGGAATTTGAGTATTTCAGAATTTGGGAATTTGGTTATTTAGGGATTTGGGTATTTAGGGATTTGAAATTTTGGAAATGGAGACTTTAAAAATTTGAGAATTTAGGAATTTGTACATTTAGCAATTTGGAAACTTAAGAATTTCAGAATTTAGTGATTGGATAAATCTAAGGATTTGGGAATTTTGAAATTTGGGAATTTTGAAATTTGGGAATTTGAGTATTTCAGAATTTGGGAATTTAGGGATTTGGGAACTTTAGAATTTCAAAATTAAGAAATTTAGGAACTTAGAAGTTTAGGAATTTATATATAAAGAGATTTTGAAATTTGGAAAGTTCCAAATTACAGAATTAAGGAATTCTAAAATTTCATAATGCAATCTTTTCGACTTATCAAGGTTTGAAATTTAGAATTGTATATATAAGAAATTAGGAAATTAGGAAATTTGGAAATTAGAAAATTAGGAAATTTGGAAATACGAAAGTTAGGAAATTAGGAAATTAGGATCTTAGGATCTTAGGATCTTAGGAAATTAGGAAATTAGGAAATTTATAAATTTGTTATTTGCACATCTAAGAATTAAATACCTTCAAATTTAAGAATTTTGAAAACAAGAATTGTCAAATTTCTCTAAATTAGAATTTTCAAATCGCTAGTCTTATTAACAGAGATGCAGTCAAGCTTAGATTAAGATTAGATTAGTTTAAGTCGTGTTAGATCAGGTTAAGGTTAAATGACATTATTTTCCGAGGCTACTCCATCACGCTCAACCAAGATCGTCCTTGAGCAGTAAAAGATTCAACGCAATCATCCCCAAAAGACATTTTCCTAACGTTCCTCCACATTAAAAAAAAGTTACATAAATTATTAAAAGTTACATTTGTAACCTCATTTACCCTCATATCACTTTTCATTAGCTCAGCAAATCGATTAAAAATCGTTTAACACGTTACTGCTGACGAAACATTGGAAATAGTTCTCTAATAAATAGGTTACACTCGCAAGTATCAAACTTTATTACTCGTAATAAAATATGGTTTATGGTTGATAAAAAGTGTATTAAAAGCATGTCGTAATAAAGAGAAAGAAAACCACAGACTACGAAAGAGAAACGCACATCGACACGCGAGATTCTTGTTTATCTAGTTGGTCCGAGTAGACCGCAATTTTCTAGGATTACTTATAGAGAAGGCCATCTAGTTATCCCAGGATCAAAACGCAGATGAAAGTCTACTCATGTACGTGTTTTCTATCGCGCGTGTATGCAAATAAATACGTGCTGCATACCGATAACGAACTATTATGCAACTTAATATTCCGTGTTGGAATCGTGAGAACTTCTCCAAAAATTCCAACGATTGTCATAAATCATTCATGCATTTCTTCTTTCTTTGATCAAATAGACAGTTTTCTCGGTGAAAAGAAACTAGGTATTTGTAAAATTTCAAAAATTAATAAGTTTGTCACTGGCAATTGTTAAGGTTGTTTTTATATTTATCATGAAAATTATGGATGGTTAGGTTATAACATTTTGAAGCTTTCAGTAAGATGCATTTGTTGTATTATCAATTTTATGAATATATAAAGAAATAAACACATGTGCATATACACAAGTTAAACGAAAACAAATATACGTACATATACGTATCTACACATACATACACATACATACACATACATACACATACATACACATACATACATATACATATACATATACATATACATATACATATACATATACATATACATATACATATACATATACATATACATATACATATACATATACATATACATATACATATACATATACATATACATATACATATACATATACATATACATATACATATACATATACATATACATATACATATACATATACATATACATATACATATACATATACATATACATATACATATACATATACATATACATATACATATACATATACATATACATATACATATACATATACATATACATATACATATACATATACATATACATATACATATACATATACATATACATATACATATACATATACATATACATATACATATACATATACATATACATATACATATACATATACATATACATATACATATACATATACATATACATATACATATACATATACATATACATATACATATACATATACATATACATACATACATATACATACATATACATACATATACATACATATACATACATATACATACATATACGTACATACATATACATACATATACAAATAAATGAGTCCACATTTATAATACAAGTCAATGTATTAATACAAATAAATATGTAAGCAGATGTATAAATAGAAAAGTATATGCATGTATGAAATTTATTTTATAACAAATGATTATCAGTTACTAAAAGTTTCAGAACAATGCACACATTATAATCAACCTCATATACATATACAATGACAACTATAATTAACCTTGTATGTTACATGTATGTTTGTATGTATACTATAGTTTTAGAGTTGCTCATAATTATATACATTTTTAAAATTTGTAATAGCTGATATTCATTGATAATAATTTGTTATAAAATAAGTATATGTATTATACATACAATTAATACATTTACTACAATACATGTACCATATGTATACATATAAAGTATACTAATTAAGTCACAATAATATAATAACCTAACTATAGCTACATTTATAATCATTTTAAGACAAGAATGTTACAAAGACAACCATTTTGTAAAAATTGTTAAACTAACATTAAAAGAGAAAATGTTTAATTTTCAGATCATCGCCGATTACCAAGGATTCCTCAACAAGTTTCACGACAGATCCTCCAGACACATCGAAGTCCGCTCCAAAGACAAGAACCACAACGCTCCTCAAACTCGCGATAAAGAACCGAAAAATCCTAATACGGATTCTCAAACAGCATTTCACCAAAGTCCTAGGGTAAAAGGAGATTCGACTCGCTACACGAATCTCACTGAAATTCCGGAAACCGGTTTCACGTGCGATGGCAGGAGAGGATTGTTCGCCGATGTTCAAACTAAGTGCCAAGTGAGTAATGTTACCATATCGTTTTGATAACTTCTTACGACACATAGAACAATGTATGGTAAATATCATTGTGTGAAATATAATATATATATCATTGTATAGTACACAATGAATGTAATGAATTATGTTTGTTTTTTGTAGGTTTTCCATAATTGTTCTGGGTGGTCGAAAACGTCGTCGCTTTGTCCCGCAGGCACGGCATTCAGTGAAGTTAAGAAACGTTGCGAATGGTGGAACACGGTACAATGCAAATAATATATAAGTACATAGTAAATTATTATCAGTGGTAAATATTATGATAGTACGTTTATAACTTATTATAGAAGGGTGTGGAAGTGCCCTGGTGGACGATAGACATGTGCTTTGAACGCGCGAAAAAGGGAGGTAGACCTCAAAATTTCAAACGGTATCCACGTCGGCCTATTAGTGTCTAATTGTAAGATACTAATTTTTGGTAGTTTTCATTAGATGAAGTGGAGTGGTTAGATTAAGGTTTAAAAAAATTGTTATAACTATTGTTAGCGGACTTACTAGCAAGAGGTCATCTACAATATGTCAGTAACTGGTGCTAGTAGACTTACAAGTAAATATTCGAAATTAGGAATTTGGAAAGGGATTTGGGAGTTCAAGGATTTGAAGGAATTTGAGGATTTTAAGGATTTGAAGATGTAGATATTTTGGCATTTAGAAATTTGGGAATCTGGAAATCTGGGAATTTGGGTATTTAGCTATTTGGGAGTCTGAAGATTTGGGGATATAGGAATTTGGTGATGTAAGGATTTGGAGCTGAAGGGATTTGGAGATGAAGGTATCTAACGATGTAGGAATTTGGGGATGTAAGGATTTGGAGATATGGAGATTTAGGGATGTAGGTGTTTGAGAATGCAAGGGTTCCAAAATGTCGGGATTTGAGGATGTAGGAATTTGAGGATATAGGATCTTGGGGATGCAAGGATTTGAGGATATAGGAATTTGGAGATATAGGGGTTTGGGGAAGAAGCGATTTGGTGATGTATGTAGATATTTGAGGATGATAGGATTTGGGAATGTAGGTATTTGGAGATGCAAGGATTATTGCCTTCTATTTCTAACAATAGTCCTGATACAAACAAATCAAGAAACACAAAAATTCAGCTACCTATTGACAAAGATAATATCACCAGTTACCAGCATAATAGAGATGCGTCCTCACTTCAAAAATTTTAAATTAATATATCCGAAACTGATAGACTGACGCGGATACCACTTGATATTTGGAGACTTCCCTCTCATGCCTCTCTAAAGGATAACATCCACCATGGCACTTCGATACTATATCCTTATAGAACAGCATAATGATAATTATAACTGTAATATTCTATTTAAATACTGTTGTTTCATAGAAAAGTACAAAAAATGTTAGTATTTCTAGAATAATAATTCACATACGAGTTTATACATAACTGCTAATAATAGAATCAACGAACAATTGTGGCAATGTAAATAAATATAAATACCGTCGTAACATTATTTATGAAAGTTTATTTTAATGGGTATTTCGTTGATAATTAACCCGTTTAATATGGAGTTACTTTCGTGACGCATGTTGCAGTTCAAACTTGAGAAACTTCAATCATATTTACACCACGATTAAGTTTTCAATTCGATACTAATTAAAATTGCATCTAAAACACAGAGTAGACCAAAGGCGGCACTCTCTGTCGGCACCGTTGATCTCCCGAAAACTTTGTCCTTTTAAATTAGTTGCACAAACGAGCGGGAAATTTAAATTAAGCAAATCTACTTTCATGTCAACCTCTAATAATTTGAAATATATTTGTAATAAATTTTTTGTATATTATTAATGTTGTCTTTCAAGATATTTGCATCAATTTTACGACGTTGAAAAGTTGAAAAAGAAAAGAATATACGAAAATGATTACTCTAGAAAATATATTTGAAAAATATGCATTACGGAAATGATTATTACAAATAACTTATAAGAAAATGAAAAGCTATGTGTTACAAGAAATTACAGATGAATGTCTTACGGAGATATGACAAAATATTTATTACAAATAAAGTACTGGGGAATGCGCAGGTTTATACTATTCTTTTTCGACCGCCATACTTGTATACTATGCGCTTACGATTTCTATTTCTGGTCATTGTACGTGAAGTTAGGTTAGGTTTTATTGCTTCAGTCGAAAATTGTATCTATTTCTATTGTTTGGTTGAGTTAGGTCAAGTTTGACTGATTTAGTTGAAAGTTATGTTAGGTAACATACGTATATTATAGTTTCACTGCTACGATTTCTGTTTTCTATCGTTCTAAGCTAAAAATTGTGGTCTACTGGGGATATTATAAATTCTATTTAGAACATTTTTAGGTTAAATCAACTTAGGTTAGGTTTTACTGATGCAGTTGAAAATTATGTTAAGTAACATTATGTCTGTTATAAATTTACTATTGTAATTTGTATTTAGAATAATTCTAGGTTATGTTAAGATAGGTTAGGTTTCATTGATTCAGTTGAATATTGAATTAAATTAGTTGTGTCTTCTGTCTCTCTCTAGGAGGTGGGTTTCCTTATTTGGTGTCGCCTCTTATTCCATTCCTATTCTTTCTTTAAAATACACACACATATTTCAATTGTATTCGTTCATTTTAACAACACAGCGGTAATTAGTTAACTCTGACGCAACTGCCGAAGAAAACGTAAATAAAGGATCTGGTGATTATAAAAAGAAAACAATTCTGCAAACACAGTAATAAAGTTTTATTATTCGATGGTGGACACTGTGGTACAGATTCGTTAAAGTATAAAATCTGCGAGAATTCGTTAAATACGTCCGCGCTATTCGAGAAAAATAATGAATCTTCTTCACTCTTAATCTATTAGTACATTCGCGAAGTTCTAGAAAATACGAGTAGATAAAATTCGTTGTTACTAATACAGATGTCGAAATTTTCAATTTTCTAGACATCCTATATGTTTCAATCTACCGCTAAATCGTCGGTGTTTCCTTTCTCTCAAAAGTGTAATATTCATCTATAAATTACTTGATTCTCTTTCTACGTTTCTATGTACAGAGTGTTTAAGAAAAATGTACAGGGTGGGAGAAAAGTATCAAAACTACCACAGTGTAATTCTACATCTTTGAATTGGTACAAAGTTGTTTAAACGCGTTGTTACAGATTTGACCTTGACCTTGGATTTCAAGGTCATTTCATTCTTTCGACGTATCGTATTCTACTTGTCTCCAGAATAAAATATCTATTAGAAACTATAGGTTGAAACTCGATCGTTTTATTGAAAAATGATATTAACCAGTTAATTGTGGCGATCTTTTTGCAAAGCGCGCACCAATGTGTGTCGCGATAATCAAGCGATGACGAGTTAGCTCTCAAGAATTTATGAATCCATCTCAAATCATTTACACTTTTTATTTGTTTATTTTATTTCGTGTTGACCTCTAAACATTTTAAACATATTACAATTTACGAATATAATTTAGTTTTCTCCAAAATTACAATTTAAATATCAAATTGCAACAAAATTTTACGCATGACGGATATAGTCGTCATGACACAAAATTCTGCCACATCTCCATGACGGGTATAGTCGTCACACACACTTAACTGGTTAAAGATCCAAATGAAGATATATCCAGTTAAGATACTGATTTTATTTATGGTACAATGTTAACAGTGGTTTCTTGTTGTACGAAGAGTACTTCATATCAAGTCTCTTACTTATTTCTTCAGATAGAATCATTGTGTCAAAATTATCCCACCCAAATAACTAATAAAACTCTATCATCATTTTTCAGAAGAATAGTTAAATTTGAACCTATAGTTCCTTTACAATTTTTTATCCTTGCAATAAGTGGAATATAATGCATCAACAAAAAAATTTGACCTTGAATTTAAACGTCAAGGTCAGTGGCGCAACAGCTTTTTTAACGAACCTCTACAAAACCGAAAGCGAAGAGCCACCCTGTGGCAATCATAAAAACTTTCCTCGAACTCTGTACACTGTGAGGAGTCCTTTACGAATTCATAAATGTATGTTTCATTTTGAAAGTTGTGTGTTATTTTAGGTTTCATTTTGAAAATGTGTCCAATTCCCGAAAGGTGCCACTTAATCGTAAAATCGATAAACAATAGACAATACAATATTTTATAGAGAATAATTTATATAGACTCTTTCTTATCGCTAACACTCGTCGTTAGGTACGTATAATTTAGGTCTTAAAAATCTCGAAAATGTTAAGTTTCCATTCGATTACGTTTAATCTATGATCTATGGATCTAGTCTTGTGTTTGGCGCTTTTATAAATCCTACTTAAGTCGTAATTGCATTAAGGCACGATATGAATGTTTCTTTGTTAGAGGAGAACCTCGAACTATCTGTTAATTTGATAAACATTGAGACTTGTGCGGGCAAAATATCCGGAACTGATCAGTTGAGGTCTGAATCCAGTAATTTCCACTTATTTTAGGCCTGTGTTAGGGAGATCAGAGATGGAGACATACTATTTGTCAATTATAAGCGGATCTGGAAATAGTCTAGGGAGTTTCTAAGGACACCCTGAGAAAAGAACTAGGACAAGGCTGGGAAACTCTAGACTTGAGAGAGTCTAGAAAGATTTTTAAAAAAATCCTAAGAGTATTTGAGGAAATTTATAGTTGAATACTGAGGGAATATAGGAAAGTCCCTAGAAGAGCGGTGGGAAAACTCCTCCTAAGGCAATCCCTAGGGAAATATGGAGAGATGTGGGAAATATGAAGGAACCTTAGAAAAAATTTAGAGAAATTCCTACTTGTAGCATAAGAGGATAAAATGTTTCTGATCTTAAGAGAAATCTAGGAAAATCTTTGGCAAATCCCTAGGAAAACTGAAGTGGAATCTAAGAAAACTTCTACAACTTAAAATTATCTAGGAATTTTATTAGAAGAATTGAAAAAGTATCGTGGAAAATCCGGAGGAGAACTTAAATGGAATCTAGGAAAATCTCTAGTAAATCCCTAGGAGAACCTAAGTGGTACCTAAGAAAATCTCTATGTAAACTTAATATAAATGTAGGAAAATTTCTAGGAACCCTTTGGAAATCTGTAAACAATTCTTAGGGAAACTTAAGTGGACATCAGGAAAATATATAGTAACTCCCTAAAAGAACTCATGGGGAATCTACAAAAATCCCTAGTAAGTATATGGGAAAACCCCTAGTAAATACTGATATCTCTATAATAACTTAAGACGACCTAGAAAAATTTCTAAGAGAACTTAAATGGAATTGAAAAAAATTTCTAGTAAATTCTTAGAAGAACTTAACTAGAATTTAAACAAATCCCTATGAGAAATGGCATCTAAGAAAACTTGAAATTGATTTAAAATTCCTAGAAAAACTTAAGAGTGACCCTGTATATCTATAAGAAATCCCTAGGTAAACTTGAGTGGAATCTAGAAAAATCCTTCAGAGATGGATTTATAAAAGTCCCTAGAAACTTCCTAGAAGAGCCTAAGCAGGGTTAATTCCTTTCCCCATATTTCCAGATAATTGATCTAAGTTTCAGGAAACTGTAAAAGACTATTAATAAAATTTTAGAAGTGGTACTTTCGAACCGAAGATTTCACACGCACTAGTCTGAATATTTCAATTGGACGGTACAAAGGTTATGTTACATGTGTAAATTTTGTTGAGAGCCTTCGACCTCGACGTACATCTTCGATATAGCATCCTTCGTGTTCAACATGTAATTCTGCACCGCTGGCGCAACTTTGTTGTTATTTGATATGATCCCATTCGTCAGATGCGATACGCCATTTTGTAGAACATGCGCGGTTCCATTTCCTATATAATTATGCACGCGGGCTATGTTGTTCTTCTGAGCCTGATTCACGTTATTTCTCAATCCATTAGCGATCGGCCCTGTAAAATAAATGAATAACGTAAGCACCATTGTTTGCTTTGATTTCTGTTTTTATAGTTGTTCTAGTAGACGATATAGTAATTTTGTTAGAGGAAAGTAGAAATAAGCAGTACCATTTTTTGGAAGAATGTTTCAACGTTTAGTCAGCATTACAATTAGCTTTTGAAATGTTCGATAACGGCGTTTCATTTTCCGTTCTATGAGCACTTATGAGTGCAATTCGAATTAAAAAAGAAAAAAAAGTAAAATAAGTATAGTGGTAATATGGAAGGACTATAGTAAATACTAACAAGTATATTTGAGTATTATTCGTTTGTTTTTGATACTGGTCTACTGAATAGTAGACATTTACTAATGAATAGCATTCTCTGGTAAGTATTTAGTAGTAAGGAGCTGTCTACTAGAGTAGTAATATTTAGCAGATTAATAATGAAAAATATCTACTCTTTTAAGTAACATCCGTGAATAATTAACATTAGTGAGCAGTATCAAATATTGAGTAGTATTCATTACTACGTAAGATTAGTAAGTAACAATCAATTCATTAAGTAGAAGTTTATATTATTGAATAGCATATACTTCTGAGTAATATCTACTACTGAGTAACGTTATGATTAACATTATTGAACAGTATTAAATATTGATTAATATGCATTACTACGTAACATTAGTAAGTAACAATCAATTCATTAAGCAGAAGTTTATACTACTGAGTAGCATATACTCCTGAGTAATATCTACTACTGAGTAACGTTATGATAAAAATTAGTAAACAGTATCAAATATTGAGTAGTATTCATTACTTCTTAACATTAGTAAGTAAGAAACAATTTATTAATCAGAAGTTTATACTACTGAGTAGCATATACTTCTGAGTAATATCTACTATTGAGTAACGCTTATGAATAGTATCCTCTAATAAAAAATATCTAATATAAATACTAGTAAGTAGCCCCAACCAGCAAGTATTATATATTATATTAATTAATAGTTTATACTAGTAACTAGTAACCACTGATGAGTAATATCTACTCACAAATAATATCTACCAATGGCTAGTATTTATTAGTAAACAGTATTCCCTAGTAGATAACATCTACTACTCATTACCGAATAGTTTTCAGTATAGAATAGTATTTAGTATGAAACAGTATTCATTAATGAATAGTATTTATTAACTATCATTTACTATTCACAAGTTTACTACTAAATAATATTAAACAAAAAAGTTAGTATTTACTAATAAATAGTATCTAACAAGTAGATACTATAGTCTCTGCTACTAACTGCTGCTACTACCCCAAATGATGTAAAAGTATATAAATACTTACCCTGTACATTAATTCCATTCATATTCTCACTGATCACTTTCTCTATAGCCGATTTATTATCGATTACGTGCTTAGGAATACCATTTAGTACAATTCTTTGGTCACTATTATTATAAATAACTTCATTATCTTCTTTATTTCGTCGTGCTTGAGTCATTAATTGATAAAGAGCAGCTGCGAATTCCTGTTGTACGCTTGGTACGTCCGTGTCACCGTCAATCTACATTTCAAACCATATCCGGTCATTTCATTTTTTAATAATTTCGTTAGCATTTTGGAGATTAATATTATAACACATATTTTGTATCACTGTCAATTTTGAGTGAATTTAAAATTTATTTTTATTGTAATCTAATTGTTTTCTTCTTTGAGAGTGAGCAAAAATCAATTTTTACTTTTAAAATAAGGGCAAATGAGAATTTTTTTACTGTAGGGGTGGGGCGAATTTCCCACCCTTTTTCCTGTGACCACGCCCAAATTGTACTACTATAATACTATAATAGTAAAATATTTTTCTTTATGCTAATATGCTAGTATGCTAGTATGCTAGTATGCTAATATGCTAGTAAGATAATATGCTAATATGCTAACATACCGATATATTAATATACTAATATGTCAATATGCTAACATGCCAATATACCAATATACCAATATACGAATATACGAATATACGAATATACGAATATACGAATATACCAATATACGAATATACTAATACAGTATATTCATATTATTAGAAAATTATTATTAAATTATTATTATTAAATTAAATTATAAGTTACTATCACCTTTCATTTTTAGTCTATTTAACAATTTAACCTGTTCAACAATTTGTTCTAACTATACTCACAATAGTAAGTCGATTTTCATTATCCAATGACTTCAGCATAGGCAACGAAACCTTTCGGAAAAGTTCCAATCTTTTCTTAAATGCAGACACACTGTCATCTAATCTTCCCCTTCCAAGTTGCAATTTCGAACAATCTAATAATACTAAGGGCGGTTGTTGTCCAAACTAATAAAACCAAAATATCGAGTTAACAAACCACTTACAATAGTTACAATTCAATAATTATATATAAATATATATTATCTTATTACTGCTTATTCCAGAAACTTTATTTTCATAATTTAATAAAATACCGAAATGTTACCTTGTTTTCGAATTCTTGAACTTGACTCAAGTCTCTCGGATAGCCATCGATTATTATGCCATCCGCGTCGTTGTTCATCATAATTTGTTGCTCAACCACTTGCATTACTATATCCTGCGGAACCATTTCACCGGAAACAATAGCATCGTTGATGGTGATGTTCGATGGCGCCATTGTTCTCAGCATACCGCCTATATTTATATGGACCCAACCGGGCATGTTTCGTATCGCCTGTGTACACAGGTTTTCTTTGTTGCTTCCTGGACCACCTGAAAAGATATCATTTAAATTAATAAATATATCAATAAAAATTTGAACAATTGTTCGTAGATTTAGTATAATACTATTTATTAGTAATTTATTAGTAATATAGTAATTTTATGTTATTTTTTATTAGTTCCTACTTCAAACTATTACATTTACTGTATTTACAATATTTGCTATAGTCGTTATATTTGCTTTATTTGTTATAGTTGTTATATTTGCTGTACTTGTTATATTTGCTATATTTACTATATTTACTATATTTATTATATTTCTTACATCTACTATATTTACTTTATTTACTGTATTTGCTATAGTTGTTATATTTGCTATATTTGCTACATTTACTATATTTATTGTATTTACTGTATTTACTTATTCTGCTTGTTCTATTAGCTATATTTAATATATTTAATACATGTTCTGTATTCATTATATTATGTTTCAATTACTTCTTTACTTATTATTGCAATTATTTGCTATACATACATTAACTATTATAAACTATTTATTTATTACAAACCATTTATTGCTGCTACTATTTCACCTACTTATGTTTACAATTGCAAATTGTGTATTAATGCAGCGATTAACTATATCATTAACTATTAAGTACTATATGCTACATAAAAATTAACTATTGTAATCTGCTTACTATATCAAAATTAACTATTATGAACTATTTGCTACATCAACTTTAACTATTCTGACTCTATTTGCTATATAAACTTTAATTATTGTGAACAATTTGCTATATTAAAGTTAACTGCTGTTTATTTACTGTAGCAACTGCATATTATTTTATACTTGCCTATGACCCAGATAAAGGAAGGTATATGTTTCTTGAGTTTGCCCGAAATTTTCGGAGGCTGTACAGTTGTCGTGATAGGCAATTGCGTTATTTTTGGTGATACTTGTTCCTTGTGAAGTGCAATCGTTGGAACAGATTGTTTTCTACTTTCAACGTCCACCTATAAACCACAAGCATTTTTATAAAACAATATTTTATAATCTCGTATCCTAAATTTTATTGTATGAAACATACTTTTGTTTCTACAGACTCGGGAGCATTCTTCTGCTGTAGATTTTGATTTGATAAACCTAAAATTTTGAATACTGCCTCGCGGAAGTCAACGTACACCTCGTTTGGATTTCTTTCACCGTTCACCTGTAATCATTATATTCACAAATATTAACAACAATATAAGAAATGTTAAAATATATTCAAAAATATTATAAAAATTATTAAAAGGGAATATTATAAAAATTTGTAGTATATGAATACATCGATAGTTATTATTATTCATGGAGATTTCAAATGAGACATTGATCAACTATTTAAAAATTAATAACTACTAGTACAAGAATGTTTTTGATATACAGATAATTAAAAATTTTAATGAATCTAAGTTTTAAAGTTGTAGAGCAATTTTTAAAACTCTTGTGTAATATAGAAATGGTAGACTATTGAACATACAGGGTGTTTCATAAATGTGAAACCAAAATTTAAAGCAATGCAAAAATTTGTTAAACTCTTCTGAAATAAAAAAATGGTAGACTATTAAATATTAATGAAGGGTGTTTCATAAGTTTGAAACTAAAATTGAAAGTGGTGCAAAAATTTGTTAAACTCTTCTGTAATAAAGAAACGGTAAACTATTAAATACAAATACTAGGTGTTTTAGAAGTTTGAAACTAAAATTTAAAGCAGTACAAAAATTCATTATACTTTTCTGTAATAAAAAATTGGTAGACTATTAAATAAAAATAGAGGAGGTTTCATAAGTTTGAAAGTATGAACTAAATTATTTATAAGTAAAACTATTGTGAAACTATGAAGTGAATTATTTATAAATTTGAACTAAACTGTGAACTAAATTACAATAAAAGTTCTGACTCATTATCAATAATATCTCAGTGAAAGTTAAAGTTATAGAATACTCTATACACCATGAATCTATAGTGTTAAGCTTACACAAAATGGCGTCGAAGAGTTTTAACAACCATTCTCATAATTAAATTACTGTATTACAAATGGATTAAATGATCAAAAAACAAGCGAAATATATACTTACTTCCAACAACATTCCACTTTGATCAAAATACTCGATAACAGGCATAACATTTCTATAAAAATTATGGAGTTCCATTCTTGCGAGTTCAATGACCACTTGCCCGAGCTGTGCGCCAAAATCGATTTGCCTTTCAAGGACTTCCTGTCTCCACGAAATGAGGACTACACCGTTCACTATTTTTATCTGAAAATTACATCAAAAACTGTTTATTCGAATCGTCGTAACTGTCTCTTATATATATTATTATAATTTATACAATAAAACACTTATTCTTCTATATAAAAAATTTATTTTGAAAGACACTTTGAAATATTTCTTGTTTTTGTACAATTTCAATTAAAATTTTATTTGTTTAGTAATAATTTCATACTATAATTATGATAACAAATAATAATATATTATTATAAATAATAAGAGACTATTATTAATAACTACTATTAATACTACTATCAACTTACTATTAATAGTAAACTACTGTTAATAATAATTTTCATCTATTTAATAAGACAATTTGATACTGTATTTATCTAATAAAATAGTAATCTGATTATTTATTTAATATACTCTATTTAATATTCTTTATTTAATATTCTCTATTTTAATATTTTTTAAAATGTTACTCTTGTTTACTTTATAAGATAATAATTTTATACTGTGTTTATTTAATAAACTTATAATTTGATACTATATTTATTTAATAAAATCTGATGCCTTATTTATCTAATAAAATGGTAATGTCATATTTTATTTATTTAACCCTATAAAATGATTGAACATAGCTCTGGTAAGTTTACTTAAAGTACATATAAAGTGAATTAAACCACTATATAATTATTATAATTAAATCACCTACTTTTTCAGCGTATTCGACCACGTCTCGCATATTGCGTGGATAACCACTGACGAGAAAAACTTTGGAAGTTGGAGACATTTTGATTTCGAGCATAAGAACCTCCGCGACTGTTTTACTACTAAGTTGTCCGAAATCTTGCATATCTGTTTAAAAGAAACAAACAATAAAACATATAGAAAAATGCCGTATAATAAAAAGTTTTCTAAAACAAATAACTTCGAAATTTCAATTTAAATAATACTAATATTTACAATAATTATTTTTTTGGTGAAATGAGTGTAAACATGTTTACTTTGAAATTAATTCATTTTACCTACCATTCCCTAATGCATACTGTTGAAGAAGATCCATCATGTTGATATGTGTTATGCCCTTCTTCTCTTGCATTAAATTGTCACAATGTGTCACCTTTCCACTTCCTGGACCGCCTGAAATTAATATTCAAAAATAATGAAATATTTGTAGAATAAAAAATTGGAAATATAATATAATATTTTTAGTATTTGCATTATTTTATTGTGTTAATTTGGAACAATCGTATAATACATTTATATTTTATTGTTTTCCTATTTTACTGTAAAAACCTTTCCTATTTTATATTTTCATGCTTTAAACTATTTTTATCTTATCATGTACATTTATTGTATATTGTAATATTTTTATATGTTTATATCTTCATATTTTTATATTTTTATAGTTTTATTTTTTACACTTTTGTTATTTTCCATACTTCCATATTTTATTTTTATCTGCACATCTTCATACTTTGTATTTCTGTTAATTTCATACTTTTTCATATTACACGTTTTTGTTATTTTATATATTTGTATTACATATTTCCGTTGTGCCTTCGTATGCATATGCATATATGTATATATGTATGAATATTAATGTGAATATTAAACGAATATTAAAAAAATACATATATACATATATGCATATGCATATGTACATCTTTGCAGTCTTCTTTGATGTTATACGTTTTGATTATTCTCATGTAATAATATCTCCATTTATTGTTTTATAACAATGTATTTTATATAAAAAAAAAAATGTAGATAGCGATAAAGCATGATACAAACCGAGTACAAAAATAACAGGCACTTTTGGAATTTCAAATTTGACAGGACCAACATTTTGTTGTGAAAAGTATCCGTTCGGTGGAGTCGGTAAAAGTCCAGCTTCTCCTCTCCATTTTCCTGCACTTTGAGCATCACTTTCCTCAAATACCTGCGATCCATTCTGCTGATCTATAAATTAAAACAAAAAAAAAAATAACTTAATTCATATGTATCGTATAGAAAAATATGTGATCATCTTTCTTTTGGGGAATCGTTGAACGGACTTTATCGATCGTGCGGTATATGTAATGTCAAGTCCAAGATGTATATATGTAGGTCACAGGTGTGTTTCCGTCATATCGTGACATACTATTAAAACATATTTAACAAGAAAACGTAATCCTCTTCAATTGCTGCATGTATCAAACTGTTTAATTATATACAAAAAAGTTTCTTTCGAAACAACTAAGAGTAGTAGAAACTACTAACTAGTAGGCACTAAGTACAATTACAAGATCTTCAAAACTGCTAGAACTATGATAACGTTCTTTTACCTACTATTAAAGTTATAAGCAGTATCAGAAAGTGTCCAAACGTTTAGATAGCTGTAAGAACTACTAAAGAACTGGAAGACTGTTAGGTAAATGTAAAATATTGATTAGATTAGAAACATCGAAAGTTATTAAAATATAAAAATTCAATTGTTCAAATATTTTAGACTTGAATACAATATTTAAATTCAATATTCAAATTCAAAAATTCGATATAAAAATGAGAAAAAATAGTAAAAATTAACAAACTATTAAAAATTGTGATTAATTTAGAAATATTATTGAACTTGTACAAAATAGTAGAAGTTGAACTATTAAAACTGTTAGAAACTATCACAAAACTATAAAATGCTTATTATTAACTACAAATATTGTTAAAGAATATTAAATCTATCAAAAACTATGTAAGTCTAACTATAAATCTATTAAGGAGAATAAAAAGTAGAAAAAAAAACAAATTAATAATATAATTTAAAAATATCATGAAACTGTAAGAATATACTTACTATGTTAATAGTAATAGTTACATTAAATATTATTGCAGTTATAATAATATTAAAAAATATTTTTATAATTAAATGCTAACTAAAAGCATTACAAAAGTCGTAGATACAATTCATTCTATTAAATATAATTGAAAATTATCACAAACTTATAAAAAAATATTTAGTGACTACTAACTTAATAGTATTGAATAGTATTAAAAAATGTTCAATCAATGGACATCATATTAATCTAGTATTAACTATAGTAATGATATCATATGTTACTTAAATTATAAAAACTAATACTAACGGCCTTCAAAGTTAATACTAATACAAGAAAATATAGGAACTAATACTACAAAAGTATACAAACTAATATTAATACTGAAGACTGTCAAAACTAATAATAACAAAGCATAAAAACTAGTATTAGTACTAAAAACTATAAAAAATAATACTGATACTAAAAGGCATAAAAACTAGTATTAATACTGAAAACTATAAACATTAATACTAATACTAAAAACTATAAAAACTAATAACTGAAACAATATAAAAGCTAGTATTAGTACTAAAAATTATAAAAAATAATACTAATACTAAAAACTATAAAAACTAGTATTAATACTAATGTTGAAAACTAAAAAAAATAATTCCAAAAAGATAAAATCACTAATACTAGTATTAAAAACAACAAAAACTGTTAATAACTATTTAATTACGTTAAATAAAATAAAATTACTACATAAAATTATTTAATCACCAATACTCATACTTAAAATCCCTAGTAACATGTTTTGCACAAACATAATATTTCTAAAAATTCTCCCTTAAATATAATTTATAACAAACTAGTATTACTATTAGTATTAACGTCAGTACTTATTAATTAGTATACAACGATGCATTTAAACAATAATAAAAATATATTTAAACTATTTAAAGAATACTAACCAGTGTCCAGGCAGATGCCCATAGTAAATCGTTGGGGAGATGCCAAGATCCTGTGACGGCCATTTACTCACATGCTTCCATTAAACTAAATCACCCCTTCTAACACAACTGTTTCCAAAATAAACTGTCACATGAAATAACGTGTTGCTCGCATTAGAATCTTCTTTCTTCACGGTACTCTTCGATATCGTTTTCTTCAACTATCGACATGTTGTACCACTTTCAACGATTCCCAAGTTAAAGGAACGTCAAAGTCGATCAACCACTATGGAACTTACTTTAAAGTCAATGAGTCACCACTTATTGTTTGTTGAATTCAATACAAGCGATGTATAGTAACTTGACAAGATCCACGAAACTGTAGTTATATAGTTGTTTTAATAACCTATGAGCAAATTATTATTATTATTTGAAATTTGTTAAATCATTCTAACGCTAAATCATTCTAGCGCTAACAAAGATACGCTAACATTACTCTCGAGAGTAATGTTATTTTAGTTGCTGCTTTTGTAGATACTAGAATTTGTAGTATAGTTATAATTGTTCACTGAAATAGTTTTTTGGTGATTATAATTTTTATCATTGTTATATTTCAACTCCTTACGATACCGTAATAAACACTACTCAAATTTTGAATTAAAGTTCAATTTGAAATTCAAGTCTAATTACAGTTTGTATAATCAATGATCTCCGAATACAAAAATTAGATTTTTGAACTTTTTATGTTATTCAATTTTCAAAATCTTCACCCTCAATTTTTTAACTTCTAAAATTTGCAAATTTTCAAAATCATAATCCGCACAATCTTGAACTTGAAAATTTAGAAATTTGCAAATTATCTACTTTTAAAATGTTTTATTTTCGAACTCGCGAACTATCAAACTTCTGAATTCGCGAGTTCCTAAATTCTCAAGGTTCCTCCAAATTTTCAAGTTGCAAAAGTTTTAAGGTTCCAAATTTTCGAATTCCCAAGCACCCAAATTCACAAATTCCTAAGGTCCTAAATTTCCAAATTCTCAAATTTCCGAATTCTAAAGTTCCCAAATTCCCAAGTTTCCAAATATTCAAATTTCAGAATTCCCAAGTTCCAAATTCCCAAATTCCCAAGGTTCCAAATTCTTCGATTACCGAATTTTCGAATTATCAATATACCAAATTCTAAAATTCTCGAATTCTAAAGTTCCCAAATTCTCAAATTTCAGAATTCCCAAGTTTCCAAATTCTCCAATTACCGAATTTTTGAATTGTCAATTTTCTAAATCCCCAAATCCCCAAATCCCCAAATTCCCAAATTCCCAAATCTCCAAATCCCCAAATCCCTAAATTCCTAAATTTCTAAATCCCCAAATTCCCAAATTCCCAAATCTTGAAATCCCCAAATCCCCAAATCCCCAAATTCTCAAATCCACAAATCCCTACATCCCCAAATCCCCAAATTCTCAAGGTACCAAATTCTCCAGTACTCAAATTTCTAAATTTTCAACTTCCAAGTTCACCAAATTGTCATAATACCCAATCCCAAAATTGCCAAGTCCCAAAATTCGAATAAATCTGCTGGACTCCACCCCAGAAGTTCCAGCTACGTCAGTAGTTATCACTATACAATTATAATGAAGTGAAGTTTATTAAAAGTGTAGTAAAAGAAGTTCACTTCAATGTTTACTATTCTACATAAATATAATATTGCGACAAAGAACTTATAAAACCAATAGTTTGAAAAATTCACTGTAATACTTGCATCACGAATGAAACAAATATACCAAAACTTGCTCCTATCATAAATACAATAAAATATTAAGCTTATCAATCTAATTAATCCAATTAACTTATTAATCCAATATACTCGAAAACATTGACCAAAGTATATCAAACAATTCCCACTATCATTACAAAACCCTTACTTAACAAATGACTTTAAAAGCTGCCGTCAGCAAAACTATCTTATTAAAATAACTATGTTTTTCCTATCCTATCGCCTGCCATACCCACCAAATACACTAGAAATTAATTTAAAATACACAATCGGCACTTTCTAGAATGCAGCCTGAAATAATATTTACGAAACACCGTCGAAGAAGAAGTTGCAATTTATCGATCAAATAATCCGGCGAGAAAAAGAAAATTCACTGGATGAAAAGTTTCACTGTAGCACAGCAGATCACAAAAATGATTCTCGACTATTTCGGAAAAGAATTGACACGTTGGGACAAGTATACCGAACAGTGGATACTTTTGAATTAGAACATTCGTCAGGTGAAGTTCCCTGGTCGCGGTGTGATAGTACTGTAATGGATTGATAGAAACAACTAGAGGTCGTAACAAGAGTCAATTGTTACCATAGCGATAAACATGCGCAACTAATCCGTTCCTAGACTATGTCGTACAATACTACACGTACGTACGTATGTTTTGCATATATTCGAATTAATAGATAGTTTTCTGCACTGGTTGCAACGTAAGCAGGGGTGCGCGTGCGTTGCTTGCAAGTTCAATGTCAAGTTGTTTCACGTGGATGGATGTTGGATAGACAGAGACAGAAATGGGGGATGAAAGTGCGAAAATTTATTAAATTTAATTTCATTGGTTTTAACGTCGTACGAGAAGACATACGTGGAGTCAGATATTGGACCGTCGTGTATATGTATGATTTAAGAGTTGTAGGTACGATGGCTTCGAGATGTGATTCGAATTTGAGACTTTAGGTTTTGTGGATTTGGGACTTCAAGATTTTAGAATGGACGATTTTTGGAACCTCTGATATCTTGAGACCCGATTTTGGGACTTTTGGGTCCTTTTTGGGACCAAGAAACTTTGGGACCTTTTAGACTTTTGGGACCAGGAGACTTTTAAGTTTTCTGGCACTTCTATTTTGAGGTTATTGAGATTTTTGGGACCTAGAAATATTTTGGGACTTTTGAGATTTTTGGGACCTTGAGAAACTTTGGGACTTTTGAGCCCTTGAAACCTTAGAACCTTTAAAATTTTTAAGTCCTTGGGTCCTTAGAAAACTTTGAACTTTACATTCTTAGAATTGTTCAACTTTAACAACTTTTCAACCTTGAAACTTTTAAACCTTCTAGAAATCTTAAATTTGCAAACCCTCCCAAACCAAAACCCTTTACCCTTTGTACCTAAGAACCCTTAATATTAAGGCTTCAAAATATGCATCACGAATGGAAAAGTTTTCGAAAAATGGATCCGTATTCATACAAGTTTAAGAATCCCCAGATTATACGTTGTTTTTTGCAGAGGATTATTTGGGTTACGGTCATATGTCGATACGTTTATAACATGCTTATACAGAAATCAGTACCTCGTTCACAGAAGGAGATTACCTTGGGTATATGAATAATCTACAACTGGTTCGTAACCCTCCTTCTTGGATTAAACCAATAAAGGCATTGTGAATACATAAGCTTGGAAATATCGACACTGTCGACAACGTTTCAATCATTAACCATATCCATCACACAACTGCTTTACTCTCATATGAATATGGATAATTCTTACAAGGTAAACTGTTTATACGTTCAAATCCTAATTTTTATAAGTCGCACCTTCGTAACACGTACGTTTTCGTTATTTATTATACAATTTTATAGTAATAGAATTATAGTAAACTTTATAACCATTACTTTTATAGTTATAACTTTATAACTGTAATTATTAGTTATAACTAATAATTTTATAGTTATTGCAACAGTTGAAAGTGACAAACATATTATTTATTATATTTAGAGTAAAATAATGAAATAAATATTACTGATTGTCATTGATAAATTATCATTTTATTACAAATAATATTTCATATTTATTCTTCATCATTCTAGACTCTAGAGGTGTCCAAGGAAAGTCCCTCATCCCTCTATCGTGTACCTCAAGAAATACACTTAGAAAGTAGGGGAATCCCAAAACACTATTGATCACGTGCGATCTGTTGTATTTATGTCATAACATTGCGTATCTTTTAATATTATGTGTCACGTGTATGTAAAACGAGATTTGAAGTTGTTGCAGTAATAAAAATTTATGACACCTATAGTTGGACAATTTAACCTTGTCTTTAATACCATTATATTTTACATGATTTCTAACCTCAAATATGTACACTGTGTATATTAACCTTTGAAGTGTGAAATTATACATTGATGAATTCTGATGTAAACCTTCACAAATGTATGTTACAAAATGAATAATCGTACTTAATCATTCATATTATAATTCTAAGAGGGAGAAAAGGTATGATACACGTGTATATACATGTATAAATTCATATTAACATTGCAAGTTTAAAGGACCACTAAGTTAATATACAATCTTAACACAAAAGTAAGATGAGTGATATCAGTGAAGAGATTTCTGATGCACAAAGTGAGAAAGGTGAAGATTTTACAGTCGATAATTATGATAAAGAAACAGATAGCAATGATTCCTGGTGTGATGTTTCAGAGTCCAATAATGATGAAAATGTGAGATTAAATTGATATAATTTTACTAGTACATAATTTAGAAAGCTATTTTTGTATTTTATATTAACTACTATCAATTATAATTATTTTTATTATCACTCAGACTCCTCAAAATGATGAAATGAAAGTGGATGAACAACCGCAGAATGGATCTGTGCTCGCTGGAGGCCACAGATTTGACAGGACATTGATATGCGTTAAATATCCTGGAAATGTTATTAATCCAGAGAAAGCTGTTGAAACTTTAGGCGGTATCCATAATATTTCAACAGTATGATTTCATTTTTCTCTAACATAAATGTACATACATAGATATTAATTGTACATATTATTAACAGGCAGTGGATACTTCAAATCGACGTCTGGAATTGAGATTTAGGCCAGATGATGTTTATTGTAAACCAACTTGTGGTGACAGACATAATACTAATGGGTTTCTGCTTAGAGTTCGAATTAAAAGAAGATCAAAAGAAACAGATGCATCTCAAGCAAGCGAACCATCCACAAGCAGTGCAAACATAAATAATGAAACTGATAACAAAACAAATGATAAAACTAATAAGCACTTTTCAAAAATGCCTGATATGTCTCAAAGCTGTGATATTCATAACACAAACAAAGATAAAGATGAACAACTTGTATCTGAATTGGTTAATCAAGTACAAAGTTGCAGCGTTAAAAGTTCAGATGACATATGTTCTTCTCATAATTTATTCTCTGAAATTGAGTCTAAAGAATCACCAAATGTATCCATAGACACAGGCGATACAACTTCACCAAAACCAAAAAACATTATGCCTACATTTGATCGTAATAAATATCAAGACCTATCTGATGATAAAGACTATCAACTGCCAGAATTAACAGTTTTAGGAAAAGTTAATACAGAATTTAGATTTACGAGTATGTGTTATTCGAAATTATTTATTCTTTTTTAATAGTTTTTCGTGACATTTCCATGTTCTTTTAGATCTTTGTGATTTTCAATATTTACCAATGGCTCCATGCAAAGATGACCCTAAAACATTAAAGTGCATATATGACCAAATTTATCCACACAATATACTACATTATTCTTGGTTAAAGAATGATGTACCTTACTTCTTACCACCAGCTGCGTTCAGCAGAATGGACACTGTACAACAATATACGCCAAAAACTGAAGTAAATTCATACCCAGAAAACGTAATAGGCAAAAGTAGAAAACGGAAAGCGGGTTTTTCAAATTTTATATATTTTTCTACACCTGAAGTTCCTACAAAACCACCAGCAGGGATAGAAACTGCTATGAAAGTGAAATTTGTTCGAAACGCTGACTTTGAACAGATGCGTCAAATATTTGAAGAGCGACCGATCTGGTCCAAAAATGCGTTGATGTATATAACAAAATTTTCTAGCGATCGATTAAAAATTTTATTACCGTCTGTAGCATATTACTTTATGACTGGCCCATGGAAAATTATGTGGGTGAGATTGGGATATGATCCAAGAAAAGACAGTTCCGCAAGGAAATACCAAACCTTGGATTATAGATTGAAAGCAATGCGTGAGTTTTTTATTTAAATAATAAGATAATCATCATATATAAAATGTTTTTATTATATAGATGGTCTGGGATCCACTGTCAAATGTAAAAGGAATTATGCAAATTATACATTACCATATAAATCAACGCCAGCTGCAAAACAAAAAACAATTATATCAAATGCCGGTTTCAGCCAAGAGCAGATGTATAAAAAAGAACAAGATTTAAATGAGAATGCGTATATTTATAGAAATGGAACAATACCACCTTCCAGACAAATGTTTTATCAAGTATATTATTCTCTTCATAAAAATTAATTAGAGTTATTAATTTTATACTTTAAATGTATAATTGTTATTAGTACTGCGATGTCCTGGTAGATGAAATACAAGAGATGTTGGCGAAATTACCAGATCCTGCACCTGGCATAAGATGCCACGAGAAAAGAGGCTGGTTACCAAGTGGTTTCGATGCACAATGCAGAGAGATTATTAATAAACAAGTTCGAGCTGTTCTAAGAAAGCAAATGAATATACCCGAAGACCGTACGTATAATAATTAATAAATTAATATATAATTACTAATTATAATTGCAATAAAAACTAATTTGCTTTGTTTGTTTATTTTGCAGATCCCACGTCTATGCCTAGAAAGCGTGGAATAAAACGTGGGATTAAACCAAAGCGTAGTATGCTTGACAGCAAAGCGAGGAAAAGAAAAAAAGAATCACCTTCCACTAGTACTGTTACAGAAGAAATGTCGTGAGTTAAATCTTACTACTTTTTATGTATGGCTTGACAAATAAATAAGACATTCCTAAAGTTAAAGTTTATTAAAAAATGTACAGAATCTATTTTCCAAACGTCTACTAATAAATATGATTACATCGTTGATTACTGGATTTAACTGCGAATTAAACACGACGTTGAAAATATTGTTATGTTCTTTTTGTGAGGAATGAGTGCAGGTAGAGCGCAGCCGACGAGACACGTTCCAATAATACTGATTAATCGATAGTTTTGTTACAAATATCTCATAACATACAAATTTTTTATCGACTTAATTATTTTGACTAAACATTATAAAAACATCATTTTATTCTCGTATCTGCACTTAATAGGAACAAATTTAGATCAGCTTATTTTTGCTTGTTTGACTCGCGTCTCGTCTAAACTGCAACAGAAATAGATAGGACAAGTGCCGATGACGCAGAGATTTATCTATGATGTCTTCACAGACGTAAGCCAGGATTGGTATTGGCCACGTAGCTCAAAAGTTCTTCAGAATCTTCGCAGACGAAAGGTTTCTGATGGTAGCAGGCTACGTCGTGCCAGCTAATTCCATCCTTGTACACGTTGTTCAAAACAGACATGCAGGACTCGTTGGTGCCGTTTATGTCGAATTCAGCATTGTCCGGTTGTCTGACTTTCTTGTGTCCGGTTTGAGACCATGGATTGAAGCTCCAACCTTCGGGTACCTGGTGGGTTGGCGCCATCTTCTTCCTGTTTGCGGACCAGAACCAGCCGTAAATGGCTTTGGGTTCGAGGTCACGGCGATTCTCACAGCCTTTGAAGTCACAGAGACGTCCGGATGTCCAAATGTAGGGAACATCATCTACGCAAAGAATTATTTATTAAATCGGGACGAATTTTATTCTTTAATTTGTTAATTCATAGCTTACAATAGTAAAAAATTTCAAATTATATTGTTTTGTTTAAGTCTTGAATAGTGACCGAGCATTCTTGCTATCTTATATTTTAATATTTTACTATTCCATCATACTACTATACTGCTGCTTTGCTATATAACCATTCCATCTTTTCAGTCTAATATTATAATATATATCAAAGCGCAAATAATAATACTACTGTTATTTCACTATTCCATTACTTTATAGCACACCATGCCATAGTAAACTTAGTGGGATAGTAATATAGTAGTCAAGCAGTACAATTAGTGAAATAGTAGTATAACTGTATAATAAGACCTAACACTGAGAACTTTCAATGAATTCTTTAGGGGTTCAAGTAGAATTCTATGCTATAAGACCATAACAGATAACAGAAGACGAACAGTACTGAAAAATAAATTACTGTGACCCAACAATTAATGCTGACTATTAAATGGACCACCTAATTGAAATTTAATTGAGAATAATGTGTTATAGTTTTCTATGTTATACTAATAATTTTAATTACTTTGTTGAATAAGTCTGTAGATTAAGTTGTTCTCATCTTGGGTCTCCATTGATATAAGATCCATGCAATATTCTCTGCAGATGTTCCTTGCGTCTAACCAATCCACCCTCTGATTAGCATGAGCTGGAACATGTCCACTGTAGAAATAGTTGTGACCTCTATAGTTGAATTCCTTTGGTCCTGCAAAACATATAGACAACGATTAAGATTCTGTACATAGGTATTTTGCAATTAACATCGTGAACGGTTTGCTTATTTTTGTGAAAGTAGGAAGAAACCAGTCAAAATTTAGTTGTCTACGTTGTATGCATAATTGAAGCGAAACTAGTCTCAGGATGAGATTATCGACTGCTTAAATGTCAACGGTCTAAGTGTTTTTCCCGGTATTATTATTTATGCAGAGACGCCGTTCTCATCGACGGTTTACAACGTGTATCTCATTGTGAGAACCTAACGTTCTTATTGCGAAACAACTACTCATATTGAACGATGTTACAACTCGTTTCTGTTGCTTCTGTTTTGAATATGTAGATTTTTTGAACACGTCATTATTAGGCCATGACCGGTTGACTATATTTCAATTAGCAAAGTAGGACTAACAGTTTATTTTTCTTCATCATTACCAATTGAAATAGGAAAATATGCATAAACATATATGTATGTACATACATGGCAATAAACCATGGACACATTGAACTATGCATATTTAGGTTAGGATGTTAACACAGGTTTGGTTAGGTTAGGGAGTTCCCTTATATTTTTCATGAGGTTCATATACATTAAACAATATTTTATAAAATTTACATCTGGAATAATTATACGTATTAAGTTTACTTAATTTATATAAGTATGAAGGTTTTCATATAAGTATCTCATCTGCTTATTGGTGATATAGGGGGTTCCCACATTTAGGGATCTCTCATGTGAATTTTCCAAAACAATCATAATTAGAAAATTTGATATTTCAATTATTAAATACTTAATCATTATTTAACTTATTACATTTTGTTGTTGTTACTGTTCAGTGCTAATACAGGGGATTCCCACCCTTTAGGGATTCTTAAATAACTTTTCCAAGAGAATCATATAATTTAAAAAATATATTACAAAACTTAAAGCCCAGACTACAATACTTAATTTATTTCATTTTTATGAAATAGACATTTCTAAATGCAAAATCCGGGGTGCATGTTCCACTTTCCCATAGTTAGCTACAAAATTGTTTTTATATAAATATTCATAGCGTAATCATCATGAAATATGGAATAAAATTAACGATAAGAATAACGAAACTCTGTATTGAAATCGACGATCTCTTGTAGTAACACGATAAAGAAGAAGAAGAAGAAGCATCATGAGTCAGAAATTACGACATAGGACAAACAACTCGTGATTCTGGTTGCTAGAATAAGTTTAACGAAGTGTCTGCGGGGAAGGGAGAGAATTATTGCAGCGATACCAGCGTTGCTGAATAACCGTAGCCTTGAACATCTGACATTTAGCATCTCTTCGGATTAAAAAGTATCTTCGTTTGTTTCGATCTTCATGCTATCATTGATTTTCATTATTGTTTTCATAAAGACCTACAAAATGCGAAACATCACTACATATGTGTAATCATAAAGTGGGGCAAAATGAGAGGAGTCCCTCTCAAACGCCCTCTCTTATGAGAAAATAAAATACAATACAATCATAAAGTATTATTCGATTTAAATTTCAAATCTAACCTAGTTTCGAAGATAAAATAACTTGTCATGTTAGGTTAATCTAGGTTAGTTTCCCTCGATGTTAACACTGTGATTATCAGATATAAGACCTGGGTTCATGTCCCCTGTGGTCAGAATGACGTCAAGAAATATAAAAAGTGGCAAAACCGACCACTTTCTTTCAATAACTTTCTTTTTCATTCGAGATATCTGAAAGTTGTCACCTGCCCCTACCGCTGTCCATTGAGGTGTGGTATAATTCCCCTAGGGTGTTTTTGAACCTTTTTCATGACCTATTTTTTATTTATCGAAATTTAATTTCTTCCAGTAACAAAATGATCAAGTACAACTTTTCGCGCCAGTTGACACGTGCCTCATTAACTGACCCTGAAGATGGCTCCTATAAAAAACCGATGAATTTACATAGTTGAACGTGTATTACTAAAATGATATGTAGGTAACGAAACTAACACGCAATGTAAAACAGCTAAGATCTCATTAATAATTAATTAATATTGATTTGTACGCATATGCAATATATAACATTTCTATGAAATTCTGTATTAATTATTAAACAAAATTTTGCAATATTTTCTATTAATTTAATAATTATTTAATATGTTAGATGTTATATTATCTATTAATGATAATATTCTATATTATCTATTAAATTAACTACTTATTTATTCTTAATAAATATTTAGAAATTCTTTGAACATTAATGTTAAAATTAACCACTGCTATACTGTATTACTGTATTTTAGAAATTGTTAAGGAGAAAATACAGGGAGAGTCCCAGGGGAATCGTGGGCTTAGAGACCGTATTATCTTCGAAAGAAATAATAGACTGCATTTAATCATTGTAGGGTTTACGCATACCATCGGAACGATCATCCTCAGAAGTTCCTTGACACAATGGCGAAGTATGCGACTGCCTAAAGGCGCATAAATGTTTAATGGACGATGATATAACGATCGTAAATTACGAGTATATGTATAAGCGAAGGAGAGAGCCTGCCTGTTCTTGCAATTATGTACAAACGTTCGAACGCATAGCCGGATGAAAACAGAGAAAACTTCTAATTGCTGGAAGATGATATAATCGCGGAGAACGATGCTTTGTTCTCAGACGTTTTCTAAACCCGTTAGGTTAACATCAATGAACTTCCCGACTACAGTTATTCCAGCAATACGTATACTCGAGTGCGACGTATGTTTGGGTGAGGACAGGATTTTGGGAGTGGTTATTTGTAATTTGAAAATTTTTGGGCTTCAAATTTGAGAATTTTTTATTTTTCGAATTTTCACAGTCGTGAATTTTCAATTTTCCGAATTTCCAAAGTTGTGAATTTGCAATTTTTCGGATTTCCAAAATTGTGAATTTACAATTTTATGAATTTCCAAAGTTGCGAATTTTCAATTTTCCGAATTTCCAAAATTGTAAATTTTTAATTTTCAGAATTCTCAATTTTCCAAATTTCTAAATTTCGAAATTCAAATTTCTAGATTTTTGAATTTCTGAATTTTTCAAATTTATAAACTTCTGAATTCCTAAATTTTCCAAATTTATAAATTTCGAAATTCCTAAATTTTCCGTATTCCTAAACTTCTGAAATTCTATACTTCCCAAATTTGTATATTTCAGAATTTGTAAATTTCCAAAATTTCTAATTTTCTTAATTCCAAAATCTCCAAATTTGCATATTTCAAAATTGTCAATTTTCGAAATTTCACCGTTGGACTAATGTTTCAAATACCAGTCAGTAAAAGTTTATATTTAGGACAGGTATGAACATTTATGCCGCCAATATAATATACACATTCATCCTCTCGCTATATTGCCATCTACCAGACAATCGCAATGAAGAACTTATAGTTATACAACTAAATTCACAAACTAGTTTCCTCATTTCATCTCCGATATTATGTGCCACTGATTTGATCTCTCATACGTGATACACCTCGATTTGATCTCACATGTGGCAATATAACGCGTGATTATACACCATGTGACGAAATAACAAATGATGGCACAACACGTGACGATATAAAGTTGGATTATTCAACGCGTGACGACTTAAAATTTGATTATACAACAGGTTGCGATATAATGCAGGAGGTATAAGATTTATTTATATAAATAAAGGGAAGTGATTCAAGTGACACCCATAAACTGACATTTGCTGAATTCGCAAGTACTTCGACAACGAAGAAGTATCAATGGAATGGAAAGCTTTCGCTTTCACGTGTCACAACCTGCACGTGTTCCGCAGTCGGGAGTAACGTCACCCAAAGGTTTTAAGAAAGCGACAAACACTTAATTTATGCATACGAGACGGTTAATATTTGCCAATAAGAAAGAGGAAAAGAAAGTGCACTGTTGATTCAGTCTCGCTCCATTTTTAAGAACTTTGACACACATGAAATCATCGATGCAACGGTACTTGCAAATATGTCTGCAAAAACATATAGGCTGATTCACATTTGGGTCTGAATCACTTGTAAAGTGTTTGTCATATAAGAAACAAAAGTGGGACAAAAATGGTCTCTCAAAAATATTGAGGGATGTATACAATAAATTAATTAGTTTATTTTACTTTTTTAATTGTGGTGGATCAAATTTAATGATGCAGTTGGAAAGAGTATTGAATGAGTAAAAAGTTAGTAGAGTGTATGAGTTAGAAAATTAATAATTACCGAGATATTTTTCTTTAACATATTCAGCTTTAAAATATATTAATTTCAACTTAAAATAAAAAATTGAAATTGAAAGATAAGAACCTAATAACATTGAATATGACGGAAAGCAAAATGGCGGACTCGCTGTTAGAAAACAAAATGGCGGACTCGCTGTTAGGAAGTAAAATAGCAGACGCTATACCAGAAAACAAAATGGCGAACGCTATACTAGAAAACAAAATGGAGATCGCTATACTAGAAAACAAAATGGCGAACGCTACACTAGAACACAAAATGGCGGACGCTCTACTAGAAAACAAAATGGCGCACACTATATTGTATAAACAAACTGGTGCTTGCCCATCATGGTTTAAAATTGCATATATTTCTCAACTAATCATTTTTTTTCTTATGATTGTATTCTTGTTTCCTTATGTTCAATGCTTCTTATGTTCTCGTTTTCTTCTGTACAATGCTTCTTACGTCCTTTTCTTCTGTTCAATCCTTGTTATGTTCTTGTTTTCTTTGGTTCAGTGCAGCACAATGCCTTTTGATTCAATAATGTTCACTTATTATTAAGGAAAGGAAGAGAAATGATTTCAATTAGCAATACCTAAATAATACTTGTTCTGAAGCGATAGTTGGGTTGATGACTATTGTGTACGCGTAGCCAGGGTTCACAACCAGACAGTAGACATTGAGTAAACAAGTGTTTTGATCAAAAAGTGTGATCAGAGGAAAATGAAAGTCAGGTAAGTGAAACTTGTTGGCACTAGAGTCAATAGGTCGACACCATAAGTCCCAGGATTGAGCATAATGAGTTTCCTTTTTCTTCGCGGTATTTCTCTGTAATTATTTTCTTTTCAAATACAAGTACGTTTAGATAGCGGTCTCTTTAAGTCTTGGGTCGTGACATCCATTTTGAATGCGCGAATAGGCAACATTAAGGATTATGGTAATAACTAGTATTTTATTATGGTAAATCATAAAATTAAGTTAAATTTGGATTAACTTATATAATAACTAGTATACAACAGTATTAATTGTTATAATTTATAATTTAATTTAATTGTATTTAAGTTAACTTGATATTAATTAACGTTACCACTGAAAACCAATGCAATACTTAATATTAATTACTATAATAATTAATAATTATTAGCAATAACTATCATTATAATTAATATATACCAGTGTTAGTTATTGCACTAGTTATTAGATACTATTAACTACTGCAATAGCTGTTAAATACTATTTTTGATTAATATTAGTATGTAGTAATATCAAATATCTATTTACTATTAACTATTGTAATAATTGTTGTAGTAGCAATAAATATTATGATAATTATTAGCTGGTATTGTAAACTATTATAATAATTGTTGACTGTTAATAGTAACTTTAGTAATAACTGGTACTCTATACTCTATAGTATTAACTAGCATAATTATTACATACTAATAATTTTAGCTAATAAGCTATCATATTAAGTACCAACTACTAACTATAACTAATGTAATAGTTATCAGTTATTATTAATATATATTATAATAGTTACCCTCTAGTGGTAATAATTATCTAGTAACTATTATAATATTTAGTATCTAGTGGCATTAATTATAAGTATGTATAGTGATTGTAACAATAATATTAAATATTGCAATAATTTTATAATTGTAATAATAATTTTAAATACAATTAAATACAATTTTTAAATAAAAACTGTAATAATTGTACAAATAATTTTAAATATTAGAAAAATTGCAAGATAATTGCATTAACTCTTATAAGTAGTTAATCAGTAGGAATAATTGTAATAATATATATTTATCTGTTAATATTAACTATAATATTCTACTAGTTTTATCAGTCGTGGGTTAGTAGAATAAATCATAATAATAGTTCCTAACTAGTGCTACTAATCATTGCAACAATTATTAACTAGTATTAACAATAATAATTAGGTACTAGTAAACTTCAACATCCTAATAACTATTTGCTACTAAAACTAATTATCATAATAGTTGTTTATTAAGAGTATTAACCATCATAATAAGGATTAGTTGCATATAATACTACTAGGGGTAATTATTGTAATAGTAGTGAACTGTAGATATTACTTATAATTATTAAAATACTATCAGTAAGTATTATAATAATTAATAACTGGCAATATTAAGTATCACAATATTTATCAATTACTAGTATTAGTTTTACTATCGCTAGTAAAATTTATTATAACAGTTATCTAGCAATAATAGTAACCACAATAGATCTTAATAATGAATATAAACTATATTATAATAATCAATATCTACTTAACTATCATAATAATTACTAGCTAATAATTTCATAGTATCATAATAATGAAAATTAATTACTAAATACTACTATTACAATAATTACCAACCAATTGTTAAATATCATTATCATAACAATTTTTTGTTTGTGTCATCAACTATAAATATCCCTATAGGATAATCCCTGCTACCAATAAACAAATACAAGGATAGTGATGAATCTATGGTGGATTAAAAGTCGTCTAGAAAGTAGGTTTCGCACAGGCTTGGATTTAAGTTTACGGTTAAAGACTAACACCATTGTATAGGTGAATAACGAGAGCCAGGATGGAATTATCTTTCGTTTCGCAACAATTCCTGACATTTTCGTGGCGACGAAACGCCGGCCTTTTGTAAAGTTGTCAGTCAAACAACCATACAAACAACATGTTGTAACTATCAGATGATCGATTCAACGGCAACTCGTTAATCGCGGAGCTCCTTGGTATCACGAAGGTTGAAAAAAATATCTTGATTAAATGGTATTTAAGACATCAAGGTCCTCGCTCGCTTTTAATGAATTATCTTTTCATTCTTCCTTTGTTTAAAGGTCGCATCATGCTTCATAATTCTCCGGCGCATAAGCGGATTTTACCAGAAATTCAATTAACGATTTCAAAACGATATCCGAAAAGAACTGCGACAGAAATGGACGATCAATTTTACTATTCATTAGTTTTTTTAACTACCACCGATCTAAATTAATATGCATGTATGTAGATGGATACAGCGTTATGTAACTGGCTGCCTTTTTATGGAAATCCCTGTTCATAAATTAAAAATTATGTAGGCAGATTCTTTCGGCGTTGACATAATCAGCTGGATGTAGTCTCTCGAAAGGTAGATCGAATCTTCTTTTAATTGCCAAACGCATCTAATTATATGACTTATAATTCATTACACGTATTCTGTACAACTACTACGTTAACAGCTGTTTCAAAATTTCCATACATTATTCGTTTCATTCATTTTTTACTCGTCCTGGAAAATTTTGACGAGCCTTAAAATATGCGTTGTTTTTGAATCTTCACGAATTTAAATTTGTACTAATTTTAACGAAACTTTTGGCGGGTGTTACATTTTTTCGCTAACGCATACAATGTGATATCCCCCAGATTGGTGGATCTCATTAACTTTCTAACAGCTCGTCCTTAAGGCTGATATAAGTGGATGTGCCTTGCATTTTTTACTTTCACCGAGCACCCGATTCTCATAAATTTTATTTCGAAACAAGTTACGTTTATTACCACATAGACGGCGGAGATGTTACCAGAATAAAGAAGATGAAACAAGAGAGCGCCGGCAACCGGATGTGTGTATTAAACTAGAACACCAATGGATATCGAAGCGGAGTGGTGGCAATAGTGATTTACTGATATCTGTACTGATAGTTGAGACATATTAATAGATGGTCTGACAATTTATTGTTAATAGTATACTGATAAGATTAATGATGTTGATATGAATATTAATAGATATATTGATAAGGTGTAGAGTATACTGGTAATAATACTTGATATTGTAGTATATATTGATATTATTATTATTAGTAGAACTAAGAGTATAGTATTGACATTATTAGTAATAGTACATAAATATTGTAAAATTAATAATAGCTACTATAGTAATAGTAACAGCACATGTTCATAACAATAGTAACACACAGTGTTGAGAATGTCAATACTAGTATTTAATACTCACACTATGAAAAAGGTTGATACTAGTAGTGGTTGCTAACAGTAATAATAATGCATTGCTACTAATAATAATATAGTGCTACTAGTGTATATAACACTATATTATATAATATGCAACACACACATAACATTTATATTGCTGCTATTACTGCTACAGTATTCTGTTACTATTACTACAATAAAGTAATTACTGTTATTATAGGAAACATATTGTATATTAATAGTAACAGCAGTAATATACACTAGTACTAGTAGTAATATTGATAGCTTTTATTAATAGTAATAATGATACTAGTAGAATATATTTATACTATATTAATTTGTTGATGTATATAAATACTGCAGGAATAATACTGTATCATAATATTACTGATAGTACAACAATTATTACAATAGTTACCAATAGTTAATAGTAAATAGATACTTGATATTACTTCGTACTAATATTAGTCAAAAATAGTATTTAACAACTATTGCAGTAGTTAATACTATCTAATAATTATAATACACACATAGTACTAATATAAAACTACTATGTAGTATGTATAATACTACATGATACTAATAGGATACCAATAACATCAATAGTATACTAGTACTAGTAGTAATGCAGAAAACATCTGTCAATACTAACAGTAATATTAATAGCATATAATAACAGTATAGGTATGTAATGACACATACTATCAGTAATAATACTAACAGTAAATTATAACATTATTAATGTATAGTAGTATAATAGTACTAGTATTATATACTAATACCAATAGTAATGCAACTAGCATCTACCAATACCAATAGTAATATTAGTATATAGTAAAACTATAATAATAGTAATAGTGATATTAATAGAAATATTAGAATATTAAATTAGAATACTAATTATTAGAATATTAATTATTAGAATACTAATATTAGAATATTAATTAAATGTGGGAGCGTAAAACCACAGCAACAGTAGTAACATATGCTAGTACTAATAATAAAATTATTCCATGTACCAATTTTAATAGTCATAATAGGATACGTATTATACATCAGCAATACTAATAACCTGTACTAGTACCAATAGTAATACAAATAGTGTGTAGCGATATTAATAGTTATGTTAATACTATACATATACTTTTAGTATTTCATAGTGTAGTGATTGTATATAGTATTAATATTATGTACTAGTATATATTAATATAGTAGTAATATTACATAGTATTGTATATTAAAATAGTATCAGTATTACATACTATTATACTAATATAGTATACTAGTGCAGTATTAGTAATATACATATTATTAGTCATATACTTATACTAAACATAGTATTTAATATAAGTATATGATAAACTGCAGTGTATATGTATAGTATTAGTATATAATATTATTATATTAAATTGTAGTACTTGTAAATAATAATGTTATATTAAACAATAGTATTAGTAAATAATAGTATTGTATTAAATACTAATTCTGTTTTTATATTATATACCAATATAATAGTATATTATTAATGTGTAATATACTGGTATATTATTATAATAATACTGCAGCGATAGTAATAAGCCCGTATTATACAATAACGGTAACTTTAATGACCTAACACCAATCACGGATCGATTTAGACACGAATCGATGGACCTATAAACGTTTATCACGTGAACAACCCGATCCAACTGAACCGGTTGACCAGATCGTCCCGGAAGTCCACCGAATTCTTACTCGTTCAGCACACGGAAACGAAGACCCAGATTACAAATTCGCAATGGACATCTCCAGCTCTTTACAGTACACGTGTACTTGGAGAACCGGCGGATGATAAATAAGGAACGAAAACAATAGGACGACGCATGCAAAATAAATGAAATCAGTGTTCGTTTCGTAATGTTGTTGTTTCCATGCTAATCTTGGAAAGAGTCCAGACATCCTGGCATCTCGATGTTGAATTCGAAATCTGAGAAAGTGCATCGAAGATGCGATACGCCGCCACTATTGCAATCCTCTTTTGCCGACTTATTAACACGAGCTAACCAACCTCGCCAGGCACCCACCGTCAAAAGTGAACAACCGAGTAAAGTGCTTGCACAACACTCAGGTAACTATCTGTTGCACGTTTAAAAATGTATGATGCGAGATTGCGAGAGAGACTTCTTCAACGTGTATCAGCCGGTTTAACCTCGATTTCTTTCAGCGACCACAGGAGAACGTGCCAGAGCATTTAAATACCCGGGTGAATATCCCGGGTATAGTGTTTCATCCTTCGTATTAGATAGGGTAAATAAGTGACGTACTTGAGATTTAATCTTAGAAGGAACTCGATTGATTCAAAATATTTCTTGTTCGGTTTTGTGATATGTAGGATTCCAGTCTTGTTCAAAATATTTTGATGTTTTGATCGAAAGGACCTTGTGATATCAATGATACCACATTTTTATGCTAATCACACAGAAGTTCTCAGGTTATTTGTTAGATTGTAAAAGATTTGAAAATAGGGTTTATTTTTTGCTTTGCGAAAACTTAATAAGAATATTTTAGAGGTAATTTATAGTAATTCATAAAAAAACGTTTAATATAAATTTTTGCAAATTTTTCTAGTGTCTTTTTTTCTGTTTTCTTTGGGGGAACTTAACCCTTTTAGTGCGTCACTAATTGTAAGATAAATAATACTGGAATTGCCAGTTTAAGATGTAAATTAAATACAAAATTTGTGTTTTACATTGAAAGTAATTATTTATGTAATTAGTATAATAATTAGTTTATTTTACATAGATTGTATTGATAAGAAATTTTAAGTTATTGCATATTTTATTATTACTATTATTAATATTATAGAAATTTTAGATTTTTACTTTGTACGCCTTGTTAAGTTTAGATCTGTTGCAATTTTAATTTGGTAATTTTTTATTAATTTATTTAAATATTTTAAAAGAAGGACTTTTTGTATAGTATTATATAGTACTATATAGTAGAATATTACTATCATTGTATTACTTTATTATATCATTTCATTACTATACTTCACTATTACTAATAATAAATACTGATTACTATTAGTTCTACTACAATAGTACTATTAATACTACAGTATTAGTATAGTAATATGTATATTACTATACCTATAGTAATACATACATTACTATACTGATTTGGACCAAAAGCACAATTACAAACCCCAAAATTTTACAGAGTGATTTATACCAAAAAAGCAATTCAACCTGAAAAATTAATTCTAGCTTGCAGAAATGAAAATCTTTATCTCTTTATGTCTCACTATTATTTAAGTGAAAATTAGAAAAACCTTTATAGCTCTGTGGGGTTCATAACTGTGTTACTAGGTCAAAATTTCTTAGACGTAAATAAAAAAAGTCTACTCACGGTTCGCACACTTCTGCGGTATGGGAAGAGAAAGAAATCTTCCTGGTCGATTAGATTGCGGCCGAATTTCATTTATTGCCGGTTGAGCATTCACGAGCGCCGTGAAAAACACCACGGCCAGAGGCACCAAAATCATCTGGAAAATAAATATAACTATTTTAACATTGCAACAAAATATTACCTGCTAAATTCCTATATATCTTATATTTTACTTTTAACAAAATTCTAAAGTCATTGTTAAAATAAAAAATACTTAAGAATTTTTAGTTTCAAATTTTACTTAATTTTAGTTATACCTCGTTTTCAGTTCTCATGGATAATTATATTATTTCAAGTTTATATCCCTCTCCCACCCCACTCTCATTGTAAATTGTATTTTCTTTGTATTACAATGTAATAAAAGTACTTGACATTGATGGGAAAAAAGAAAGATGGTACACGTTATTCATTATTAACTTTTTTCCCTTCAGCACTCACCTTGTCTCACACGCTTCTCTCGCCTTTCTCTTAATAAACACTGGAGGTGAACGAAGAGGTTGTCGTTTAAAGAAACGTGGTCACTGATAGGATTATGGAGAGACGGGCACCTCGCTGACGATTATATAGAAATAGTCCCCACCATGACAGAGACTCATCCCACCCTGTGTTACAAGGACTCATCTAGACTCTTCTTTGCTTGTGACCTTAGTCACAAATTGATTTAACAACTCTGATTTATAATTATTTTAGTTTTACCAGAACCTTGCGTGCACGTTCAAGATTTCTTCGGCACGAGGATAAAAGCATAAATTTCAAGTTTTACCTCGTTATGTTCGGTTAAAATTAACGGGAACCTTGTGGGCGGCCATCGGGAACCGGCATCATACTTTAGTTTCATAAAATAACGAATTAATTCTACGTAACCTTAATGTTATCTTAATTTGGTGAGATGGTTTGGCCTCATGTAGGTTGTTGTCTCCAGTCATATTAAAACTTTGGATATAATCGTTAATCTTATGAGGAACACTGTTGTCCGGCATCAAAAATTGAGTTCAACTGGAAGAAAATTCTAGCTTTAATATTTTACAGTTTAATTTTGTAAAATAGTGTGGCCTCATGTTGGGTATTTATGGCTTCATATCATATCCTAATTTTAGATAAAACCATTACTTTCTATCTTGTGAAGGTCATTGTTGCCTGGCATCATGAATTTAATTTATTCTAATAACTAAAAGATTCTAATCGGCGCTATGCAAATTAATTGTGTAAAATAGCATGGCCTCATGTTGGGTACTTATGGTCTCAAAATATTGTATCCTAATTTTAGATAAAACCGTTACATTCTACCTTGTGAAGGTCATTGTTGTCAGGTATTAGGAATTTAATTTATTCTAATAACTGAAGGAAAATTCTAACCAGCTTTGGTATTATACAAATTAATTGGTACAACAGTATAGCCTCATGTTGGTTATTTATGGCCTAAAGTGAACATATCGTAATTTTCAGTAGAATCGTTAATTTGTATCTTGTGAAGGTCGCCGTACTCTGGCATCATTTGATCGAGTAACTGAAAGAAAATTCTAATTACCTTTAGTATTACAAAAATGAACTTTGTGGAATAATATGGTCTCATGTTGGTTATTTATGGCCTCATGTTGATTATTTATGACCTCAAGCTGTCATATCCTAACTTTAGATAAAATCTTTATTCTTTATCTTGTGAAGGTCATCGTTGTCTAGCATCATACATTTAATTTAATTGAAAGAAAAAGGAATTAAAGAAAATTCTGAGTAGAGGACGACAGAGTACTACTACGGAATATTGACCTCATGCAAGTTATCTATTATTTGCAACCTCAAAAGGTATATTCAGATTGTATAAAAAAACGTTGATCATTATCAAGGTTGCAGAAATTTTTAAGTTGCACCAATACATCTTGTAAGGTAATAAAAATGGCCTCACGCTTATTTGTAGCGTATAAACAGTTAGATTCAAATTTTACATAGAAATGGTAATCTTCAGCTTGTTACTTCTTTACGAATAACCTTCATTGCTATTTGATCATAAGTAAGAGTTAATTGATTATGGCATCACACTAACGATTTCTAGCTTCAAACGTTCGTATTTAAATTGTAGATAATGCTAGTCTGTATCATATTGCTTCTAGATAAGTCTGATTAGTGAATGACTTAATTGGAAATTCCGAGTTAATCAATTATCACTTGATACAGAGGTTATTTTTGACCTCAAATGATCATTTTATGCAAATATGTAAATCTGTATTTTGTTATTTAATCATGAATAATCTTGACTAATGTTTGAAGTTAAAAACTATGATCTCACATGGACCAGTTTTTGCCACAAACTGATTCTCGAATTTTATATAATAATGTTATTCTACATCTTTTCTTGTTTCATAAATAACTTCAATGTCTGTTTAATTATAATTAAAATTGATTTGATTATTGTTTTACATGGATTTTTTCAAACATCAAATTGTGGCCTCACAAAATTAATTAAACTAAACAATCTTATTGCTTGAATATGCATACGAAAATTTTATATAGAAATATTAAGCATCTTGTTTCTTCATAAATAACCTTTTAACCAGCGATGGTTACAATTAAAAGTTAATGAATCGAGGCCTCACGGTTGGTCAATTTTAAGTCTCTTATGAAATGTAGCATTTTTCGACACAAATGTTATGGAAGCATTGTGTTGCTTCTTCACGAATGACCTTAATTAGTATTTGATTATTCATTAAAGGTTGATTAACTGTGGCCTCACACGGATCATTTTCTGCATTAAATGGCCATTATCCGAATTTTAAATAGTAACGCTAATCTGCATCTCGCTTCTAGATGGATAACCTTGAAGATGCATCACGTGCTAACTTTCACCGTGGTAATCGAAGATACTGACAGGAATAGGTGGTAATCAATGTCAACTGCACCACAACTCCTTATTCAGATTAGCTTCATTGTTCCACCTTTTATGGAAAGTATGTAATCGGTCGTTTCAAGTCTGATCCAAATTTTCCGATGATTCGTAGAAATCTGCGGATGATTGGATTTCATTGTAAATCTTTTCTATTATCGTTTTATATTTTTTAATAGTATTAATATACATATACTAATTGCTAAAAGTTTTAGTATGAGGTCATATTTGACCTAATATCTATTGTAGAATTGTAGGAGTATTTATTGTTTCAGAAGTGTTTCATAAATTGCTTAAGTCCCTAGATATCTAAATTTTCAAACACCAGAATTTCTGCATTCCAAATTTCCAAAACCCTAAATCTCTAATTCTCTAAATTATTAAATCCCCAAATCTTTACATCTCTAAATACCCAAATCCTCAAATTATTATATTCTCATATTTCTAAGTCACCAAATCTTTAAATCTCTGAACCCACAAATCCCCAAATTTCCAAATTTCTGAAACTCTCCAAATTCTTATATTCTTACATTCTTATAATTCCAAATACCCAAATTTTTAAATATCTGAAGCCCAAATTCTCAAATTTCTGAATCCCTAAATCCCCAAATTTTTAAATTTCTGAATTCACAAAGTCCTAAATGAGAATTTTCCAAATAACCTAACCTTACATCTCAAAATTTTCAGCATTTCTAAGTCTAAAAATATCTAAGTTTAGATCACGTATAAAGCATAAAAATTAATGGGGTTCCCTTCCCCTACATTGCCATTTTCCTCCTAGAAGCCTGCATTACTTGCCAATGACATGCACAAGCCGCTTCATGGGGCGTGTATAATGCAATCGTTCTCTGTGGCGCTGTTAAACGTTGCATTTTCTCACATTCAAGCATCTTGATGATAAGTTTGTTCCCACAGGTCACAGACTTATGTAAGTGATCATGTGCTTCCAAATGTCCCAGACTCTACTTATTTTCCAGCTGCGAGAAAAGGGCAGTCGAGATCCGGCAACCGTGCGGAATGTACGCATCTTCTCTTTGACATCATATTTTTTACCTATAAACTTTACATTACATGTATATAAATTTTGTATAATTTTGCAATATTAATATGAACGTGAAACTTAAAGACGGACACGGAACAAAAGGGACTAAAATATTAATGAATGTCAATCTATGAAATGCCATTGTCAAGGAAAACGACTCATTATTATCGATCTTTAGTTACATTAATGCTTATGACAAGACCTTGATCAATTATTAACAGAAGCACTAATATCCTGGTAGGTAATGTCGCGTTATGTGTATAGTTCTTGTCACGATATGGGGATGTCATAAATTAGACCCTTGTTGAGCAGCGCTATATGAAATTGATACTTCCAGAAGCGTACACCGAGTTCTATTTTAGCGTTTCATTTCAATAATTTAACACTGCCACCGAATGGGGTCTCTTCACTTTATAAAATTTAGAACGCGCGTCTGGCAAAGTCGTAATAATGCTAAGAGACTGTATCTAGAAAACCCCTTTATTTTCTGTGACGTTTAAAACTGCAACAATTAATTTTCTATTTGTTTGACATGTCATTTTAAAACTGATTTATTAGTCCTTAATATATAACCTCGTATTTTTGCGAAATTATTTTCACAACCATATTTCTCATACTTTATCATGCAATTTTCACATACTGTATATAACCTTTATAATATAATCACAATTATTATAAGTATCATACGTTTAATTACAAAGTTATGAAGCCGGAATTTCCTTTTTGGCGCGAGATTTACAAACCACCTGTTTATCAATCAGCGCCACCTATAATAAGAGTAATTTAAAGTACTTCTTATACGAACTTGGAATAACCATATGATATTTAAGTTTCTAATATAGTAAAAGTATTTATACATACATATAATATTTCAGTGAAGTGAATGATGATTAAATACGTTTGAATTCTATTATGCTCAATTCTAAAGGGAATAAGATTGTCAAGAGTCACATAACCTGTAACAAATAGTTAAGTTCTTTGTGAATTACAAACAAACGAATACAAAAATGAGTAAGAAAGATATTATACAAGCAGTTGTTCTTGCGGATGATTTCGTGACGAGTTTGACACCTATGCAAGATGTATTTCCAAGTATTTTAATACCGGTGATAAATGTACCGCTTTTAGATTATTTAATTGAAACTCTAATTAAATCCAAAGTTCAAGAACTGTTCCTATATTGTAGCAGTCATGTAGATTTAATAAGAGCATACATCAAAGAGAAAAAGTCATTAAGGATATCGATTTCATTAATTGTATCAGAAGGTTGTACTTCCATTGGCGATGCTCTGAGAGACATCGATGCAAAAGGATCGATTCGTGGCAATTTCATATTAATAAGAGGAGATGCATTTATTAATGCCAATCTTATGAATGCTTTGAGCGCACATTGTGCTAAACTTGAGAAAGATAAAGCTACCACAATGACTATGTTGTTGAGAAACGTTGGTTCCTTGAATGATTCTCTTTTGAAAAGAGAGACGTGTTTAGTCGTTTCTGACAAAAGCACTAAAAAGATTTTGCATTATAGCAAACTGAGGGACAACGAGAAGAAAGTTGAGTTAGAACTAAGTTGGTTTTTGGATCATGGTGAAGTCGACATTAACACTTGTTATATGGATACTCATGTTTATTTATGTTCTCCTTCTGTGCTTCCATTATTTTCTGACAATTTTGATTTCCAGGTAAGTTTTTGTTTAATAAATAGTAACATATAGTCTAAAAGTAATAAATAGTTTAATACAATAAGTTTTTAACAGACAATGGAAGATTTTATCAGAGGAGTATTGATGAATGAAGAGATCTTAAATTCTAGAATTTATTGGCATCAATTAAATCCTGAAGATTATAGTTTGCCAATTGTGTCATGGAATGCGTATCATGTTCTTAATCATGATATTTTGAATAGGCATAGTTTCCCACTTACACCAAATGCAATACCACATTTAAATAATTTTATCTATATGCCTAGAAGTACTTACAAACACAAACTTAGCACACTTGCTAAAGGTTGTACATTAGAAAAGGACAGTATACTGTGTCAGAACAGTACACTTGGTAATGGTACTTTCATTACAAGATCTGTTATTGGCCAAAATTGTTCTGTGGGTTGTAATGTCACCATTAAAAACTCGTATATTTTATCAAATGCTAGAATTGAAGATAATTGTGTGATCACAAATAGCGTAATATTTCCGAATTGTTTTATTAAACAAAATAGTCAAATAAATGGATGTATATTGAAGCCTCAAACAAAAATTGATATTGAAACAAAGTACACTGATTCATTTATAGAATCAAAAGACAATAAAGTTTGCGTCAAAAATATATCAGACATTGACGCAGATAATGAATTTCATTTCTTTGAGGACTATGATATGATGGAATCTGATGCTTATTCTTCGGAAACAAGCAGCGATGAAGATTCTGAACGTAATTCTCCAATTCCAGATGATACAAATATGTTTTTGTCTGAAGTTATCGATAGTTTATTAAGAGGTTTCCAAGACAAATTGAATTGTGAAAACTTAATTCTGGAAATAAACTCGTCAAGATATGCTTACAATATTACCATGAACGAAGTAACATATAATGTTATTAAAGCTATATTGAGTTTACCTTTCCATTATCTTTCAGAAAAGAAAGAAACTGTAACTTCTTCAAATTATCAGAAGAACTTAAAAATTATGCTGATTTACTTTCAATCAATAGTTTTAAATTATGTTAAAACGGAAGATGCACAAGAGAACTGTTTACGTGCAATAGAAGAAGTTGCAAGTACTACAGAAGAAATACTTCCATTTGTGCAACACTTATTACATTTACTTTATGACAAAGATGTATTATCAGAAGAAAAAATTTTAGAATGGTATGAATCTAGTGATGAAAATATGGACACAATTCAAAATGATAAAGTAAGAACAGCAGTAAAACCATTTATTCAGTGGTTAGAAGAAGCTGAAGAAGATTCTAGTGATGAAGACTCTAGCTAAAACAGTTAAGTATTAAAATGAAATGAAGTTTTTTCCTTTTTTAAAGTAAAACAAGTAAATAATAACTTAACGTTGAAGATCCGATATAATTCAAATTTATCATATAAAACAATACTTTGTCATGTATAATACAACATTTTTATTATTACATTATTTTAACCTTATTTGTTCAAATAATACATTTTGAGCAATACTGTAGATCAGGCATGATCAAGTGGTGATTCTCAAATTTCTAAATTACTATATTTTCTAATTTCCAAACTTCCAAATCCTAGGTTCTCTTTATTCACATATGCTTCCCTCATCCCTTTTCTAGGCTATCAATCTTCGAATTCCTAAATTTGGGTGTTTGGGGATTTAATTGGCCTGCAATATAAATGGCAGGAAGACACTTGGTCATGCCTGCTGTAGATCGTGTGTAAATAAATTATGTTTTCTAGATTATAATTCACATTGATTATAGATCTTATTAAAATGTCTTGAGTAGCATATTAAGAAAAATAGAAATATAATCTTTCATTCTGTAGGCAAAATAGCATCAGTTAAGTTGTGCCAAGCTTGATGACGGTGATCTGGAAATTTGATTGCATCTATCCAGTGTCTTAATCTGGCTCCTTTGCTGTTACAACTTAGCTCGAGTCCGCCTAAATACACACGGGAGGTACGTTGCTGAATAACTATTTGATTTTCATTGTAAAATATAGCAATATTGTATACATTATCTTCTAATATTTAAATTATACACTGATACATTACCTAGATAGTCATTACTCTTGCCAAAGTCCTTATCCCATACTGTGAGACATAACGTAATTTTCATGAGGTCTGTTAATCGAGCAGCAAAAGCAAACTCTTCATTCCATTCTGGATTCAAGGTTTTCCACTTGACACTTGTGTTTTGTGCATTGCAATTTGCAACCTTTTTTGACACTAGCTTTCTAATAGTAATACGTGCAAACGAGTAGTCGAAAATACGCTGTCGATGATTGTTCGTCACATTTTCTATAAGGCACAATTTGACAAATGGATCGGAAGATCCATTACTGTCCATAGGAAGAAGATTCGTAGCTCGGTGAACAGTAACCATCAATGCCCCGCGTCTAGTACAGTACCCTAAGCTAAGTTGTATTTGTCCCCGTCCACTGGAAAACACGCCCCAAGCTGCCTCTTCATTGTCCACCTATGCCAACGTCGAGCTCTTATATCTTAGTGTCTGCAATAATGTAAGTAAAGTCGACCGTCGCGAAAAATTGAGAACGCAAAAGATTATTGTATTTGTGGTGATCAACGCTAAAAATTCTGTGTATCATTAAAATTAATTTAGGCATTTGATCAGAAAAAAAGGAAATAATGAACAAATGTGGCAGAACACAACATTAGATAATTCGTGATTAAAATATACATACTGGATAATGATTTTGCAGTGGCACGTTGTAACGTTTCGTTTGTCGTGGATGTAACTCATGCAGAGGGAACCTTGCCTCTCCCAGAAAGTCTTGGCCTGCCGGATCGTCTTGGAGAATCAGAATGTGCAATGCCTTGCCGTTCCATATCTGTCACAGAATAATTATTAACCTCTCGTGTATTTAATTACACCATTGTCTTCGCATGATCACAGTTATTTGTGAGAACTTGCACTTTTCGTACATCGGTTTCTGTTGTCCCATAGAAGTTCAGTGTCTCGTTGAATTCTGGATCCCGCGTTTGATGAACCGTTTTTGTTCGAAGTCGTTTCGTAGTCGTTACTGTTGCCAGTGGTAATATGTTTAGCTTGCAGAACGGATCGGCTAGACCATGGATATCCATTGGACGTAAACCTCGGGCTCGTTCCACTTTGCATCGGAGGCACTGAACTGCTGGGTCGTATCGCAAGGAGACTTCTAGAGTTCCATAGTTTTGTTCCATTTCTAAAATATATAAATGTATTGTCTACATATTCATTTAAATGATTTGACTTCGTTCTTATACAAACATTTCATTCGTTACATTTAATACTACAAACCTACCGCATTCCCACCTTTGTAGCCGTGGTACATTGATCTGATTGACATTGCTGTACAGACTCTCCTGTTCCGAATACGTTCGACTTCCTTCCTGATTCATGTACTTCTCTTGACCTGAAATATGTTCCATCGGAACAATCGTCGTTGAGGAACTGGATCTGCAATCAACTGATATCAGACAAACTTCTACCCTTGTATTCATTATTCTTACGTACCTGAGAGATTGTACCTGAGAGATTTTAGACTGATTACGTGTACTGAATTCCGCTTTATGAATGTCATCGTTTGAATCATTAATATCGTTTAATTTTCTGTTCTTCTCGTCCATAATCTCGTCTTCGAACGATACACGTTGCTCGATCGGATAATCGGAAGTCGTTTTACTGTTTGTTCGTGAACGAGGACTAGTAACAGAAGTAGTCGGTGAAAGGCGACTGCACTGAGAGGTGATAGAAAGAGTCGATTTATCCAATTGATCTGAACATTCGTCACGATTATTCAACGGTGAGAGACTGTTTGATGGTTGTCCCGATGATGTTGATTGACCAGAAGTAGAAAATGATGAATGAGTCTTATTAGTAATACTGTCTTGATTCCTTTGTAAGCTAGAGAATGAATTAGATTGTCTTCTGGCTAATGCCAAACGTCTTGTTGCTTCTTCATCAGAGGAAGAATCTTGAAGTTCAGCAGATTCCAAAGATTTATTACCTCCACTTATCCAAGTAGATGTTTTGTGAATAGATCTCGACCATCCTCGTTCCTGTATTAAAAAATACATAAAGTAAGACATTGATAAATTAAAACATAATATTGACATACCTTTTTCTCTGGTAAGATATACTTTGGCATTCCTTTGAAAAACCAAGCACCACTTTTCTTCCACATCTCTCTGGTTTCAGCACATATTCGACAAAGGTATTGTTTCTGACTGCTGCTTGATCGTTTAATGATTCGTTGCATAGCTGTTGTTTCTTCTCTCATAGTTGAAATGTTTGAAAGCATTGAATTAAGTTCATTTGTTTCAATGCCACACTTCTGACATATATATTTACGACAGTCTTTGCATAGACTTGGTGTTGCACCTAACACTGCACCAAATTTCTCACCACAAAGGGCACAAGAACATACGCAGTGTGCACTTCTGGAGCATCTGCTACTGCAATTTTTTCTTTCATTCATTCTTGTTGCTGTAACCATGCATACATTACGTTTCATATTTTCCAGTCTTTCCACTAATCTACCAATTCTTTCCTGTTCTGATAAATCCAAAGCTTCTGCTCGTTGGATTACCTGATAATACAAAAAGTGGAATTTGTTTAAACTTGAAAAAGGATACAATTTTTTGATAAAGGTGAATATATACCTGTATGATTGTCTGTTGCTCTTCTTCGGTAAGTACAAAAGACTGCGCACATCTATTTGTACCACTTGAATAAAAATTAGGATTGCCCCAAGATGAATCTAAAGAACCAGTTTTCACTGACCAGCCTGTTCGCAGCCTAAATATTAAATTTTCATTGGTTATAAAATAGCAAAACATGTATAAATGCAAAATCATAATACTTTGCATAACATGTAATTGTATTATAACTGTATTTATACTAACTTAGCTCTCAATGCTAAATGTCGGTCATTGGGACAGACCCAGCTGCTTCCTCTACTTGCATTTTTCATTGTAACATCCATTATTGATTGATCTGTTAAAATCCTCTAATTATTCCAAATATATCATCAACATCATGAAAAGTATGTAGACATCTGTAAAGAAAAAAAATATCAATACCATTTATGTAATTATTAGTGTTAGGAAATAAGGAATGGATGGAATGTTGTGTATGCTTTCAAGAATTTCCTTCTTTCTAATGCTGGATTTTCTGGAATGTAGATTCTCATGTCTTTACATTCCTTCCATACCATTCAACGGTGTAAATCACTGCAGCTATTTGTACTATTTTAAAAATTGAATTATTCATGTACAACTTCATTAATATAGTAGAAAGAATAATAAATAAATTATTTCAGACATTTACCAATCATCTTTCTTTTAAAATTATTTTTTTATTATATAATGCGAAAAATTAATTATCGCACTCTTTTTTCTTTCAAGAAAAAATTTAATTCGAAGATGCATCGATAAAATATATAAAAAGGTTAAATAACAGTAAATGTTATAAAAAAAGTCTAAACATAACTCCCGAACTAAAATGGGAATAAAGTTGCGATTTGATTATAAATCAAATATCGAAGAATATTAACTTTGAAGGGGAAGGTAAAGTTTAAAAGAACAGGGAACGTCTAAAAATAGACGCGCAACAAGTATTCGTTACAGTTCCATCGTCCCTACGTTACGTTTAAGTAGCTGAAGGGAAACTATATTTGAACCTAAATCGATAATTCAATGGTTCACACTTGCAACAATTTTTGCTCTCATATTAAACACTTACAATACAAAAAAAAAACAAAAATTTTTCATTTTAAACATTATATAATAACATCTTTATGTGACATATACTTTTTATTTACAAAAAATACAAATTATTGCTATAGAAAGCATCACCTACGAAAAGGTCCTTAATGAAACATATGTACGTTTTAAAAACTTGTTTACGAAATAAAAATAATAATATTCCGTATAAAATGACGTGAAATATAACTTTCGACAGCTGAATAACGAAAAAAGAAATGCGGGAATTAATTGTGATAGGAAGATTCTTGACGCGTGGCAATTGTGTGTCATGTCCGAGCAAAAATTTCAATTAAAACATCGTTAAATCATTCGTCATAAAATAACTATTTATGTCACGGTAAAAATTGCCATGCAGATTATCTAATATTCGATTAAAACAGGTATCTATTAGAATGACTAATTTTATTATTCGAATTTCAAATAGATGAAAGAAAATTAAGTATGTTCCTTACGATATGAATATGATATTTCTAATGCACAATTAATACAACTTAGCCGGAAGTCTTTGAACAGGGTAAATATTTGAAAAAGTGGAAAGTTTACTTACGAGACAACCCTGCTGAACAGCCTCTAGCAGGGCAGAATTTAATTAAAAAAGTAAAGATCACTCGAAACTATTTAACTATGAACAATTCACTGGTTGTTGAGCAATTACTAAATCTATTAGTCGTATATTAATTTTGATTTTAAGACATTTCTAAGGACATTAATCGTTTGGACAAACGGATGGGCGCAGAGTTGCACTTGCCACGGTATCAGCTAGCCGACAAGTGGGTGCTATTATCGCTGGTCAGGGGTGTACCTAGAAGCCCTACGCAAGGGTGGGGAGCTAAACATAAAAAAGTATATTTGTAAATATACCTTGATGTTTAAATTTATGAAGTTTTTATTTAATTAACTATTTAAGATTACATGGGATATTAACATTTTTATTTTCAGTTCTTGGTGTTAAAATTATACAGTAAATTATAAATTGTAGAATAGTGAAATAATGAAATAGTAATAATTGTATAGTAGAATTAATACAATAATATAATACTGGAATAGTAGAATAGTGAATAATGAATAGTAAAATTGAGAATAATAGGATTGTAGTATAGTGAAATAATAGATAATGCAGTAATAAAATAGTTAGAAAATAAAATACTGGAATGATAATATAATTGTTTAGCAGTATAGTAGAATAGTAAAACAATAACAATTGTAGGATAGTACAATTGCTGAATTTATGGTTGTAGTATAGTAGAATAATATACTAGTAAAATAAAATAATAAATTGTCCATATAAAAATAACTGTAACATTAATTTTGTTTAATTGCCCCCCTCGCCCTCATTCTGGATCCACTCCTGTTGCTGGACTCCGTTTCACTTCCGATACGAGCGTAGAAGGGTGCGAGTCATGCGTACGATTCGCAGGAATACACCTATATAGGAAGTTTGCTGATAAAAACAGCTTTATGATGACAGAACAAAGAAAAAATTCCTTTTGTGTGCTTCAAAAATGATTTCAAATGAAAATTATGTGAAATTATTTTAAATACTATCATTTTATGCTACATACAAATAAAATAGTAAAAAAAATGTGTACATTGTATGTACACTTGTAAAAAATGTGTATATTGTAACTACACTATTTTATAAGTTGTATAAAATTTAAAATATTTTGAACTGTTGTAACAAAGTAAAAAAAAATATGAATTTATAATAGAATAAAATTAAGAAATAATAAATTACTACTATTATGATTATAATATTAAAATTTTTATATATTTTTGTAACATGACAAATGTAACAATATATTACAGGGTAAATTTCATAAATTATGCTGTATTTAATTATATATGGTGCATTTTATTCTATAATCAAAGTAATGAATAAATTAAACAAAAAATAAAGTTTTGGAACTTTTTATTAACAAAATTTTGATACAAATGAAAGAAAGATATTAATTGTCATAATGATAAACAATTTGCATAAATTCTTGAAGCTCGTTTTAATTATATGTCAATAAGCGCAAATATAAGCGGAAATAACGTCTTGCGGTAAGCGAGTGTCCTTGTACTACATTGCAACTATTGACGTGTTGCATTTCGCAGTCGCTAATGTCGTTTAAATTTTTTATAAATGTTGAAGATCAGAATTAATTAATCCATTAATGTCATATTTGATATGAAAATGTACTAATTTGCAGCATTAACAGAATAATTTAGTCTAACTTACATAACAATTTATTTGAAAACATCAACGAGAATTAACTAATGAACAAATAAAAAATATCAAAAATAAAAAACCTAAGATTTGCAGTTTTTAATTATAATGTACAAATTATTGTCACATACCTTTAGTTTATCATTATGTTACATACTATTTTAAATGTACACTATGAAAAATATCTATCCATATAATGTAATGTTTCAAAAACAACTTCAACCATGATAAGAACAATAATCATCCACTCTAGCCGAATATGATGACGATCGCTTAAATGCGCCGATAAAATACTCACAAGTTCTACGCAATGATTTAATTTTTCATTTATTACCTATAAAATAAAATATATAATTCAGCACTAAAAAACTCTAATATTACGTAATAATCAGTTAATATTTTCTAGTAACTTACTCTTGTACGTTTTGCAATATTAAAATATGAACAAATTTGTTGATAAAGCTGTTCCAGATCATCTCTCTCCCAATAGAAATCAGGTACATCTAACAAGTCTGAACTTAAATTGATCAAGTGTCTCAAAGCAAATAATTCTCCTTGTTTTTTTAATACTTCCTGCCGAGTTAATTGCAACTTCCTACCAGCTTTTAAATCTTCAGTAACAAATTCTATAGAATTTATGTAAATGTCTAAAGATGCTTCCCATATACCTAATTTCACTGACTGAGCCATTGCATTTGAAAATGTGAATTTATCTAAATTTGTTGCATTTGAACCTAACACTATATTACCATCTTTTATACGACTTTGTTTTCTGTAAAGTAAATATATAACTATGAAATAACTGTAAAAACATTAAAATATTTGAATTTGTTAAGTTGTTACCCATTATCAGCATAGCTGTAACACATCATTTCACTTTCAGATTGTACAATAGTTGCCATATAACAATTCTCTTCATATTGTTTTAAAAAGTTTAAAATATTCTCACTTTCAAGATCAGAAATATTCCACATCACTACAGTACCTTCTCGAAAAAAAAAGATTTCTCTCGGTTCATGTTCTACTTGATACTTTGCCACTGCATGTATGACATCTGGTAAAGCTGCAAAAAATAATATAAATAAAGCATAATAAAATAAATAATTACTTTTTAAATTTTTAATACTGTACCAAATGTTATATATCACTTCCAAATGATTAATAATTAATTGTAGTAATTTGTATAAAAATGCAGGGGCAGAAGATCATTAAGGTAATTAAATAACAAGTCCGATGTACAGAATTATATAAATGCATTTAAACAAATTCTATAAAAATATCTTTTTGTTGAATATTGTCTGTAACATTTACTTAATTATATTTGGCAATTTTGAAGTAATGATGTCAGATATTACATTCTCAGTGTCTGTTTCCATATCACCACTATACACATATTTTCCCTTAGATATTTGTTAATAATCCTACAACTTGATATACCATACATAACAGAAACCAAAAAATATATTTATTCTTAAAAACTGTTATCAAAAGAAAGTAACAAGAAAATTAAAATTATAACAATGAAATATAAATTTAATAAACAGGAACTAATCATATAATTAGTTTATAATAAAATGTTATTTGGCATCAAATATTGTTTGAACACATATTTTAGTCGATTAAATATGGACTGTCACATGCACCTAATCCGGTTGCTACACCACCTTCATTAGCAGTAGCTAACTTTGTACGTAACATGTGACCACTTAGCTTATTAACATACACATTATTTTCATCAGCAATTATAACTCCAAATATTCCTAATTCAGAAACTAATTCTTGTAATTTCATACTCATATCACTTTCTGGTCTTATCATATAACTTTTATGAATTGGAGGATGAATTTTATTCATAAGAATCCAGGCTACTCTTTCTTGTTTATGTTTCATAGATTCTAGAAAATGCTTTATATCTAATCCATATTTGTTATTACAACCTCCTTCCCTCTGAGGTTTCAGCACAAAATGATGAGGATTCGCAATTCCCATTTCTATAGCAGCATCTCCATGTTCATTAAAGTCTAATGCATAAAGCTCTGCACAACATATCATAATATAGTATGGTGTATGTATTGTCAAAATAAATGGCTTACCAGTGAATATTTCTTTAATTTCTGCACATATCTTTTCATTTTCTAGAAATTTGTTAATAACACCTGGCTTTGCAAGAGCCTGTTGAACCTTTTTAGTTCCAGCTAAATGATACTGAATAGTAGGACATTTAATTGCTAAAGATCTTTCTATTAATAATCTTACATCCCATTCTTTTCGTGTATGATATTGTCCGGGTTCATAACCACATCTGTAATACACTACTGACACAATATAATCATCTACTATCAATTCCTTTTTAAGACCCAATTTAGCAGATGCTGCTAATTGTGTTAAATTTCTGCGGATAACTTTAACATTTGGATTCTGTTTCCTAATTTCAAATTCATGAAAACGTTGATCGCATATATTATATGTAATGTCTTCAACAACAAATAAAATTACTGCTCTGTAAACAATCATGATTACACTTTCATATTAATGTTTCAAAATTCTAAGTACATTTATAACTGATTACAAACATACTCTTGATTTCCATACATCTTCCATGCTTCAATCATGCTTGAACATATAATTTGTAATGCATTGTTCTCAGGAAGATTTTTTATTTTTTCATAACAACCAAGTTCCTCTAATACAAATTTATGTAATTCTGTTGATACGGGACCTAACCATCCAAACCCAGAAGCAATTGTATTTATCTCAACTTGTTTCCAACAACAGTATGGAATACATTTTTTGTTCATATCCTCTTTTGGACAAGTTGTATCCAACATTAAATCTGAACGTAGTACACAAAGAGATATTTTTTGTGCTGACCCTCCTTCCTTATGAACAGTTGTGCAAATGTCAAATAATTCTTTAGTAAAATTGTCAACCTTTATTGTTTCTTCTAAAGTTTCTTTCAAAAAGTTGTAATCCTGAGCAACTCTATGTATTAATATGTTTAATGTTGTTTGCATTGTACAAGCATTTTCAAATTCTTTTCTAGGAAATGGAGAAGGTACCAGGATAAATGGTGCAAATTGCAAAACGTTTTTATTAAAGTTTTGTTTTGATTTCATACACATCCCATGCATGAGTGCCCAATCCTTCGCCTTTTCCATTAACTCTTCTAGTTCTTTTTTAGAAGTAGGTAAATGTAGGTTTAAATCCATAATTCTTCCCTCTATTATTGCAAAAATTTATAAGAAATCTCCTTTAATTACTATTAAATAAATTTAAGTAATTTAAGTTACTATTTTATTCTAGATATATATATATATATATATATATATATGCTAGGTATATACTTCTAGATATAAAATTTGCTACTGTATTACTCTTCAAACTTTAAACTACCTACATTATTTTAAATTAATAAATTATCATGATTCAACTATGCCAATGAATTATTAATTTCTAAAAATTAATCTGACTACATGTGGAAAAAAATGAATTCAATAATTAAAATTAAACTAAAAAAATACGCTGTTAGTGAAATTTATACATTAAAATATAAGCCTCCAATTACTTTTCTTAAATAATAATTTTCTTTCTTAATTAATTTCAGTTTACCTTACTGAGAAATCTTTAAAACTTTAATGACAAATGATAAATTAAATCAATGTTTATGTTTATATACTGACACTCGCATAAATTTAAAATTATTTGTCACGCATGTAACTGACGATAACTAATAAAAAAAAATCATGTCTTTACTTATCAAATAATTGACGTCATTTGCTAAAATTTTTATCTCTTTCGCATATAAGTTCGAATAAAGTTCGATATATTAGTTGCTTGAAGGTAGCTGCGAAACAATTAATCTGAAGTTAGCTACACGTAAATATATCGATTTTTGATTTGAATTGCAAAAAAAATTAGAACTGAAAATAATTTGCTCAGCATTGAGATTTTCTATTATAAATTATTGGTGTTTTTTAATATTAGACTTTATTACTTTTGTATGTAAACGGTTGCATTTATAAGAATAATAACCTATACAGCATACATCATGACACATATTTATTATTCACTCATTCACTTTATATTTATATCTTTATGAAAATTAGAATTAAATGTAATTTATTAGACGTTTAAAAAATAAATTTTATCTAAATGTAAAGTATGTACATTTCATTAAATAAAAAGTAATTATTAGCAATAATCTTTTTATTTAGCTTTAAGACAATTTGTATGTTTACAAATGTTTGTATTTGGAAGATATTATTTAAGATATATAAAATTAATACATGTTGTTACTATTTATCAAATACCATATTCTATATTATTTTAAATTTAAAATATTTGTTGATATTAAATTTATTAATTTTATATACTTACAGGAAGTTGATGTAGTTATAGTATGAGGTTCGTATAACTGTTCTTGAAGGAGGCCTTTCACTAGATCTTCCAAATTATATTCTTCTGATGTAGATAATGCTCTCACACTCCAAGACTATAATCAAACAGATAAATAAAGTACTATAAATTAGAAGACTATTAACTAAAACAATTACAATATAATTAAGATTATATAAAGGTTTATTAGTTACTCACTTCAGTGTTTATAAAATTTGCTACTGTATTACTCTTCAAACTTTAAACTACCTACATTATTTTAAATTAATAAATTATCATGATTCAACTATGCCAATGAATTATTAATTTCTAAAAATTAATCTGACTACATGTGGAAAAAAATGAATTCAATAATTAAAATTAAACTAAAAAAATACGCTGTTAGTGAAATTTATACATTAAAATATAAGCCTCCAATTACTTTTCTTAAATAATAATTTTCTTTCTTAATTAATTTCAGTTTACCTTACTGAGAAATCTTTAAAACTTTAATGACAAATGATAAATTAAATCAATGTTTATGTTTATATACTGACACTCGCATAAATTTAAAATTATTTGTCACGCATGTAACTGACGATAACTAATAAAAAAAAATCATGTCTTTACTTATCAAATAATTGACGTCATTTGCTAAAATTTTTATCTCTTTCGCATATAAGTTCGAATAAAGTTCGATATATTAGTTGCTTGAAGGTAGCTGCGAAACAATTAATCTGAAGTTAGCTACACGTAAATATATCGATTTTTGATTTGAATTGCAAAAAAAATTAGAACTGAAAATAATTTGCTCAGCATTGAGATTTTCTATTATAAATTATTGGTGTTTTTTAATATTAGACTTTATTACTTTTGTATGTAAACGGTTGCATTTATAAGAATAATAACCTATACAGCATACATCATGACACATATTTATTATTCACTCATTCACTTTATATTTATATCTTTATGAAAATTAGAATTAAATGTAATTTATTAGACGTTTAAAAAATAAATTTTATCTAAATGTAAAGTATGTACATTTCATTAAATAAAAAGTAATTATTAGCAATAATCTTTTTATTTAGCTTTAAGACAATTTGTATGTTTACAAATGTTTGTATTTGGAAGATATTATTTAAGATATATAAAATTAATACATGTTGTTACTATTTATCAAATACCATATTCTATATTATTTTAAATTTAAAATATTTGTTGATATTAAATTTATTAATTTTATATACTTACAGGAAGTTGATGTAGTTATAGTATGAGGTTCGTATAACTGTTCTTGAAGGAGGCCTTTCACTAGATCTTCCAAATTATATTCTTCTGATGTAGATAATGCTCTCACACTCCAAGACTATAATCAAACAGATAAATAAAGTACTATAAATTAGAAGACTATTAACTAAAACAATTACAATATAATTAAGATTATATAAAGGTTTATTAGTTACTCACTTCAGTGTTTCCTTTGTCGGCAGATAATGATTTTCTCTTTTTAGGTCTCTTTTTTAAATGAGTAACTGGATAATTATTTTCCTTCTTATTCTTAAGTTCTTGAGGTTTATTAAACAATGCTTCGGTATTAAATTGTAATGCACTAGTATACAAGTTCTTTTGATTTAACTGTAGATTTGATTTTGTAATTAGAACACGTTCTGTAAACACTTTATTAAATGAAATAGTACTGAACTTTTTACAAACACTAAAATTAATGTTACTTTTGCAGGTTAATATGATACACCTTTGTATTGTTATAAAATTCATTTTGCTAAATATTATGTTTAACAGATTTTATATTTTCAGTAGAATTAATTACGTAACAGTAAATATGCAATACAATTTTCAATTAAATATATACACAGTTTTTTTATTGATCAACTGATGTACTTTGGTAAACACTCCTTGCTTTGTTGCATGCCGATGTTTCGATTCATGATAAGGTTATAATTCGTTCCATGTTGATAAAACAGTGTGAAGCTACCAAAATTTACCGTAAAATAAGGGCACTACAATCGTTTTCTATACAATTCAAAATGATGATTGGCTGGCTGAGTTTCATACATGACAAAATGATAGTAATGCTACAATTTTATAAAACTTTCATAATTTGTTAAAAAATCATTTCCACTATGAGAGTTTTCGAACCAGCGTACATCACTACTAATATCTGACGAATTTTCGACAAAATAAATATAAATAAACTGTAATCGCATTCAAACATTGCAATTTATGTAACAATTATACGATTAAAAATAAAAACATATACAATTACACTTTGTGTACTCATTGCCATTTCGTAAGTAAAATATATTTATGGGAAAGCTGGTTTTTAAAATATTTACTTATATTTACAATTACAAGAAACTGCACAACTTAAGTTCTAGATATAATATTTGTAATCAATTGTTACAGCTAATATTATTAATATTGTATATTTAAGTGTCACATATTGTTAAGTTTAATCATTAACAAATTTCCAATATATCAAAAAAGTTCAATTACAATCACTTTACAGTTGGTATTGCATGGTTTAATTATGAATTCATATTTGGTGTTGATGAATCTTCTAATTTTGATTCCAATGAAAAAGGTGGAATTCTGCAATCAAATGCATACCCATCTTCCCGTTCCATTCTGAAAGTACCCCTAAAGCAACATAATAGTATAATACTTTACTAAACACTAATAATTGAAAAAAACTAAAGAAAGAAAGAAAATTTAATATAATTAAAATTATATCTTTTAATATAATAAAATTATATAAAATTATATTAAAAGAAAGTTTAATATAATTAAATTGTAAGTATTTATGCATTGTGATATACAGACAATTTTTACAGTTTATAATTTACTTATAAATGAATAAACATTTGTATCATTCCAATTGTAACAATCAGTCTAACAATAACTTTAACAACCAAATACATACCACATATGACCACTTGCAGCTTGCAGGCTCACATGACTACTATATTGAAAAGCAGGTAACAATTTTGACAAAACAGGTTCTTGACCAACTACACCTCTTCCTCTAACAGTTTCTAATGTACCAGAGAGACTAAATATTCTCCAATGTCTTTCACGTAATTGTACACTTAAATCTCCTAAATTTTCTAAACGTATGCAGTAACGCCACTATAAAATTTATTTAGTTAGAATACAAATTTCTTTTAACTTATGTATGTTTAACACGTTCCGTGCCAAGCCATTTTTGCCTGACTTGTTGTTCAGGCCATTTGATATTTTGATTAAAGATTAATATATTATCACACAATATTTCATTACATCCTCAATACATAAGTAATTCTTTTTTACTTTTGTTCTATACTACATCTTGTATAATGCTTCATTTTTTAGGTAGAAATATAGTTTACAGAATTATATTTGTAATAAAATATATGTTTTCAGCGCATTGAATAAATATGACTGCATGCACCACCGGTGGTACACGTGGCCTGACGATCAAGTTTACCGTGTACCACCGGTGGTACACGTGGCACGGAACGTGTTAATATTACTCACCCAATGTGCTGCTGTAGCTTGACTTCCTCTATAACCCATATAAAATGGAATAACAGTGACACGAATATTTTCAGTAGTTTCTTTATGTACATCTGATAATTCTAACCATGGATGATTTTTCTTTTGCCAAGCTTTCAAAGTTTCTTGCGCAATAAAACATGGATCATGATTTGGATTATAAGCTAAGAATTTGTCAAATAGTTCATGTTGTAATGCAGTCTTCTCATTTGTGGTATAAGGCAAAACATCTTCGTGTGCAACATAATCTAATCCTGGTATTGTATATAAGCTGCGACTACTTTCATGATTACTCAAAAATGTTACAGCTTCTGTTTGAGCACGCTATTAATACATGTTACATCAGAATTGCATACCATTTGTTTTTATATATTGAGTCAATATATTTAATGTACTTACTATAAATGGATAATCTCTTTGGTCAATTAATACCTGATAAAATGTATGTGTTCTACCTTTTACTTCTTTTCCTACACTATTATAATTATTAGTTGTACTTCTGTAATTAAATATTACTTTCAAATAACTTATTTTATCGTTATTTATTATAGAACTTACAAGTATAAATTTATGATACAAATTACAATTACTTAAAGCTTCAACTTACGCTTCTGTTTTATTTGGAATATCTCTATCATAAACTTTTGCTGTCCAAGGAAATAATATTACACCTCGATAACCAAATACTCTATGTAAAATTAATTGACCAGTTTCATATTTTCCTTGTAATTTTGGAGTTTCTAATTTTCCCACTTCTGCTAATCTATATAGACAATAAGATTAATGTATTTTTATTTAATATTTTTCCATGAAACATGCACTAAGAAGTTAACTAAAAAGGTTAGATGTAAGGACTACTTTCTGCAATTAAATGTAACATATTCATTACTCCAATTAGAAAGACAACCTACTGAATCTATTTTTCAAAATAATAACATATTTATTTAATATCTTTAATTTAGTTACTAATCTTTAATGTGTTACCTGATGTGTCGTACTTGAAACAAACAAAACTTTTTGGGTGCTTTAAGAAAATAGCATCGTAATTTACAAGTGACAAAATTTCGCGCAAGTTCCATACTTCTTTAAATGATCCCTTTTTAATAAATTGAAATTTTTAGTTTAGATTATGTGACACTGAATCCAAAATACATATTGTTTTTTTGACATTTCGAAAGTTTTTTTTGCTACGTTATAACAACGATTATTCGTCCTGTTTTGATGAACAATTAAGATAAAGGCGCATTTTCATAACAAAACGACGTGCGCAGTAAAAACATTAGATTTATGTTCTATAAATGATCATAGTGATCAGATGGCAGGATTTCGTTCATTCTGCGCATGTTGACACTAATTAGTTTTATCGCAACTTGTAATTAAGCATGACAAATATGCGCATTTATGATGTTCTTGACATATAAGGAATATACTAATAATCTAAATTTGGAAATGTTCAGATTTTAAAATCATCAAATTTACAAATCCTGGTATTTCCATATTTTTAAATTCCTAATCTACATCTCAAATTTCAAATGGCAACCGAGGGGATCAGATGCCTACTATACGCAATAACATCTGCGCATTAGTATGTATTATGGCTAATTTACAACAGACATTTTTAAAACTGATAAATAATACAATTTTTGAAAGTATACGTTTACTTCTAAAAGCAAATTAATTTATTGCGTACATAAGTACCGCGAAGATATAATATCTAAAAACAACATAAAAAATAATAGTTTATCACAAAGTAATTAATTTAAAAAGCTAAAAGCATGTTGGAAGTTTTATTCTTACATGTACTTTAAAGTTTACATTTTCGCGCGTGTTGTCTAAAAATAGCACAGTTAGCGCTATCTAACGATCAAAGTAGAACTATCGAAACAGAAAATTGAGTTTTTTCGCGAAATAAGGTATTTTTATAATTAGATGACGTTTGAAAATTTTTCTACAGGCTCAATTAAGTCAGAAAAATAACTTTATAACAGACTCAAAGCATTATATTCAAAAATTCTTTTAATTGCATTTTATAGATCTCAAAACATTATACATTTCGCGGTAGAAGATGGATTCGAATACCCGCTAGTAATACTATTTTCTATAGATTTTTATAGCCTCATAGTATCGCTCTAGAAACTTTCTTCAGCATAGAGCTACATAGATTTCTTCTCTCGTAGATTAGGCTATACTCTGTTTTACTTTATAACAAGGTGAAAGTAACATTGTTTTCAATTTTTCAAATATACATATAAAATATAGCAGTATATTAGTAATATAACAGTTTATGTCAAATAAATGCTTTCACTTAAAATTAACAATTACGCTAGAGGTAGTCAAATTAAATTGTTGTTTACTGGGCATATACTTTTAGTATGGTTACAATACAAGAGCAAATGCGCATTATCATAGATTATGAAGTATTTAGAGCCGAACAGAGTTGACATGCGCAGAAGAGCTTAAACTCTCTCGTAGAATAAAGTATAGGGGGCAATTCGTTCTCTGATTGATTTATATACAGTACAATTCTTCATTGTTCAAATTTGTTCAAATTGGACTCTGGATACAATATCTGAAACTCTTTTAAATGAAGTAGCGTGTGATGTAAATAGAATTATCACTCTCACTCAATCTATCAAACGAGTGAAATATAGGCAATAAAAGTAGTATATTCCAGCGATTACTTTAAACTGCCATATTGTATGTACTTGATAGAAACTCTTGAATCTCTTACAGTTAAAGTAAAAAAAATCTACCCGTCACGATGGATGCTTGTGAGTTGCATTTTTATTTACAGACATATTTCCATTGACCATGTATCTCTCTAATATTACATTTTTACAATATAAAAAGCTGAAAATTAAATTTGATGTAATGGAAATTAAATTTTACTAAACATTTCATTTAGCCACACCCATTGTTATTAATTATTTCACTGTCAACACTGTTTTATTAAGATATTTATGTCTTAAAGAACTATTCAAGATGATTTCCTTAATTATTTAAGGAAACAAATAATTATATGGCTATTCTGATCAGAAACAGATATGATTTCTTCAATGTGCTATAAAAAAGATGACCATATTGTTATTGAATTAAATTATAAATGATTTATTATTTTATTTTAGCAGCAGGTGTTTTGTCACCAGAAATCTTAAATCAGTTCTACACAAAATTTTATGAAGACAATCGTAATACTCTGGCACAAAATGTATCTACAAGGACCAATCCTCATGAAGCTTGCATTTCAAGAAGAATTTTGCAAGAATCGCAACATGTTTTCACTCATAAGATTGCAACAGAAGTGAAACCTGTAACAAATCAAAAAAATTCAGGACGATGTTGGATATTTTCAGCTTTGAACATTATAAGAATTCCCTTTATGAAGCAATACAATTTAGATGAATTTGAATTTAGTCAAGCTTATTTATTCTTTTGGGATAAGGTTAATATTACAAATTCTTAATAATTTGTGAAAAGTATACACGTTTCATTGTTATACTGTTTATGTTATAGCTTGAACGATGCAATTATTTTTTACATAATATTGTAAAAACAGCTAAACAAAATGAGCCAGTGGATGGTCGTTTGGTTTCATTCTTGCTAAATGATCCTGTCACAGATGGTGGACAATGGGATATGATTGTCAATCTTATAAATAGACATGGTGTTATTCCGAAAGTTTGTTTCCCAGAATCATATAGTAGTGAATCTAGTTCACGTATGAATACAATTTTAAAAAGTAAACTGAGAGAGTATTCTAAAGTCTTAAGAGATTTAATATCTAGTGGTGCAACAAATGAGAAAATAGAAGCACAAATTTTGGAACAGATGACAGTGATTTATCGAATACTTGGTATATGTCTAGGAATACCATCAAAAACAATCACATGGGAATATTATGATAAGTCTAAAAATTACAATTGCATTGGGCCTATAACACCAATAGACTTTTATGAGAAATACGTGAAACCATACTATAATGTAGATGATAAAGTATGTCTAGTAACAGACCCAAGACCATCAAATCCATTTGGAAAACTTTATACAATAGATTGTTTAGGAAATGTTGTAGGTGGAAGACCTACATTGTATAACAATCAACCACCTGAATTACTAATGAAGTTGTGCGCAGAAAGTATAAAACAAAATGAACCTGTATGGTTTGGATGTGACGTGAACAAGAGGTTAATAACTAAACAGGGTATATTAGACATGAAATCTTATGACTTTGAACACATGTTTGGAACTGATATTCAAGTTAATCTTGCAAAAGCAGACCGATTACTTTATGGAGATTCTATGATGATGCATGCCATGGCACTCACAGCTGTTTCTATTGATGTAAGTTAAATAATTTATGTTTTATTATATAATGTAAATCATTGCAAAATCTTTTCCAGAATGATGGTAAAATTAAGAAATTCAGAGTAGAAAATTCTTGGGGTGATGATCATGGACAAAAAGGATATTTGATACTAACAGCTGAATGGTTTTCTGAATTTGTTTTTGAAGCAGTTGTTGATAAAAAAATAGTACCAGCGGATGTTTTAAATGTATTCAAACAGGATCCTATTACCTTACCTGCATGGGATCCTATGGGTACTCTTGCTCACTAATAATGATAAAAGCTTAAGCATTTAAAGATAAAATTTTTAGTTAACAAAGGAGATCAAAATCGAATAGCAAATAAAATTTTGAACATACTGTACACAAAGTGCAACAAACCAAAACTTCAACAATGTTTTTAACTGACTAACAACTATGAAATAATTCTAAGATCTTAAATTTGAAATAACATACATTGCTGAAATTGGTAAAACATTAACAATGTACACCTAAGATAGTTCCTAAAATCTAAGATGATCCCTTGTATAATCTGTTTTGTAATTTATCTTTGCTTACCATTAATGAGGAGCTTGTTTTGTTTTTGCTTACAATAATTTACTTTTAAAATAAATTTGATATCCTTTAAACATTATAAAAAACTAAATAATAATTAAGATATGTTATTAAATATTTTTTAGAATAAGCATGAAATTATGTTAATAATTTTAATTAATATCTAATATTATTTGTATTAAAAATTATTATTTAAAAGTAATATTTCTATAACAAGATTAAAGAAACAACCAATGATTGTATAAAAACTAATAAAAATGTTCACAAATGTAATAGACTATAATTATTGCCTTTAATTTATTAATGAATGTTATAATTTGTTAATAATTACAAAAAATACATTTTTAGAAACAATATTTTGTACATTATTATTTATTTCCAAACATGAGTATGAAATTCAATTAGCCTAATTCTAAACTATGATAAGAAATTGTTTCATAACTAATATCGAAGAACTTTATGTCGTTCTTTCTTAATTTTATAACAGTATTTAAGTTTAGCCCATATACCTTGACACATCTTTTGTAGCCGAATATCATTTTGACTAAGTGAAAATTGATAAACATTCTTTATTATGCTTTTTGGTAATTTTAATTTACCACGCTGAATTAAACTTAAGGCAGCATATAGTTTACAACGTGCAACCAAAAGAGGATCTTCAAGACGAAGTGCTAATTTGAACTGCTTCATAGAAATTTTTCCAGCCATTTCAGCCTGTATAAGAACATTATGTTTTTAAGCTATACTAAGTAAATAAAATCGATTTACAATTTTTCACAGTGTCATGAAAAATTTATTAATGAACATTTCAATGATACTTACACAATATTGAAATTCTTCTCCTAAAGCAGAAAATGCTCCACCTAAAGTAGACAACCAAGACATAGCATGCTCTACTTCCCTTCTTTCCAATACCATTTGTATAATCCTATTATTCCTGAGATTAAAAAGTTATTCGTTATAAGTTTAACCAGGATCATTAGTATGAATTATTAATCTTTAATTGTCATTTTACCAGTTATAATCTAAGAATTGTTTCTTTGGTGTACGTAGTTTCATTAAAATCACCACTGTGCTTGTTTTATCTTGTAATTGGTACATTAAATATTCTAACAATTTTTTAAGCGCAGCTCTACGATATGTTTGTGATATCATTAATGTTACAACATACGCTGATGCAAAATAGGCATTATATCCCTTTTTGCTAAAGCAAATTTTATTGCTTTCGTTATATTTGTTTATATTAACATTTGTTTGATCAGTGCTATTATCATTTCTAACTTTCTGTTCATATTTAATCACAGAATAAGGTGTAATAATAATGCTATCAAAAATCGAATTGCCCCTATGTACAACTAACTTTATTGAATTATCCATTTTTTGTTAAATTTGAAAATTCAATGCATCTGTTAATATGTGTAAATATTGCTTCATTACATGTAAAAACGTTACATGACAATACGAATAAGACATATTATAAACATTTATTGGAGACGTTGATCTCAAGCATGTATGTATTAAATATCAGTTACAAAATTTACATCAGTCAGATCAACCACAAGATGTATTTCGTAAGAAAAGGATACCGATATCTACTTTTAAATAAGAAACACAATTTTTAGGATTTCGAATACATTTCTGAATGTCTTGTTTGCTACACAAACTACTTAGTTGACAATCTGAGGTTAGAAATTTAATTAACTATATAGGGTGTACCCTTATTGATGGTACATAAACAGGAAAGAAGTGATTTTACGTAAAAAATGAAGTATATAGAAAATATGTCGTATTTTCATATGTAACTTCATTTTCGAGAATACTGAATACTGATCAGATGTATCTAGAAATTTCTAAATTTCCAAAAGTAAAAACTTATAAATTTCTAATCGTTGAAATTGTTAAACTTCTAAATACTCAAATTAAAAAATTTCCGAATTCCCACTTATTAAAAGTTTTCAAATTATCAAATCTCTAGATTTATATATTTTGATATTTTTAAATCTCTAAATGTTGGATCTGTTGAATATCGAGTACCCGTTCATTTTTCGCGCTTCTGAGTATAGTAGCTTTGATTGGTTACACATGCGCTCTTCTGATATTCGTGACATCATGCGTGTATACCCAGTGCTCTTTTATTCAGTATGCGTATTTTATTAGAGCTATTAATTTCTTTCGCATCATCGTTTCTTTCTTTCATTTACATATGAAAATTGCATGCTTTAAAAACAATGTGAGAATGTAAAATAATACAGTTACAGTTCCAATAACGAAAGGTTCACTTAGTAAATCGTAACATTCAACAATTTCAGCAATCATTAAAAAATTGCCAACATATATATAGTTGCGGAGTTTATTAAGAATATTTCAATTCGATAAAAATCGAAATCGTATTCAAAAACATTTCGTATGTACTATTTTCATTTTGAATGAAGCGTTTTTATTTGTTATTGACGGTCGTATTTCAATAATTCAAGAATTATGAAATTCAAATCTGTGTCAAGCGGAATTTTCGTAGAAATACGTAGAATCGAAGATATTGCACTTCGATTATCGATTGCATACATATACGATATATCGAACCGCGTAAATTTAATAAATCATTTGTAGATAAATTTATATTGCAACAAAACGTAGATATTCCTTTCATTTTTCGTGTCAAATATATTTTTCATTTTTATTTATGCAAGGAATATATATATTTGCATTTGTATCGTTCAAATTGTAACCTCGATATATTACGACTATACAAAATCGTAATAATCGATTAGAAACTTTCGATTGAAAAGGTCAAATCGATTGGAATAATACAAATATTATTCGAATTATATACTTTAAACATAATATTATCAATTGCATATAAAATATGTATATAGCATAAATAATTCATGTTTTAATTATTATATATGAAATGTAATAATAAATAAATTTCAAAGTATATACATATATATTTTCTTATAAATATCATTCATAGTTTGTCCCTTTGTTACATAATTCTTGCAGTCTTGAAAACCATTACATTATTGAAATTTCACAAGCAATAATAATAATAAGAAAATAACAATAAACAGTTACCTTTATTTAAAATATGTATATATCTTGAAAATATGTATCACGTTAAGAACACAAAACAAAAAATTATAATTATAAAATATAAAAAGCGTATTCGATAATTTCAATACTTATGAAATTTACAATTCAATTATATCTAATAAAATGCAAAAATTTTACGATATATTATTTTATCTAATTTATTTACAAGGAAGTTTTAAAATTAGATTAGTGAATAAATTAAATAAAAGTATGTTGTACAGTTCAGGGCAATGCAAGACATGTTTTGCGCCACTGTGCGCGCCATGCAACTGCGCAGTTATTGGCATTTCCCAAAATTCAACTGACCAATCCTGTTCCCCAATGCGAACACACCTCCAGCGATCGGCCAATCCAAAGCCCGGTAACTATCGTTACAATGTGATAATTGGGGCAACATACAACGATTGAAATTCACTTTGCCGCGTTATATTTATAACAAAATAAAACAGAAAGTTTTTCGAAAAATTGCTAAACATTTTAAAGTAGCATTCCAACGAATCTTTTAAATAAATCTCGTATTATTACAGCGTATTGTCGCAAGGTAAGCGGTTGCCTTGTACGTCGCTGAACGTCTGCGAGTACCCCACCTTGTGATTCGGCTTAAGCTTTGACGAGATACCTCTATTGGTATTGGGGTCTCCGACTCGATCGTGGCAGGTTGGATTTACCCCGTTTTGTCACCGAGAAAATCGCCTTGCTTAATATTCGTTTAATCGCGGAACGGTCGACCCGTATATATTCGCCCGTTCGTTTTATTTCTAGTGAAACTTCGAAAAGAATCGTCTCGGTGCTAGGTGGTCTGAGCTTTTAACCAGTAGCGTCCCATTGCTGACATTTCTCACATTAGACACGCGACACCAAGGTATGGCGTTTTTGAGATCGGTGCCGCGTTGCAGTGCCGGTAAAAAGCTAAGGAAGTGTGTGCCACTTCCTGTCGGGTTTCTAGAGAACGTAACGAAGCCATCGGTGCAGTTGGTGCAGGTGCACGAACGCGAATACACCGGCGCCACCGCTAACGTGAAGCCGGTCACTCGTCAGATTGATCCATTGGATTTGAAGTTTAACGATCCGATAGCTGCTTTTAAAAGCAAAACCACCAAAGAACTAATACGTGCTTATATCGTTTATCAACTATGTTCGATCGAGTATCTCGTCGAGAACAATATGAAGGTAAGTTTCGCATGACTCGCGATACTCGTGACTTTAACCGTTTATAGTTCCTAGTTACGTTAACCGATTTCAATGGAATTTACTTAAATTTGCATAAGATACCTTTTAACTTTTCATTACAGGCTCAGATAAAACGATCTTCACTCTTTTTGCCGCTGTTTCGATCAATTGCAGATTTTTCGAAATGGTGAAAATACGTCATTTAAATGGTACACTGTTTGGCAGTATTCGAAAAATCTTAATATTGATTTTCGAATAATATTGGTAATTTTTTAATAAAAATTTCGAATAAAATAATGTTATTCCAGAAAAAACCAATAATGTTTAATTCGAATTTTTCGTTCGAACTAAACATTGTTCGTTTGTTTTATTCGAAAGTCTTCGAATAAAAAGACATTTGTTACTCTCGAATATCTGTCTTTTATTCGAAATTGTAATTTGAGAATTATTTAAACGATGTATAACTCTAGTATGAGTATAGTTTTAATTAACTATATACATATTTACATACATATTTATATCTTCATATGACGTACAATGAAGATGGAGGAAATTGACATGTGCTTTTTGTGTTACGCTCTTCGAGTATTTCGCGGCTATGTTGGAAGGTTATTTTTATCATTTTATTCTGTCTTATAAACTGTAAGATTTTTCATTCTCAAATCTCCTATTCATTTTAAACAGTGGTACATTTTACATCTTAATCGTTTAGTATTAATTTTTTATTATACAATTTTCACCAAAGTTGTCATATATGTAAAAATTATATTTATCGTTTCTGACTGTAAAAAATGTATTTGTCGATATATATATATATCTTCCTTAATATATTCGACATAACTTATATAAATTGAATTGGAGGTAAAACGCTGAAAAGAATATATTGTGTAATTAAACGTAACGTATCTATCGTAAAAATTACATTCGTAATAAATTCAACTCGTTTGTTGCACAGTATATGGTAGATGTAGAAGGATATGCATTTGTAACGCAGCATAGAGGTTGAGGATGACATAAAAGTGTCGGTTGAGTTTTCACGAAAATAACGTTAATGAAGTCGGCTCATTGAGGTATATTTTCGAGACTTCATTAATTAGTCGACAGGATCGTGACATCTTTTATTGATAGCGTCAGGATTCGTACGCGATTTGTACGACGTGGCATGGCGCGTTATTGATTTTAGTAAATGCTTAATACATTGAATCGACCTAGCAATTTTGTCGCAAACCGGCAACCAATTACGTAACACTTCAAGAATGATCGTTCAAAGGATCATTTAAATTGATCTTAAGATCGTCCTTTGTTACTTTTGCATTCCAAATTTGAATCATCGTACTTTGTTATCGAAAATATTCGACAAATCTTATCTTAGTATCAAAATTAATTTTGGTACAAAATACAAACTGATCCCTGTGCTTTCCAGTTTTATTCTTTTTTGATTGTATAGTAAATATTTATAGTACATTTAATCAAATTAACGAGAATTTTATCGCGAATTCACGACGCATTAAATCTTTCTTTCTCGTGTATTAGATCGATTGTAATATATGGCTGATATGTTTTCTGCTCGAGTACAGGATTACATTTAAGTACTGCTCTAAATATTTTTATCCGTCACGATAGAAATATTTTCAACGTGCACGAGTCTGCCATTAACACTATTGTTCTAACCCATCACTGTCACTATAAATAATATTTAATCTAGTCTATTAATAATTTGTGAAACTGTTGAATATGCCATGTTATATATACTAAAAAGTATATATAACTGAATTATTTATGTATAAAGATCACAATGCAAAGGATGCCGTTGTTAAAAGTGGATTCGTCTTCACTCTTGTGATCGTCAAAAGATATGATTGTTACGTATCATAATGAAAATTGACTTCGTATCTAATTATAGGACGGTTCTTGTCGGCTACACATAAATAGATATGCTCGTACTTGGTGATTCATTTCCTATCCCGAATGCATGATACCACCGTGACACCCGTGTATTGATTATTATTGATTTTTCAAGTGCTACATGACTTGTAACGTTTCTCCTTCAGCTGCTTTATAACACTTCTACTTCGCTATAAAATATTGTGCCACCTTAATCTTTTGTAGTCCCTTGTTCACTCAGCAGCTTCAAATCATGAAAATTGAAAATTTTGTCTATAAAATAATTATTGCTATTACATCATTCAGGAAATCGTTTCAACGAATTATCTGATAACAGATTTCCGAAACTTAATGAAACGTAAAATGATATCTGCGATTAGCTTTTTATCAGTCCGTGTGAAGCCTATGTTATACTCATTGAAGATTTATCAGTCTATCATTTTTTACGAAATTTTTTACGATATCTGTAGTACTAATTTACGATATTTGTAGTTTTTGTTACTGAAGAATGTAAAAAAAGTTAAATCTTTTTGCTTTTTCTAAAAATATAGAATTGCACGTGTTTGCTGCAGAGAATAGGAGGTGGATCAATCGTTGTGTGCTGCAACGTACATATGTCAGCAACCACTCCCGCGGTATCGCGTGATCGGACATTTTGCGGCGCCCATTGCCGACGCGATATTACGTGATTGAAGTTTTACTATTGGATCAAATTCTATAACAGTCTTTGAGTTATAAGTACTTTCCGTAAAATCAGATTAAAAAGATAAAAATTCCCTGTGGAATTTAAATTCAGATAATTGTGATAAAGGTAATCTGTAAACACAGCTGCAAACACATTAACGAAAAGAAGCTTAAATATTAAGAAAAATAGAATTTAAATTTAACTCGAACAATTGTACAAGCTTGTTTAATTATGAAAATGTATGCAAAGTCCTGTAACAATCGTTTATCATGCAAAACAAAATTAAAATCATCTTATAAAGTTATCTTATTGTCATGGTAATCATCTTAAGATAATACTGATTGTTTTAAATAGATAATTAAACAGACTGTTGTAACAAATCTCATATCTTAAAAACAGATTTACATCTGTTCATTATTCTGAATTTTCCATGATTAAAAATTTAATATGATACAGTTGGAACATGATTAGGAAGCTTCTCTGATTTCTATCTAATCAATATGCACAGTATCAAATGATAATTTCAAGTGTTCAGGTAATTACCTTTTCAGTACTGATAATCGGTGACTTCTTTTTTTCAATTTATTATTTGTTGAACAGCTTCAAAAGTTGTTTTGTTCCTTTTGAAGTGAAACATTTTTAATTATTATAATATATTAAAAAATCATTAAAATTGGCATATCATTTATATAACATTTATTGTAATTTGTTTAAGGAGAACTGCGTTGAATGCATGATGAAAGAGAAGATGAAAGTGTGTGATTGGAAGCTGCTGAGACCAAACCTAGTAATTTTAAAAAATGAAATTGTTAATATTAGAGAGCACGATTTTATATAAGAAAGAGCATCACATATGTCTTTAATAACATGGAAAGTTAAAGGTACTATAATTACTATTTTTTTTTCTGGAAGTAAAGTATCATATTAGTTGAAAAATGTAAAATGGCAGTGTGATATAAAATAGAATTTTAAATTTATGTACATTAATTTTAGCCTTTGAGAAATCAAGTGAATGTTTTAAAGATGATGTTGATTAATATTCATGAAATATTTGGGATTTTAATTCAAATTTTGTGTGCAATATTATTCATATATTCAATTTACATGATCCCTAATTCAAATACTGTACAGTAGATTAGAAAATACACATAATGCTTCTTTGTTTAGAAACAATTAAAATTAGAAAAATTATCTGCGTACTTCAGTTAATGCAATAGTCTGTTTGATTACTTTTAAAATAAAGTAGTGAATTTTTATCCTTCATCTTACATAACACAAAAATGTTACATGCATACAAGTTCAAGCGTTATTGCTATGATGTTTCTGGAGATTAATTTACATAAATATACAGATATTACATAATCTTGCACTTTGCGTTACCATAATTTGATTAAATATAAGAAGTAACATAAAATGTTACTTTAAAATACATAGAAATTATTGTTATGTTAATTGAAACAGTATTACGAAGGAAACAAAATACTGTTATTTTAATGTTAAAATAGTATAAGGTATTAATTACTTCATTAATAGAAGGCACTAATTATTTTATTTAATACTTTTTCCGATATTTCGTCGGACTTTATTAACGACATGAATTGGTTAATTTTCAGGTATTGCAACCTTATATTAAAACACCTTTTCTTCTTTTAGTAATTACTTGATTACGTTGCGCTTGAGACGCCAGATACTGACGACCCCCACGGTAGTCAATGCTATTGATATCTACCCCCGTGACAAGAATTAATAACACCACTCGACTGGTGATTACAATCATTACGATTTCTATCGAATTCGTGATACTTTGTATCACAACACGCGTTTGTTATTCTGCGTGACCTGTTCGTTCGTTGATAATGTCGTGCGTAACGAGCATTGAAAAGGTGTGCAATTCTAATAACTTAATATAAATGACATCGACAAAACAACCTGGAATGGAGATAAATACATCTGTAAGCATGATAATTGGTGCATCACAAGTGTCGCATTCATTTTGCCGCTTTCAGACGCCTGTCTGCAATCATATACTGATTCAAAGTATTACGTACCCGCGTTCATTAGTGACTATTTTATTTAATTAAGTATTGAAGATATAGTATAGTCTTTTCATACGGTTTCTTTTCGTACGGCCCGTGATACGATTTTTCTCTCAAATTTTTAAAGTTGGAATTTCTCAAATTTAAGAATTTAGAAGTTTCAAATTTTCTCTAAATATTAAAGTTTTAAAGACTCAAAATCTCAAGGCTTTATGATTGCAGAGTCTCAGGATTCAGAGTCAAGTTTCCAAAGTCTGAAAGTTTCAAATTTATCAAGTCTTACAGTACATAATTAAAGCCTCAGGAATTCCAAAGTTTCTGCAGCTTAGAGTTACAGATCTTCAACTTCAGAGTCCCAAAGGCCCAAAATTGTAAAGTATTCAAGTTTCAAAATTTTGTAAACAAAAGTCTACAGCATCAAAGTCCCAAAATCCAAAGTATTTATTAATTTAGTGTGTATACACATTATTGAAACCTTCTATGTAGAGTGTCCATACAACACTTATTTTATATTTTTAATTATTGAAAATTATTTATATAAAAATTATACGATATGATGGCAAATTACTGGCAAAGTAGTTGATGATACATTAAGTACATTTTAGAAGAAATATTTTAGATTGCTTATTGAGTTGAAATCATGTGTAGCTAGTTAAAACTGGGTAAAACTACCTATCATTTTTTAACCACAGAGTTTCATAACTGCAATACATTCTATATGTCTGATGAAATTATGAAATTATATCCAGGTGACCTTATCGATACTACTGATGTGTTATATTTTTAATGTTATAATGCTTTACATTTGTAAGCTAGACATTTAATACATTTTGACTATCAAAGGACTACCATGCAATTCATTGTTCAACATAAATGTCTATTATCACAACATTGCATTATCTTACATTACATTATTTTGTATTATTTAAACCAAATAATATAAATATTTTTCAGATTCACAACACAAAGCAATGAAAGAAATTTACGGTAAATACATAATAATATCAGTTTGGATTCAAGCCACAATAACATAATCAATCACTATGAACAACGTGATCACCAACACTAATTAAACAAGCTTCATTTGATATGCAACAAACTCTTCTAGGCACGTGAGTCAGCCATGCGACGACGTAACAATGAATCGATTAGTATGTGCAACGCACTCGTAGACACGATGTATATGAAAAGATTCTGAAACAGTGTCGTATCTGTCTGGCAAGTGTCTGAATGAAGACTATGACAGTGGCGAGGTTCGAGGCAGCAATCTACTTTGAGTCAGCATATCAGGGTTACACGGACAGACAGTGTCTGGAAACGGCAAAGTGAATGCACCAACGCAATGATGCACCCATTCTCACTATACAGAGTGTCTCAATAAAATGTATATACACGTTGATCATTAATATTAAGCATCAAAGTGTTAGCAAAGGTATCAGATTGCACTGACGTTGGCAGTAGTTATTTGAAACATTTATCACTTTAATGTGGCCAACATAACATGACATGCACTTGAACTCTGTTCATTTTATTTGTTACATTATATGATAGTAAAATGCGTTTATATTGTGCATAAATTTTGGTACATCATTTAATGATCAAGTTAGAGTTCAAGTAGTCTAGACTTAGGTAATCAAAAGTGCATACATATTACTTGTACATTATATCTTTAATTACAGAAGGTATAACAAAATTACTTCTATGAAAGTTGTGTACTAGTGAGTCAATATGCTAAAGAAAATACATTTTTCTTTATACTATTATCTCACTAAATATTCAAATGTTGCGTTTGAGGTCGACACACGTTCTGTCTCATTCAGATGCTATGCAAAACATGACACACTGGGTGTGTCTTAGAAAAACGATTTTATTGCCTGAGCAATTGAAGATATTAAACGCTTGTTTTTCTATTTGATTATTTTATATAATTGTGGCTTGAATTTGAACAGTATTCACATTCTGCAGTTAGTGAAAGATAACACATTCCAGAAATATTTTATTAATCAGAACAATATGGTCGATCCGGTGCCAAAGTACTCATTATTTATTCGACGTGTGGTTTAACACCAGACGAATACATATGTAAACGAATAAGAAAGCTAGGAAGAGAAATCAGAGTTTCTCATTGAATTATATCGGAACACGTGTTTAGCTTCAAGGCTAGCTGGTCCCAAACTTCTACAATTCGGCAGGTCGACTTCGCAAAAAATGTTAACGATACTTCCATCGAGTCTGTATGAGTCGAAATAGTAATCTACGAAATCATTTTATGTAAACAAAGGTTGGATATTTTTTATTTGTAGAAGTTTAAATTGGAAAAGATTGTTTGCTGTAATTTATGTACATTAGAACAGTTAAATTGAAAGACCAGCTCAACACCTTAATTAACACAATAAATTAATTTTACTAGTCTAAGTAACTATGACACTTACAGAATTTTATGCAAATTGGATGCAATCTGTATTTCGTTTTTAACAACCAGTTAATTATAAGAGTGAAGGCAAAGTTTGATTGTAACTATTATGTAGAAGTATATTTAATTTTACAACAAAGTTAATGTTGAACCAAGTGTCGGAGAAAATGACTGATACGTTATCTGTTTTCATTAACATTATATATAAAAACAAGCTAAATAGTATTAACGTCTAGCTAATGAGTCGCAAATTACTCAAGTAAACGTATTATCATTGAAGTATTTGGATAGTTTAACCTCACGTTCAAATGTAAATTTCCTCGAATTTACTAACTCGCTTAAAAATGACTGATTTCGTAAAATCTTAAGTCGGCGCGTAGATGTTCCCCTGGTCATTTTGATCAACAAGTAAAGCCTCATTGTACAAAAAACTTAAAATCACCATGTGCAAATATTCTATACGAGTTCTGTAAATCAATTTTTAATATTTTACATAATATTTATTCTTTTAGCCAATTTGAAATAATATTATCTGTTTGAGATCAGAGTACAAGTTCAACAGAAGAGTTTATATAACAGTAGATTTTTAAAGTATATTTGAAATATCCTTCTCTCCAGTAGTTTCATGATTACCCATTGTATCTCTTATCAGAAAGTATATATGATGTTAGCAAACTTGAATAATCTTTGTAAGACTACCTTATCGTTATTACATAAACAAAACGTTAGTTGATGTATTTAGGATTCCGCTTTTGTAAATATTATTAGTTGATATCAATGGTACATATATGTACATGTCCGATTTAAGAATATACATGTCGTTAGTCCTTTAACTGTTGAAAGTGGGAAAAAATGTTTGACTTAAACTTAAGAACCAGTTTTGTTGCATGCTAAACTCCAAGGATTTGGATTGTAGACCTAAGTACGTCGTTGGGAAGGATACTTGAGACTTCTAGAGAAGCGTAATGCGATTGAGTGATGGAAATAAGTCCCTGTTTACTGTAGATAAACATGAATTGAAGATTTTAAGTCCTAAAGGATAAAGTATAAGTCCCGTGTATATTTGGCACCTATAAGTAGTTTGAATGAGTTGATTATATATTCTTATTTCCCTACTTTGATGAAACTAGAACTGGACATTCTAGATTTACAGTTTCAAAATTCTGTAATTCCAAATTTACAGAGTCCCAGAATTCTAAATTTCCAAAATTTTAAAACTTAGTTAAAATCCTAAACTTCTGAAGTTATAAGGTTTTAGATTTCAAAGTCTAAGTATTCTAAAGTTACAAAATTTCAAAGTTTTAAAACTTATGAAATCCCACACTTCTGAAGTTATAAAGTTCTAGGTCCCAAAGTCTAAGGGTCCCAAAGTCTAAGGGTCCCAAATTTTCGAAGTTATAGGATCCCAAAATTGCAAGGTCTCAAAATACTAAAATTCCAGTTGCAAAATGCTAGTCCTAATACTTCCAAAATCTCAGTACTAAAGTTTCACTTGAAAAGGTCCTTCTACCAAAGCCTCTTTCTAAACATCTTAAATTCCTATATCCGCAGCTTAAATACCGCGCGTCGCCGACTCTACGGATACGTTCCTATTACCTATAGGAAGCATAGTACGAGTGAGTAAGCGGATGGAAATATTCATATCACAAAATGCGCAATATAACGCTGATAAGGGAAATGCGGTACCATTCAGTAGAATTTATTGAAGTTAATTGATTGCTTAATTTTTTTGCAGATGGACATAAACACATCAATAAAAATACAGTGTGTTACAGTTACGAAATACTGTTGAACGACGTGTTCCTCAGCCTGATTAACAATTGGAAATTCCCCTGTGATACTTGATTCCTACGATTTCACGATAAATTGTCTTGTGAAACCTATCGACATCGAATCGATGAAGAAACGTACTCGTAATTACGTTCCAACCCTTTCCATTTGCATCACGACCATCCTGTGAATCGACTAATTGCATTTTTTTTGTTTCATAGACTTCTTGTATCTTACACTGTCGATCTAGTTCGAAAAGATATTAAAAATATAATTTTGTAAATCAGGTTTAACTGAAGTGGGTAAATCCAGAGATATTAAAAGATTTTTATTATATTTTTAGAGATATCATCATTATTGATTAGCAGTGAATCATTGAAGGATTATTCGTCATATTGTCATACATATAATTAATTGGATTTCGGCTTGATACGATTATGATAAATAATAAAGTCAACACGGCTTTATTTTCACTCCAGACGCATTTACAATCAGCGTCGAGGGAGTTGGAGTAAGATAACACCGGTCAATTCCCGGTACACTCAGCACTTCAATTATTTGCAACCTCACTAGCGAATCTGTGACAATTAAGAGGACAGTTACACCACACTGACGTAATTTACACGTTAAATTGTCATTATTAATAGTAGTGTAAAAAAAGAACTTCAAAGAATTTAGTTTCACTGCTATTAGAGTCACATACAGTGGTAGAAAAAGATTGTTTTTTGAATGTAATTGTATATTCTTTTGTATAGGTCAATTTTTATACAATTCTATGTAAGATATTACTGTACAATGTTAAAAAATTAACAACTCATTTAGTTTAAAAAATGTGGAGTTTCTGATTTATAATTAAAAATTTCGAAGTTCTGAGTAAGAAATAATCTGCCTATTTAGCAATAGTGTAGCAGTTTATCGATTGGCTAACGTCTAAGAATGAACGTTTTTGCCAAGACCGTATTGATCCTGGCAAACTTCGTCGGTGCACTTCATACAACCTATATATTTCTAATCAATGACGCGTGTGATTGTCACGTCTACAATGCATATTTCGAATACATATCTCATATCACATTCTTATCTTGCGATTTCACATGTAAAATTATGATAAGATCTTCTTACATATGCAGTTTATTAAAGCTCATTTATTTCAATTATTGTGAAAAAGGTTTATAAATACACTTTTAAGAATTTTGTAAATCAGATTTTCAAGAATTCTAAAAGGTTCAAGACTTTCAAAGTTTTGAAGACTTTCCATAACTTCCAAACTTTCAAAACTTTTAAGACCTTTCAGAATTTCTGCACTTTTTAAGCTTTCTAGATTTATTGCAGATTTTCAGATTTGGAGATTTTTCAGATTTTCAAAATCTTTAAATTTTCAAAATTATTAAAATTTTTCAGTATTCAAGATTTTTCAAGAATTCAGAATTTGTCAAATTTAGAATTTTCAAAATTTTCAAATCACAATTATTCACAAAAAGAGTAGAAATGTAATTATATTACATTGTTTGTTGGAAACACAAATCTTTGCGTGAAATTGCTTGTTTATATATTATATTGATACTTGATTCAACTTCATTAGATGACACAGAGTGATAGGCATGTGTATTTATCTTTGATAAATAGCAACATGAGTCATAAGTATAAATCATTGAAACGTTATAGTATGGCTCATAATTTATTTATGCAAATAAGACTTAATAAACGTTGTGTTCGATGCATACATGCATAGTTCCACTTAAATTGATCGTAAACTGTAACAAATGTTTCCAGTAATTGCTTTAGGCCAATTTACTGTATGCATATTTAAACACCTGGAATGCTGTTCTATCTTTATAAGCGGAAATTTTTCGAATTTCAATCAGCAAGAAATTTTTTTAGTGAAAAAAAACGAAGTATGTGGCGGAAATAATTTCAATTTAACAAAAAAAAAAAAAAATTTGAATACTTGACATAAGATACATTTTTATCAGAAATAATGACCCTGGTAAATTTAATTGGTACTGATAATGTGTAGTGTTGCGAATTTTAAAGACAGATTTTATGTTTGTGGTTTAAACATATTTGTGGTTAACTGATTATTGATTTAATGGTCTTTAGGAGCTAACATTGAAAAATGAACAAATTTATTTTCAAACTGATTATATAATGTTGAATATATTTTATATAATACGCCTAAGATTTTTTTGAATGAACTGAAAACAATTTACCTTGTTGGCTGTTGCGAAGGAAATCTTTCAAAGCACTTTGTGAAATTAAGAAGAGAATCATTTTTCTTTGATGTAACATCTCCTGTTAAAGAACTGGTGACCACAATTTATATATAGCTTATATAACTACAGTAATTATAGCAGCATTGCTTGTGGTAGTATTCATGTGTTATGGTATAGAGTAATAGTTTTATTTGGAGAGGTCTAATAAAAAGTAATTGAATTAAACATTGATTATAATAATAGCAACTAAGTTTTGGTGCAAGGAATAATTCAAATGTTTAATAAGAAATATCACATACTTCTTGTCCTGACAGTGATCTTCGATTCAGTTATTATTTATTTAAGCTTCTGAGATTGTGAGCAACGTCAACTATCTATGTATAATTTGTTAGCAGTCACAAATTTAGTCCAAATACAATATTGGTAATATACATTAAACATTAAATTCAATGTCTGTTGAACTTTGAGTAAATAAAACTTTAAACTCTTTTCACTGATCATACCATGTCTGCTTTGCAATTTTTACTAAAGACTTTTTGATCTCTTTTCAGTGACTTGGTATTTCTGGTATATACCAGAGTATATATAAAAATATCATAAAATTTATTACACTAGCCCTCTAATAAATAGTACTTTGTTTAACAGTTTAGTGTTTGTCAATCATTTATTAAATATATGTTTTTTATTTTGTTACAGTTAATGAAATTAACCAGGCAGGTGCTTGGCGAGAAACTGTTTACAAAGCTTATGAGGGCTACATTCTACGGTCACTTTGTCGCCGGCGAAGACGAGGCGCAGATCACTCCTGTCCTGGATAGGTTACGACAATTTGGTGTGAAACCTATTCTTGATTATTCAGTTGAAGAAGATATCTCTCAGGAAGAGGCGGAACGACGTGAAATGCAGTATGTATCAATGTCACTACCTGTTACAAGTTTTGATGCTCTTTATTCCTTCTACAACTTTTAATTCAAATAGTTAATTTAATGATTATTAACTTAATTTTGAATTTAATTGTTTACAGAGGTTCCGTGTCAGAAGCTGGAGATGAGAAAAGGGAAGGACCCCTGAAGAAGTACCATGTAGCAAAACCGTTCGCTGATCGTCGATACAAAGTATCTTCAGCAAGAACTTATTTTTACCTAAACGAAGCTAATTGTGAACGTAACATGGACATTTTTATTAAATGCCTAGAGTCTGTAGCTGGTGAGTCAATATCCTCAGTCAAAATTTTTAAATCTTGTAAATTATTCATTCATTTTAAGGAATAATATTACAGCGTTAAATGTTCAGAAAATATATTGCTTTAGAGCAGGATTTTTTTAATGAGTTGAGATCTACTTTTGAATATGGTCATTTTTATGACCCAGTCGCTTGTAATGTATTATTTTATAAAATTCCAAGGCTTCAAAATATTAGAGTCTTAAGATAGGTTCAAGATTTCACCTAAAACTAGGAGTTCCAAAGTCTTTGAATCCCAAAATCCTAAAATTCATAATGCACAAGTAGCAAAGGTCCAAAGTCTATATATCTTAAAATCTGAAGTCTTTATATCTTAAAAATGTGAAACTAATATTTCAAAGTTCAAAAATTCTAATCCCAGTCTTAATCCTGAAGTGAATTTTTAAAAATTCGAGAGCTAGAGGTCCAAAGTTCCAAAACCTAGAATTTAAATCAACCGAAAATACAAGTCATATTTTCATTCTCTTGAGACAGAATATATGATTATCTTTTTTGTTATTTAAGGAATGAAGAAAGGTGTAAAGAATGTGAATATTGAAGAAAGTTCTATGCGGCAGTCAGGATCCTGGAACAATATGGATACCTGAAGTTTCAACTTGACTCAGTAAAGAGTTATAATTTCTAATAATTTAGTAACAAAACATGTATGTCAGTTGTTTGAGGTACATCTGAGATACTAATTTCAATACCTGCAATAGCAAGAAAGATAATAAAAAAGCGATATTTTTCCTAGGGATACACTTAGTGTTTCCACTTTTTAAGATTAGTCAAACAAACTTAATCAAATTTCAAAACTGATCTTATCGCAAATGGTGCTTATCGGTATTTCATAAATCATCGTAACTGAAATTATTTAGCGTTCGAAATCGAACGCTAGTAATGCAGAAAAATGCGATAGATGATTTAGTACATTGTAAATTATATTCAAGTTTAGAATACCGCACTAATGGACGCCTAATTTTGATCGATGCCTGAAAGTATGTGTATCCGGGATTAGTATTCGCATACATTATGTATGTATGATACGACATGGGACCGTGTCCTCGAGTAGTCGAAACCAACACCAAAATTGGATAACAAAGAGAAAGCTAAAACTAGACTCCAGAATTGTTCGACTTTGAAAATGTTTTCAACTTTTATAACACGAAGTTATAAAGCACTTAATTCCTCATTTAATTCCCTCTTCTATATTATACATATATGCGGGAGTACAAATTATATAGTTGATTAATAGAAATTTTAATGGTCGAGTTCTGCTTTAATAGTGCCAAGTAAACCCTTTTTTTTTTGCGGTGGACCCGAGAAATTTTGCTAGTCAAGAATACGAAAACGTACCATCTATAAATATCTTCCGTAGAGAATCTTGTATTCTGCTCTGCGACCAAATAACGTCACATAACGTTGCTTTGAATCGACTTAAAAGATATTAATTTAATACCCTCTTTTATCGAAATTGTGAAACAAAATTTATATTTATTTACGCAAATATCGTGATATAAAATGTAAAATAAAAACATACGTTACATGTTACACGATGATATTATAAATGGTTCTTTTATAATGAACGAAACTAAGTCTTAAACTTTGATCTCTTTATTATAAAGTATAATTAATTGCCACATTGAACTGTGTCATGGTAAAAGTAAATTTTGTCCCTCATACTATTCATTTTTTATCTATTGCTTTGTTCTACATTCACATACCAATCTTTCTAATTTTTAAAATTAATGTAATAAAAATATTTTAATATGTTTTTCTGCTTGTTACAGCGGCTTCAATGGGAGTTGGTATTACGGCCATTAAATTAACAGCTCTTGGTCGTCCACAACTTTTAGTGAGTAAAAAGCATAACATTAAAATATCTCAATAAAGAGATACATTTTTTTTACAAACTTTGCTCGTATTTTAAAGGTGTATCAATTATTATTATACTTTTAACGATTTTCAGCTTCAATTATCAGAAGTAATTATGCGAGCAAGACAATACATGTCGGACGTAGTTGGCGGTGAAGGTGCAGTTTTGACCCATCATGCGAAACCGGATGATTTTATGAAGAAGTTCGAAGAAGCACACATCAAAGATGCGGCACCAGTACAAAAGTTTCTTCAAAAAATTCAGTCGGATAAGGAGGGGTAATTGATCGAGATTATCCTTCATTATTTAACTCTTACTGTTTCGTCTAAATTAATAACAAATTTGATATCATTATACTTAGTTTTTGTATTAGGTGTGGTTAAAACATACTACAATTATAGTGTCAGTATGTATATAAAAGTCTCAAAGCTCAGAGTCTAAATCCCAAAACATTGAATCCAGAGCCAAAATAGTTAAAGTTTCAAGATTCTAAAATACTATAGTTTTAGGGGCCTAATATTCCAAAATCCCAAAATCTCAAAGTTCAGAACCTTTAGAATATATCTCAAAATTGTAGGATCTCTGTGTTTCAGAGCCCCGAGTTAAAGCTCCACTTGGAGCCAAAGTTCCAGTATACCTAAATCTGATATTAAAATAATAAATGTCACATTTCTTTTCAGTGTTATACATTTATTCCCATGGAGTGGGATTTTGGATGAGAATTATGAACTCAGCGAGACGTTTCAAGTACCCGATATTAAGACTGGTAAAATGGTGAGGCTCATGTCGCAGTTAACCTCGAAAGAAGAAGAAATGTTCAGGAACATGATAAGGCGTCTGAATAATATTGTTACGGTATGAATATTTAAAAACGAAGTATAAATATACTCATATGACATTTGAAATGTAGATTAGAGCTTTGAAACGCTTTGAAAGATATGAAAACGTTAATCATTGATTAGGGAGGACTCGTAAGGTATTACAAAAAATATTTTCTTGGATACTAACGTAGCTATAAAATGCATCTTTCATATCTTGTCAGGGTGCAAAGGGATCTTTTCGATAATGTATAAGGTACTGGTATTTTCAAAGGAATGCCTGCGACCTCATCCCTAAATCATATTACTGTAGTTTAGCATATACTAAACATAATTAATACTTTTACAACATGTATAGGGAACTATAACACAGAAATTTAGTTTGTTAGCAGAAACAGAATCGCCAACTTTTATTTCAGGTGGCTGATAAACTAAATGTACGTATAATGGTAGATGCCGAACAAACGTATTTCCAACCTGCGATTTCGCGATTAACGTTGGAAATGATGCGCAAGTACAATACACATAAGGTAACATTTTAGCTTAGTAAATATGATATTATCACTTAGTAACTTTTCAGTGGTCTAAATCCAAATGGTGTACTTCATAGGCTGTGGTGTTCAATACTTACCAGACATATTTGCAAGAAGCTTATAATGAAGTGAAAACGGATCTCGAACAAGCTGAACGTCAGAACTTCTATTTCGGTGCTAAACTTGTTCGTGGGGCATACATAGAACAGGTAAGGTTTGCATTATAAAATTTAATGAAATAGGTATTATTTCTTTATGTCTATTTTAATCTCCGTGACAACCTTTTTCATTGTTAACACAGGAAAGAGCACGAGCGGCAGCTATGGGTTATCCGGACCCAATAAATCCTACGTATGAAGCTACAACTGAATCTTACCATAAGACTCTTATGGAATGTTTAAGGCGGATGAAACAGTACAAAGATAAGGGAGAGGATCCTAAAAAGATTGGAATTATGGTTGCTTCTCATAATGAGGACACAGTGCGTTTTGCCATTGAAAAGTATGTATACCGTACAATAATTTTGTAAAATTTTAAATATGTGTTGATTAATTGTTGTGCAAGTATTATAAATATGTTACACTGATACAGAATGAAGGAGATAGGAATCTCACCAGAGGACAAAGTGATCTGTTTTGGTCAGTTACTAGGAATGTGCGACTATATTACATTTCCACTAGGTACAGTATTTATTTCACTTAATAAATTATCTATTATATTAAAGTAGTGGAAATTGACTTACATGTGCACTTTGATTTCTTAATAATTACATTACTGGAATTTTAGGCCAGTCTGGATACTCAGCGTATAAATATATCCCCTACGGGCCAGTTCAAGAAGTATTGCCATACCTTTCTCGACGTGCCCAAGAGAATCGAGGTATACTTAAGAAAATCAGGAAGGAAAAAAATCTGCTGTTTAATGAGATTATGAGGCGCGTCGTGAAGGGGCAAATATTTTACAAACCGAAAGGAAATTATACTCCCGTTTGAGCAGTTGGTCGTTTTGTTTGCACAGACAGATTTTAAGCATCAAACTTAAGTAGTGATTGTAAATTATTAAAAAGAAAAAGATTTGTGGTACGCAGAGCAACAACGCGAGCGCGTGTGTGAATGGAAGTTATATGCAGTGTTAATTATTATACAAAATTGCCTTAGTGTGACATTATCAAGTGCAAACTGCTCAATATCGCACCATGTGGTAGAACTACGTTCATTGCTCGTTATGTCCATTATCAGAAAACTCTCCAGTGATAACGCTACGACTTTTATAAAGAAGAAGCACATTTTACGCTTTGTTAATAAATTTATCGTGCTCAATGCAGATTACATTGAACAAGTACATTTTTTAATAATTCATTTTATAAAAAAGGAAAAAAGAGATGAAAATGACTTTTAATATTGTTCTTCTTTTTTATAAAGAATTTCTATGAAATAGCTCGCAGAGTAACGTCTAATGATATTCTAAATCAGGCATAGTCAAGTAGTGGCTCGCCAGCCACATTCGGCTACCATCACTATTTTTTTATCCTACCGAGTTGTAGGGAAACAAACTCCACTCTAACTGTTTATCTCTGCTGATTTTAATCGATATTGAACATATCTGCGTGTTACACGGGGTGATTGGATCTTTATTACGTCCTTCCAGATTACCTCATATTAGAAATTTCTAAATTTCTAATCCTAGATTTCCTAATCCCCATAATTCCAAATTTCTAAATTTGAGAGTCTACTGATTTGTAGAGATATGGACTGGCAGATGGTAGTGGGGGACCGTGTAGCTGTCGTTGGGGAGTCCCTTGGTAATGCCTGTTTTAAACGAAAGAAAATTATAACTTTAAAACATATTAGTCCTGTGTTTTATACTTTATTTAAGAATCTCGCAGTGCATGTTTGATAATTCGTTGACGTACATACTTGCTGTTCAAAAAAAAATATCCAAATTTCCATACGAAAATATGCAATCGTGAGACTAAATCGATGGCGTATCATTGTATTTAATTAAGCAAATATTCGTGTGGAATAAATATTCAGTAAACTAGTTCCATATGCTATGCGTAGTTACCAGGAAGGGATATTACCAAAGTGATAGTATTGGCAAATTACGAATTGTAGTAGAATCTGTTTAACGGGAAGTGTTTGCACATTATTAAGAAAAATGGCTCGCACTGTTTGTTGACGAATATGGCAAACATTTTCAGAACATTTTGTTAAATTTCTTTGGCTGGGTGTTAACGAAGAGCCATTTTTTGTGTGCAATTATTACGCATGTTAAATAAGTGTTAAGTAATCTTAGGCTGAAACAATGATGAACCGTGACACTTGGAATTGGAAACAAATAGAGTTGCATAAGTTTCTCATTCATTTCACTTTAGCCTAAAGTTGCTTTTCTTAACAGATATGAGATAATCCATGAATGTATGGCGCTGTTCAGAGGGGATGCGCCTTGTTTCTCAATACAATTCTTAATCGTTTTTCTTTCTAAGAGAAACCAAAAATATCAAGGAAACTTTATAATTTATAAACAATAAATTTTTGTCGAGTTTCAATTCATTGTTTTACATATCAAATGACGAATCCTGTGCTTTTGCTTGGCTGAAGTTTCATTTATTTAAAACAGAAACATTTAAATGATGTTTCACATTTTTATTTTATCAGCAATGAAAATAATTCAACCTGTGGTGGATAGTTTCCAAAGTAGTCCAATAATGTTTTGGAATCTGATCATCAGTATTTAGTTTTGTTTTTTTTAATCAAAACAGAATTTTTTTACTCATTACTATAAAGATTCAATCTTACGTCTGTTGTAAACATCTTCTTCTATAAGTTGTGTAATATACAGAGTGTACCAATTCAGGTTCATGAAACTTTAGAGCCTTACAAGAAATGACATTCTAAACAATAAAGTTTTGGTAAAAATAGGTCTGGAAATGCTTACTTGAAATATTATAGTTAAAAAATTTGAAAAATGTAGACTTTTCCAAAATCTTGAAGTCCCAAGTTCCAAGTCCCAAAATACAAAAATCCCAAAATCAACAAGGTCCAATTCCAAAGTAATAATAAATCTTACTGTTATAATAAAAAGTACTTGTAATTATTATCTTTTGGATGATCTCATTAATCACCTTTTCCTGGATAAACTTGAAAGTTGATTTGTGATGTCATTATGATTCTGATTGAGATGGGTGTGGCCTCGATTGCGGTAGCATTTAATGATCTGCAGCGTTTCCTTAAATATGTTTCTTTCTAGAATGACTATTTCAGGAGTTAGTACAATGTTTAAGAAAACTTAAGTTTTTCAAGTTTTTAACTATATAATTTAAGTGAACATTTCCGGACGCGCATTTATTAAAATATTTTCCTTTACAATTTCATTTCCTACAAGATCCTGAAGTTCCATAAACCTGAAATGGAGCACTTTGTATACGAAACGTACAATTTTGTAATCATCTCTTGTGTTATTACATGTTGTAAGTGCGTTTATGATGTGTATGTAGTCTGTATTTTCAGTTGTCGAGATAAGTAGACTAAATCGTTTTTGAAAGAAGCTACAAAATATGTGATTTTTGTTAAGATTACGCAAATCCCAGAATCATGTTACATTTACAGTTTAGAGGGAGATTTAAACGATAAATAAAGAGGCATTGTTGAAGTTTATACATGCTATATAGCTAAATGTTCTTACGTGGCTAATGGTATGTTGAATGCGAGTGATTTAGGTATATGAAAATTCTATTTGTTATAATTTAGTGTTCGACTGTTGAGTCGATAACGTTAATTAACTTCTACACATCTCGTGATGATGACAATAATTTAGGTAGTTAATGTTATAACTTGTATACTATACGTTTATAGACTTATACGCCATGATGAATTGCATTTTGTCATCACCAGTGAGGTAGGACTTAAAATGATTAGAGAAAGTGGAAGGAAGATGAAATAATTATGCTCGTGCAAAGATTGTACGAGTTAATTACATATATGTATATGTACATAAAAAAAACGTTCGTTATTTAGAACGTACATTTACTGCCAGAATGAACTTATATAACTTTTTCTTGGCTCTGATAATTATGATAAATATTTGCCTATGTGTGAATAATATATTTATGATGAAAGTAATGCAACAGTGTTTATTATGTCGTTTTTGACATTCGATGTTACAAAAGAAAAGAAGAAAGTTAATACATGTAGGTTACATAAGTGTAATTGAAAATAATAATGTTCTGATATTTACTTTCCTTTAGAGAGACTTTATTAGGTACAAATTGAGATTATACAAAAGTGTGTCAAAGAGGAAAGTTAATTGAAACGTCGAACAATATAAAATAAGATAATATTTATTATTTCTTGAAATACAATTAGTGTACGCCTTTCCAATACCACTTAGAAATTCATACACGTATACTAGGACAGGAACATTTGCTTCCATCTTTTGTTTTGTATATATAATTTTGGTTGAATAATTGAAGCTTCTTATCGAAAGCAGAATGAGCAAATTTATTGCTGAATATTTGAGGATCCATTGGAAGTAGTTTCTTGTCCTAGTGTCTTTAACGATCAACAATATTTTCTCCTGCGCTTCACTTTGAACTGTTTCTTTTTAGTTTTCCTTAAATCGACTTTAATAGTACAATTTATTTCAAGATTGCAAAATATATTCAGTGTACATACAAATATCATACTGTTACATGATTTAACTTTACATTGGTTATTTTTTCTTGTTTGGATACATAATTATGAATTTATATAAATTCATCAGTCGTATTTTGAAAATGATGGCAACAAGGATGATTTTGTTTTATGGAGAACATACAAATAGCCTGCTATTTGCCTCTCGTTAATCTTATAGATTAGGAAATATTTCATATAAATATCTATCCACTAAAGTTACTGTTAAACATGTTGATTTTTTTGTTAAATTTTGTAACGATGCCCAAGATAACATGTATTTAAAAAGTGTTATGATTTCTTTAGTTTAAAATCTTTAATAAAACACAACTGTGTTATTAATATAATGACGATTATGGTAAGCATAATTAAATGTATACTTATGACACAATGCGTTGGAAGATGATGTACTGTCACGTGCAATTTAGGCTTCTCTTAATTAACAAAAACTGTGGGAAAAGAAGCAACCTAACATTTATTTATTCATATCCTTTATGTGTTAGGATAGAATGTTCTAGGTGCTCTCCCTGGGATTCTCAAGTCTCTCCCTGGCACTCTCAAGTCCTTCCTTGGGATTCTCCTGCATTCTCTCTTCTTTTTTGACTCTTCTACAATTTCTAGTTTTTTCTCATATTTTCCTAGACCTTTTTTAGGTTCTGTTTGGACTTTTTCTATGATTAGTTTCTTATCTTTTCTAGAATCTCCTTAGAATCCTCTTTCCGGATTCTTTTCTATGCTTTCCTTTATATCTCTCTGGATTTTTCTAGGAACTGGAAATCCCAAGATTTCAGTCTCTAACTTCCAGACTCCTTCTGTTCCAAAGTACCAGGGTCTCAAAATGTTCCACATTAAAAAAACTAAAACTGGGAATCCCAAAATCCAAAAATGTTCCTACTGTTTTTTATTTTAGTGAAACTAATGTTTAGTGTCTGAAAAGTTCCTAGAGTCTACCTGAGCCTTTCCAAGCGTTTGTTTGGGTTTTTCCTAGATTATCCCAAGGTTACAGTAGTAGGCGACTCCATGCCTCTACCCTTACCAAAAGGGAAGCCTGCATTGCACCGAAATGTACCGAAAACACCGTAAATATCAAATATTTAAATGTTTCTATATGATACAGTTGGTCATTATACAGAGGACAGAGTATTTGAATTCTTAAAGATGTACACGATCGCAAAAGTAACAAATAATATATAGAAAATAAATATCTTATTTAACACGTTCGATCCCAGGGTAACATCTAGAGGTAACCGTTTCCTCCGCTGAGTGTGGTATTACACAGTTGGGTCTGAGAGTGTTAATAAAGACTTACAGTACCCGATTTAATAGAAACGATCGATCGGCGAGTGTGTCGATATTGTAATTAGCGTGAAGAGAAGTCGAGCAAACGTGATTTCCTCGTTCGTTGAAGCGTACTCCTTTTTTTTGTCTTTTAATTTAAAAATGTATAATTTGTACAATGAACTGTTACTTAATTTATGCGAGTGATAAGCTTCGGCTGTCAGCCGTGAATATGTAATTACCGTTAAATTAGACGTCTACGCTTATTATTAAAACATTTTTATAGTACTCCAGTTTCGATTCTGTGTGATACGGGGCAGATATCTTTTTTTCCTTCAGCGCACGATTAAAATTAATTTTGTTTTGAAAGACATCAGGTACGTTTCGACGTTTCAACGTCAATGATTTGTCAGAAAGATACTACGATGATCGTTCGTCCGTTGTTCAGTCTTGTACGAACAAGAGATTCATTGTAAGAGCATTTGCGTGGTTTTGTTAATCGCGTTCGTTCCATTCAACTTTCAAGAAAGACCGAGCAATCAATTGACAGAGTAAATCGTTCTCGTTCATCGTTAACGCGGATACAAAATAAGAGTATTGCTCAGTAGAGACGGGTAAACAGAAATTTGATGATTACTAGAAAATCAGCCTTCGGAGACAGGAAGAACACTAGAGTCGTGGTCTGTGACGCTCGTTTCATGCTCATTCGTCGGCAAAGATATCTCCGCAACTGTCTCCTTCGCGGTCACATTCTGTTCGATCGTGCTGATACTCGTAATTTGATTTTCTTCGGTGTTGCATGCGAACGCGACGCTGTTCACCCTACGCCTCGTGTGCTTCTTCGTTCTACATATACCGTGACCCGCGAACAGCTTTCTGTTTGTGTGTCTCCTAGTCCTTCTCAAGCCAAATGGAACGAACTTATCTCAATCTCTGTAACGAGCTTCTATCTTCGTGGTGGAACCATGCTCACTCGTAGTCGCGTCTCTCAGTCACAATGGCGCCAAGCTTTTACCTCTTTTCGCCAATCTGATTTCTAACCATATGTAAGGAACTACGGACAGAAGCAGCACGCAGGCGAGACCGAGTACTCGAAAGCGTGTGCAGACTAGTCCGTGCAGACCGAGAGTCAGGGCAAGTCCTAGCCATCTCCAGAATAGGGAGGTCGATAGTGGTCCTTGCCAAGAGTTTGGATATAGTCCCAATACTAATGCTGTAAATTATATTTTTTTTTATATGTGGAAAGGGAATGTTAGATGCAAGGGTTGTGAAGGGATCTATGTGGATTGGGAGCAGTAAGGTTGTAAGGTAATTTTGGATGGGGAATGTTGGATGTTGAAGGATAAGAAGTGGTAAAGGAATGGCAGTTTATTTTAGGTAGTCTTGATTTTTAAGTATTGGGATTTTGAGATCTTGGAGTTTTGGGACTTAGGGATCTTGGAATTTTAGAACTTTAGGGCTTCAGGAGTTTGGGAGTTTGGGATTTCAAGTGATTGCAATTTTAGGGATTTGGAAATTTAGGTATTTGGAGTTGCAAACCTTTGGGATTTTAGGTACTTGGGAGTTTGGAATTTTAAGATACTGAGACCTTGAAATTTTGGAACTTTGGGGCCTTGGAATTTTAGGACTTTAGGGCTTTAGGAGTTTAGGAGTTTGGGACTTCAAGTATTTGCAATTTTAGGAATTTGGAAATTTAGGTACTTGTGATTTGAAGACTTTGGGATTTTAGCTATTTGGGAGTTTGGAATTTTAATCCTTTCCGTGCCGGGCGAAAAACGTGTGCCTATGCTAAGATAACCGGCCGAATTTGATAAATATGCAAGCATTTGGAAAAACGCTCATAAAAACCAAATTACAAATGATATTTACATGATTAAAAAAGCAACGTATTCAGGAAGAAATAGAGAATAAAGCAATGATACTAATTTTTCAATATCAATTGAAAATCATAAGAATAACATGATTATAAATTATTATAAAAAATATAAAAATTGAATTCTCTCCTTCAAAACGTTTTTACACATAGGAAACCGCATTATTTCATCATAACTTTACACAAACCACTTAGTACGCAATATATAATTTGCATTTCTAATTTATTTTGTAAACAAATTTATGATATTTCTCACAGAAAAATAAAAGATAACTCGATGGTACTGTCCGGGCGAAAAACGGATTTTATCTGTTACAAGATAAGCGGTTGGTGTAGGTAATACAACGTTGTTGAAAGAAAGATTTTAGTCTCGATGCATGGCGTGGCATACGAACTCTCAGATAACTCTGGTATTATAAACATTTTGATTTCGGTACTAGGAGATTGTTTGGTGTCGAGTCTCTGTCGTATCGCTCCAGCGTAAAGAGAGTCTCGGCACTCACCGGCGTAGAATGTGTAAAAAGTCACAATCAAACCGGTTTCTTTTACATTGAAATTAGATCATTTATAATCAAATTAGATCATTTATAAACTTATTTTGAGATAAAGCTTTCTCACAATGCGAAGAATAAGGCGCTATTGCACGCGCAACGATATATCGTCGTTGGCACTTTTGGCAAGTGTAGTGAACGACGATATATCGTCGTCCGGCACGGAAAGGGTTAAGTTTTTATGACCTTGAAATTGTGGGACTTTGAGGTCTTGGAATTTTAGGACTTTAGGACTTGAAGAGTTTGGGAGTTTGGGACTTCAAGTATTTGCAATTTTAGGGATTTGGAAATGTAGGCATTTGGGACTTGCTATTTCTGGGGTTTTGGAACTTTGGGAATATTGGCATTTGGACTTTTAGAATTTTGAGAGTTTAAGTATTTGGAACTTTACGGGTTAGAACTATAAGAGTTTGGAACTTTGTAGTTCTGAAACTTGAGAACTTTGAAACTTCAGAAGCCAGAATTTTGGAACACTAGAATATTAAAATTTAATAAATTTGAGATTCTAAAGCTTTTCCACTTTGTAAACTGCAGAGTTCTAACATTGAAAAGACCCTAAATCTTAAAGTTCAGAGTTAAAGTTCCAAAGTTCCAAATCCCCGACCCCAAGATCCAAAGTCTCATTTTAAAATTTCAAAATATTCAAAAACATCTGCAAATCCCTACCATAGGTACAAAAAAATTGCAATATAACTTACTGTATATCAAAGTTTCCCAAATAGAGTTGCAAACACCCCAGGCAGCAGATATAACGTGAAAAAGTGCTGGATCGTCACCAGACGGTCTCCAAGTGATCAAGACCAGTAATAAACACGCGTGAAATACAAATCCTACAACTGTTGAATAATCACAATTAATCTTTGAACAAACCGTTTGTTTTCAGCAATATTTTAGATAAATGTATCATTCATCACTTACCTACAACAAAATACCTTTTAATGTGTCTCAAAAGCATCGACAAAGTTGCACCGGCAAGGGCTTGCAGGGATGCCAAACTCAAAAAACTTAGCGTCACTGTACCTGCTCCTCCCAGTGCACAGACTACGTATGCCTATAACACAATCGTATTATATTGCATAAAATTAAAATTAAAATTAGTAATAGTTAACCTCTTGCCGTAGTTTCATTAGTTTTATTCAAGACGTATTCAGAGTTTAGGTATAAATTTTATTATAATTTTGAATATTTCAATCTTAAATTATAATTTGCTTAGTCGTCGCTGAATACAAAATAGAAAAAAGAAAAGAAGATACAAAATAACATTTGAACTTTGTTTATTTTTTCTGTATCTTTTCTTTATCTTTTTCTTTTTATATTTAACTCTTACTTGGGGTATGAAACGACCCCAGCTAATTTAGTTTGAACTTCAACTAATATTTTATATTTTGAAAACTTGAATAAGTACTTTTTCAGAAACCTTGATATTTTTATTACTTTTCTCCTAAATTTGTATACCTCAAGAATGTTCAGATGAAATTGTATCACTTCATATTAAAATCGAATAAGATTTTAATTTTTTTTGCTGGAACCCTTATCTTTGCAATTTTTTCACGTTTCTGAATTTTTGTTCATATTAAAATGAAATCAGCTGAAATATGTTAAAACAATTTCCAAAGATTATTTATAATTTTCTTCAAGCTAAAATAACAAATAGTTTTGTAAGAAACATTTTAACATTTTTAGCTGTGGTCTTAAATGTCCCTTTTGTCTCGTTCAGGGACGTTTTAGGAACGTTTGTGCTATTCTGATGACATGCGATCATTAAGGGTTAATATTGTGAGTACTTCTGATTGAGGTACATGACAGGTTCCCAGTTTAACGATTACGGTTAAGTTTAGGTTTAAGTCATTCTGATAAAGCGTGACCATATAGGATTAATATTCAGAACACCTCTGATTGAGTTACATGACAGGTTCCCAGTTTAGGTGAACAGCTCTGATTGAGTTACACGATAAATTCCCAGTTTAGAGACGTTTAAGTCCTTCTGATGAAGCTTGACTATTAAGAGTTGACATTGTGAATAGTTCTGGTTGAGTTACATGACAGGTTCCCAGTTTAGGTGAACAGCACTGATTGAGTTATACGATAAATTCCCAGTTTAGGGACGTTTAAGTCCTTCTGATGAAGCTTGACTATTAAAAGTTGACATTATGAATAGTTCTGGTTGAGTTACATGACAGGTTCCCAGTTTAGGTGTACAGCTCTGATTGAGTTATACGATAAATTCCCAGTTTAGAGACGTTTAAGTCCTTCTGATGAAGCTTGACTATTAAGAGTTGACATTGTGAATAGTTCTGTTTAAGTTTAGGATTAAGGTCATTCTGATGAAGTGTGACCATAAAGGGTTAATATTCAGAACACCTCTGATTGAATTACATAACAAATTCTACGGCAAGCGGTTAAATAAACTACCCGACAGTAATATTTACTTCTATAAAATCCGCGTAGATGAAACCCTGTTCAAGTCCGATGAAAAGTGTCAACGGCGCGGCCAGTTGCAACTTAGGATCTTGAAACGCAGCTTTAATAGACGCGAGAATACTTTTCGTGCTATGCTTTTCATTAACAGTCTGTGGTTCCTTCATTCTAGAATCGAGGAAAGCACAGGATATACTTAAACCTAGGACAGCGAGACCGAGCCATATGCTAACTAACATCTTTGACGTGCCCGACGACAACGTAGGTAAATTAGTTGTGCCATTGTAAAGATAAATCTCTTCAGGACAGTATTCTGCTCCGCATTTGTCGTACACTTCGCCGTTTATTGTACTAATAGAAACGGAATTCGTTAGTTTCACGAGTATGGCAGCGATCAGACAACCTGTGAGTAAATTCAAAATTAATTTCGTTTTGAACAGAAATATTTACCGGTTGGGATTAAAAATTCGTACCCAGTGCTAGACCCATGTCTTCCGCTAATTTAATCCCACGATTAAGTCTTCTCAAAAGGCACTCGCGTCTTGTCTCGTCGGGATCCTCAGGGTCGACGCAGACCAGGGCTAAACTGGTTGCTGAAGCGTTCACGTGAGACACTCGGGCTATGAAGCTTGGACTCACACAAGCACCTAGCATGGCGTAACTTGGTAGCAATATGTACCTGTTGATCAAAATTTCAATTAATAAGTTCATACTAAATTAAATTTATACGTGATATTTTGGTAAATTGATTTGTTTGAAGGTATCAGTGTTGAGGATGATCCCACATGGTAATATATGTGGTAATAATCATAATGGTATAATTGTGAAATCATGTTTGGTGGTGCTGTTTTTTGGTAAAGGTCAAAACTACATGAGGGTTCTTTTGCACCCTCTGCTCATATCTTTACCACTGCATTTGGGGAACGTTCACATTATGCTAGTAATTGGTGTCAGTAGCCTTGTTCATAAGTAGTCGAATTTCTGCGTTTCTTGCTTCTGCTTGTACTAGGTCTATCGTTGGATAAAGAAAGTAAAGAAAAACGATTCAAACGTCTACATTTTCAAATCTATCTCCAAATTTCTACATCCCCAAATTCCTACATTCCTTAAATTTCTATATTACAAATTCTTACATCTCTACACCCCCGAATCGTTATTTCCCACAAATTCCTATAAACCCAAATCTCTACATATCCAAATCCCCACATTCCCAAATTTCTACGTCATCAAATCTCTACATCTCCAAATCTCTAGATCCCCAAATCTCTGTATCCCCAAATTCTTATAATATTTCCAAATTCTTACATCCCCAAATTCCTACGCCCCCAAATTCCTACATCCCCAAATTCCTACATTACCCAAATTCCTCCACGTCCCAAATTCCTACGCCCCCAAATTCCTCCACGTCCCAAATTCCTACTTCTACATCCCCAAATTCCTACATTTCCAAATCTCTAGGTCCCCAAATCTCTGTATCCTCAAATTCTTATACTCCCAAATCTCTATATACACAAATCTCCACATCCCCGAATTTCTGCATCCTGAAATCTCTATATCCTCAAATTCTTACATCCTCAAATTCCTACGCCCCCAAATTCCTACATCCCCAAATTCCTACATTACCAAATCTCTAGGTCCCCAAGCCTCTGTATCCCCAAACTCCTATACCCCTAAATTTCTAGATCCCCAATTTGCTATATTTCCCAATTCCTAAATACCTACATCCCTACATCATCGAATGTCTACATCCTCCAATTCCTAAATTATAAAACCTCCAAATCTTCAAATCCATAAACCCTCCAATCGCAAAATTCCTCTACTCGCACCAGTTACTTGCACAATGCGTCTCCTGCATTCAGCAGTTGACAGTGAACATTCCAGCCAAGACCAACATCTTCTATTAGTTTTGTAATCCCTCTCAATAAATATACGCTAAGATAAACCCTATCGCGTTTATTTAACGAAGTATTTATTTAATAAATACTCATAAACAGTCACCATTTCGGATACAGATGCACGCCGACGAAAATAGTGGTGGCCACGTGGCTGCTGCTTATCGCAAGATTCGTGCCAAATCGCTGAACGAGGATCGGCGCGAAGCAGCTGGTGATGGTTGCAGTTGCATAGAGAAGAGCCAGCAACATGGGTCCCAGTTGAGGGTTGAAGGTGCCCAGACCAGCCTGCAACGGGAATATGGGCAGAGTGGCGGCCGAGCAGCTCGCGTGCCCTAATAGCAGGGCTGCACAGTGCCTCAAGATGGCCTTTTTCGGCGGCCTTGGTCCGGAAGGTGCTGCTCTAACCGCTGCTATCAGACGACGCACGGATGATGCTCCTGCTGATGAGTTCATGGAGTCCCTTCGACGCCAAGATAAGGCGGATGTCCTTGTTGAGCGACATGAGATGGGAGAGTACGCTGCCATGTGCTGCGAATTGTAGTTTATTTTGTTATGTGCGGCGGATTAGGTGGACGAGGAATCAATTTGTCGAGTAATACGAGATGGGAGAGTTATTACACGCTGCAAATTGTGTTTTTTTTTTTGGAAGTGGAGGATGTTGGAAGATTCGGTATGCAAGTATTAGAGCATATTTAATATGCAAGATATGACATGGAAGTCTTAGGGTATATTTGATGTGGGAGATTCTGCATGGAATTCTTAAGGCATATTTAATATTGAAGATTCGACAGGATGTCTTAAGACATAAGTAACATGGAAGATTTGATATTAAAGTCTTAGCACATAAGTAACGTGGAAGGTCTTGTATGGAAGTCTTAGGACATAACTAACGCGAAAGATTCGACATTAAAGTTTTGGCAGATAATGTCAGGGCATAAGTAACAGGAAGATCTTGTATGAAAGTCTTAGGATATAACTAACATGGAAGATTCGACATTGAAGTTTTGGCAGATAGTGTTAGGGCATAAGTAACATGGAAGATCTTGTATGGAAGTCTTAGGATATAACTAACGTGGAAGATTTGACATTGAAGTTATAGCAGACAGTCTTAGGGCATAAATAACACAGAAGATTTGACATTCAAGTCTAAAGACATAAATAATATGGAAGGTTTGACATTGAAGTTTTGGCAGATAGTCTTAGAGCATAAGTAACATGGAAAATTTATTATAAAAGTTTCAGAACACAAATAGCATAGGAAATTAGGTATGAAAGTCTTAGAATATAACTGACATGGACAATTCCACATGTCTCAAAGCGTAAATAGACATAAGTAAAGACACGGAAGACACTGCATTGAAGATTGCAAATTGTATTCGAAGCAACAGGGAAGATTAGAAGTCTTAGAGCACAGGTAACACGTTGGCTACCAGCACTCAACTGGAAATTGATGCATCATGAATCACTTTATTTATCATAAAATAGCTTGTAATGAAACACTATGATTTCTGACTATTGTTAACTCCTTTCACTAATCTGTTAGCGCCAACGTATTTTGGAGGGTTGTCGGGGGCAATTAGCCTGTGCTATTTTGCCTTTGGACGATTTATGATAGGTATAGCCTGCGTGAGGTCTAAGCAAAAGGTCGTTTATGAGAGTCCAAGTGTGGCGATAGATGATGGCTATTGACTTGGAGTCGTATGGTCATCAGATGTCGCAGGGTTGTGTGTTTTGTTAGTTCCTGAGATTGTAAAAAAGGATAGATAGTTTGTTATTGAATTGCTAAGTCGAATAAGGACATTGTTCCTGGAGGATCTGGCCACGTAGTGGGGAGGCAGGGATGCCTTTGGTAAGAGGACTGAGTTTGACCTCTCGGCACTTACCCCAGCACCTTGATTGGAAACGCATCTCTTTTCGAAAAAGTATCTAACAAATCTGTTCAGCAAGTACGTCAGACATAACTATATACTTCTACAATCTTGAATGAACAAAGTTAAAATGTTGCGCCTGTTTCGTACCCAACGATCTTTATCAATTATAATTATACTTAGCATACGAAAGATATAAGAAAAGCTTGTTACATTTATAAAGTGCGTCACGAGTTAGACGGCGTTGGACATATGTATATGGCACCCGTACACACAGGTCGTCATATATGGATGCCGGATATATAAGGCACCCGTAGCGAAAGGGTTAACAATAAATCCTTTTGTAAGAGGACCATGAGAGACAGTATGCCATCCTAGCACCTTGACACAGAGTACTACCTTAAATTTCTATTAGTAATATCTAATATGTACCTCCAGCATGGTATCATTGTCCCACAGAGTGTGATGATGACCACTGCTCCTGGCTCGTCTGTGAGTGTGGGCTAACGGTGGAGGCTGGGCTGGCAATCGTATGGGTCCCAAACCACCGATGGGCGCGGGTCTGTAAGCAGGACTCCCCAGCTTCTCCTTCGACAATTCGTGAAGATTCGGTAACGAGCCCATGGTTTGATTTCTTGCTCTGACCGGGGTTCTTTAATGTGACTCTTTGTTGAAGAAGAGCGACTGTCTCGCTCTTTCGCCTTCCATTCGCTCATCTACTGTTTACGCCTGCCTAAATACGTTTGATATTATGTATTAAAATACTGATATAAACACTTGATAAGATACATGAAATATAATATACATTAATATTTATTATATATTTGTGTACTCGTATAACATTAAATTTTCTTGGAGTCTTAGGGATTAGTGGTTTTTGTTATTTTGTGATTTTTGGCACTTTGGATCCTTAGGATATTTGGGGTCTTGAGTCGTGGTGCTCTTAGGTTATCCGTAATCTTGGGATCCGTGGTTTTGGGGACTCTGGATTTTCAGGATATTTAGGATCTTCGGCTTCGAAGATTAGAATTCTTGAAATTTTTGGAACTTTGTGGTTTTTGAAATTTTATGGTTTTTAGGATTTTGTGATTTTTGGGACTTTGGATCCTCAGAATATTTCAGGTTTGAGTCTTAGCGTTCTTAGGTTTCTTGTAATTTTGAAACATTATGATTTTTGGGATGTTGGGTCTTCAAGATATTTGAGATCTTAGACCTTGCAGTCCTCAGATTCCACGAAATCTTAGAACTTTGTGATTATTGGGATTTTGGATCCTCAGAATATTTAGGGTTTGGGTCCTGATGTTCTTAAGTTCCTTGTAATTTCGGAACTTTGTGAGTATTAGGACTTTGAATCCTCAAAATATTTAAAGTTTGGCTCTTGGTTTCTTAGGCTCCTTGTAATCTAGGAACATTGTAATTATTTATAACCTTAGATTCTCAGAATATTCAAGATCTTGAACCATGCAGTTCTCAGATTCCTTGAAATCTTAGAATCTTGTGCTTTTTGAGATTTTTGGTCTTCAGTATATTTGAAAATTTGCTCCTTAAATTTCTTAGCTTTCTTAACATTTTAGGACTTCATAATTTTTGGAACTATAAGGCCTTAAAATATTAGGACTCTCGGTTCTTATTTTACTACTCAGATAGTCTACAACTGTGCAGCTTTAAATTCTCAGAATAACTAGGACCTTGACAACTGAAATAAAAGTATCGACTTTTTGTCAAGAGTTATTATTTGGAGTGATATTTAACATTTCATTCTTTGATTTAAAGAAATATCAAACTACTTAATCACACCGTGACAGCTGCGGCAGAGAAAGTGATAAAGTAGTAGCTTCTTGAATTACTCTATCACGAGTTTAAATCTCCAATAAATTCTTCTCTCTTCTTATTTGCTTACTTACATTTTGTTTTTATATTTATACACTTTTATATTTTAATATTAATCTTTACCTTTTTTCTGCATTTTTTAATATTAATCTTTATATATTTTTTTTATTTTTTAATATTGTTCTTTATATATTTTTTTTATTTTTTAATATTGTTCTTTATATATTTTGTTTTATTTTTTAATATTATTCTTTATATTCGTATAACTTTTTTCAATTTACTGTAATTATGTTACATTGTTTGAAATGTATAGATTAGCAAATTTGACAACGACGTTACAATATTGTTTCTACAATGCGTATCATCCAGTGCATTTTAAATAATAATCTAAAATAATAGTACAGTTATAAAACAAAAAAGAATAAAACTTAATAAAAAAATAAGAATAATTTTATAAAGTAAAATAACATGTAAGTATATAATAAACATAAAAGTAAAGATATAATACAATCCATAAAAAAACAAATAGAACATGAAAAGGGTACAATAAAAATAGAAAAAAGATATTGATCCTGATGGGATTTGAGCTCAATACAGTAACCTAACATACCACCACTTTACTATCTTCGCTAGTACAGCTATCGTTAACATTTCACATTAATTTAGTATTTCAAATCGAAGAATTAATATTAAATAACTCTTTAAATAATGAGTATTGTCAGAAAGGTCCAAATACGTGTCTCTGTATTTTGTCTCTAAATTTGTCAGAAAAAGTTTCATTAAAATCCATGAGCCAACTATGATGCCTTTTAGATTCTGTGACTTCAAGCTTCCATTTTTATTGTTTACAGAGTTAATGTTAAATATCTCTTTAAATAATGAGTATTGTTAAAAAGGTCCAAATACGTGTCTCTGTATTTTGTCTCTAAATTTGTCAGAAAAAGTTTCATCAAAATCCATGAGCCAACTATGATATCTTCTGGATTCTGTGACTTCGGGACTCCAAATTAACCGGTAATTAACAAAGAATATATTTATGGACCAAACAAAAATTTGTTCAGAATTGTAAAAATTGTAAATTACTCCCAAATCGTTGCGGGGTGTTTTCGGATTCATCAAATTGAGCCATCGACAAGGTTTAACTTTAATATAATTTAGCAAGATGACTTGCGTTAAATCTCCGTTATAACACCGGCTGCTATTCTCCGTATTGCGACGATGCTTCGCGGCAGTCTTGCATAATTGATCTGGCAATTCTTGGAGTGCAATCGCGTCAATTATGCAAGGAATAAAAAATGAAGATAAAAATCCTGTAGTCACCTGCGCGACCTTGAACGAGAACTTACAACGGAGGAACTGACTAACTGTTAGATTAACAAGCGTACTCGAGATGCCGGCCTTGATATTGGTTCGTGGAAGGATTTCGACCAATCCCCGTTTGCGCGTCAATCGCCGGCTAATATATTGGACATATAAATCGATAGTACATTTTACTTTTATAGTCGTTCAATTCATATTGGAAATTTCCATTTCAAATGGTTATAATCGTCAATTGCGACATTTGATCTGGTATTTCCTATTTGCGGTTATTTTTACGCGATATAGGAATATGTTACACGAGATTAATCTTTTGTAAGAGATTGATTTTTAAATGGAATGTCACTTCTGGCTTTTGCTGTGTGAGATTGACGGTAAAATTGAAGAGCTTTTGTTTGGAATTGGATTATGAGATTATTACGAATGAGAATAATTGAAATTGCCGAACCGGCTATGGAGGAAGTTTATACTATATAATTTTATATGTGTTGATAAGAATATTTAATTAAATATTTGATTTTATATATGTTAATATTGCACGTTGTGATGTACTGTATAAGATTAATATTTTAAAAGAGTTTAATTGCCTTTCAATTAAGACATGATTTTTCTGGATTTAATTGTATTCAGAATTTTATGAGAAATTTTTATTTTGTTAAAAACTTTAATTGAATTTGGAATTGGACCAATCGTAATTAAAATTATCATTGAATCGACTATGCGAGAAGTTTGTATATAATTTTAAATATTGCATATTGCAATGTGTTACATGATATTAATTTCTGGTGAAAGTTTAAGTAATTTTAAATTATAACATCATTTTTCTGAATTTAATTGTATAATTGTAACAGTAAGATTTAAGAACGTTAGTTGAATTTGGAATTAGATTAAATGTAATTTAAGTTTTCACCGAACCAACTATGCGAGAAGTCTATATATGATTTTAACTATTTCATGTTGTGACATGTTATGCAGTATTAATTTTTTGCAAGAGTTTTATCAATTTTCAATTTAAACATTCTTTAGTTTTAATTGTATGATTGCAACAATAAGATTTTAGAATCTTAAATTCGAAATTAGACTATTTATAAATAAAATTATCACCGAACCGACTATGCGGAAGATTCAAATATGATTTTAAACGTATCGAATATTAAAGTACATGTTAGAGTAAATATTACTTTAATAATTTGTTGAGTTTTAGTGCAGTTTAAGATTTAATTACCTTTCTACGAGTTATTTGGTTCAACTTTTGTGACTGCGACGCAGTAGTTATAATGCGTGTCAAGTTATAGTATTATGGGGAGTCCGTGGAGTCGGCGACGCAAATTTAAGTGTTGGTTTTGAAACTTTGGAATTTTGGGACTATGAGATTTTGAGAACCTGAAATTATGGGACTAAAAGTCTTTGAGGTTCCAAAATTTTAGGATCTTAAAATAATAATTTTGAAATTTGATGAGAATGTAAAGCAGTACAATTTTGGAAATCTGAAAACTGTGGAGACTTTGGAACTCACAAAATTTGGATTTTTGGAATTTTTTAACTTTGCGTCTCTGAAGCTATGGAAATTCAAAACTTCGAAATTTGGAGATTTTTAAATTAATTTCGAGACTCCAAGATTTTCGAACTTTGGAATGCTGATATTTTTCAACTTTCGAATTTTGAGGTTCTGGGATTCTGGAATTTTTGAATATTGAAACTTTAGGTTTCTGGGACTCTGAGTCTCTGGAATATTGAGACTTTAAGTTTCTGTGACTCTTGAGACTCTGATATTAAGACTTTAGTTTCTGGGATTTTGGGACTATGAAATATTGAGACTTTATATTTCTGGTACTCTAGGCACTTCAAGATATTTTCGAGGTCAAAACCATACAAGTTTGAAATTTTAGGGTCCATAGAAATTTAACAGTTCAAGACTTTATGATTTACCTCCATTTTCAAAATTTCATATTCATTTTCATTTCCATGCAATTTCATTTCCTCCATTTTAAAATCATTAACCCCTCAATATTTTCCAACCCTTACTATTATCATAAAATATTTAAACTTACCGTCTCGAAGCTACGTCGTTCCATTATCCAGAATTCAGCATGGCTCCCGAAGCAATACCAAGCGAGTACCCATACCATCGAGATCATCTCCACGACTCACATGCTAAAACCCGCAATCTTCGAAACACAGTCCCGTACGCACTAAAACTTATCAATTTCCCTCTGAAGTAATCACAAACCGTTAACAGCCTCGAATCTCTCGAAGACGTGTCTCAACGTATCATCACGTACCACTCTCCTGTCATTATTTACCGTGTATTTATATCGCCTGTATCTCCGTGGTGTATCGTGAGCAATAATCGATAAACCATGTTATAAACGCGAGGAGCAGGACTAAGGGTGAATCCGCACTCGTATATTCGTAACAACCACTTAATTCTAGATACTCTTATTTACACGAACAACAACGATATTCGGTTTTTGAAAATTAACAGCGGACGTTTTTAAGGGGATCCTGAGTAGCTTCCTGATTTTTGGTACGACCTGTATGTACGTTTAAGAGACAAGTTAGCGAGAATTGTTTAAAAGTCCGACGAAATTGTTGTTACTTTTGACGGGGATATGTCCATTCAGGATCCAACGAAACAACACAGAGAGCACGACTCTCCTCCCTCGGTTGGACTCGGTGTCGCTCGCCATCGTTCGTTCTCCTTTTGGTGTACCACTCCTCTTGATATGGTCGATAACAGGGAGAGTGCGTACTACATCCTACCCTGTTACTCGATTCCTGCGAAATCTTAAGTGCACGAGAGTGGAACAGCCGTTTTGCAACGAGAGCGGATCAAGTAGATAGATTCTTAACTGGTCCGATGCGATGTGGAACGCACGGGCCCCGCACAGGGACCTGTGGGCGCACTTTGAAAAATCACCCTGTAGCGCACTCGAAGATCAACGAATTTAGTCAACAACTGAAAGCTCGTGATTGTAAACATAGTTGGTTGAATACTAGAAATATTGTATGGATATAGTGCATATATGTGTATGCATACACGTGTTTGGGACTCTAGGAAATTTTGGGGCCTTCAGGTTTTGGGACTTCGTGGATGCGAGACTTTTCAAATTCTTTAGATTTATGGACTTTGGAATTTTTTGGACTTCTGGGACTTTTGGGGTTTGTGGAGCTTTGAGGCTTTTGGGAGTTTTACAACTTGTGGAATTTTTGGGCCTTTGGGATTTGTGGAACTTTGAGACTTTTGGTAGTTTTAGAACTTCTGAAACCCTTCAGGCTTTTAGAAGTTTTAGGACTTGTGGAATTTTTTGGGATATTTGGGACTTTTGGGACTTGTGAGATTTTTGGGTCTTTTGGGAATTCTGGAGGATTAAAGCTTTTGGTACTTTTAGAACATCTGAAACTCTTGAGGCTTTTGGAAGGTTTAGGGATTGCGGAATTTTTCAGGATTTTGGGACTTTCGAGGCTTGTGGAGTTTTCGAGACTTTTGGGACTTGTAAGACTGTGGAATTCTGAAACTTTGGGACTTGCAAGACTTGGAAATTCTGAAACTTTGTAATTTTGATATTGTGGAAGTTTGGGACTTTGGAATTTTAGAATTTTAAAAGTTTGCAACTTTGGAACTATGAAAGTTTGGGACTTTGGGATTCAAAGTTTGGCTTTGGAACAATTAAATTTTGGGTCCCTAGAATTTTGGGACTTTGAAGCACTATAACTATCAGATTTAAAGTTTTAGAACTTTGGAACTTTGGAATTTTGTAATTTTGCAAATGTGGAATTGTGGAAGCTTGGGATTTCTAGGAATTTTGGGATAATGAAGTTTTGGAACTCTAGAATTTTTGGATTTTTGGACACTGTAATTTTCAGATTTAAAGTTTCATAACTTTCAGATTTGAAGTTTGAGGACTTTCAGATTTAAAGTTTCAGACTTCTATAATTTTGTAATAGTACTCGTAGAATTGTGGAAGTTTGGGTTATGGGGATTTTGCTGTTATTTGACTTTGGAAGTCTTTAGTTTTGAGACTTTGAGATTTTAAGATTCTGTTACTTTGTAACTCAGCAATTTTGTATTTTGAAATTTTGAAACATTATGATTTTGCGACATTGAGGCTATACAACTCTAGACCTTTTGAATTCTAGGACTTTATTTTGAATGCTGATATTGTGAGGCTCTGATACTTTGAATGTACGTATTTTGGGACTCTACTATTTTAAAATGTAGGCATTTTAAGACTTTGCTACTTTAAATGTAAGTATTTTGGAACTCAGCTACTTCAAACGTAGTTATTTTAAAACTCTGCTACTTTGAACGTTAATATTCTTAGCCCATTGACAGTGTATCCCGTGTCAGTCACGAGCAGGATTCAAACTGTTCAAACTGTTTAGTCTACCAAAGATATCTAAGTCTATTGCTAGATTCTTTGCTTCCTCTGTTTCCTAAGATTATTCTAACTGAAGAATGAACCTAGATATTTCTGTATTTCAGACCTTTATCTACTTCTTTATCTAAATTATCTATGAAGTGGATAGTTTTTGGACCAGAATTCGTAATTTTACCACACTGTGAAAGGGTTAGATCATGATTGTAAATCGTGATTGATAATCATTGATTATCATAATCAATCAATAAATCAATCAGACGTGAAATTTTTATAATCATGATGATAATCATTGAGAATCATAATCAATCAATAAATCAATCAGACGTGAAATTTGTATAATCGTGATGATAATCATTGATTGTGATAATCAGTGATAATCCATGATTTTCATAATTATCGATGATTATGATAATAATTGATAATCAACGATAATCAAAGGTTATCATGATTACCATCACGATTATAAAATTTGATTATAAAAACTTCATGTCTGATTGATTGAATATGATAATCAATGATTATCATGATTATCATCATGATTGTAAAATTTGATTATAACAACTTCGTGTCAGATTGATTGATTGATTGATTGTGGTAATCGATGATTATCATAATTATTATCCTGATTATGAAATTTAATTATAAAATCTTCATGTCTCATTGATTGATTGATTGATTGATTGATTATGATAATCAATGATTATCACGATTATAAAGTTTATTTATAAAAACTTCATGTCTGATTGATTGATTGTGATAATCAATGATTATTATCACGACTATAAAATTTTTATTCTAACAACTTCATGTCTGTGAAATATCGACACTTTGTGACACCTAATTATAACCTAAGAATGTAAATCAAAACAAGGTAGGTCCCTAATCTAAAGCCATCTATCGTTCCCAAAAACCGAATATATATCTGAGAATATGAAAAAGCTTCAATGAACGTGATACAATAAGTTAGTATTAAAATGTTCCACATTCGTGCAGCTAGTACGTGCATATCGTAGTCACGTGCCTCTATCGTTCGACCAACAGTCACGTTCTAGTATTAAACCCGCTACACCACAATAACGTATCTCAAGGAAAGTCTTCGAACTTGCTTTATTACATGTTTCAGCGTTAACTAGTATGAGAATCAATTAGATTAAGTGTGTCAATGTTGCGACGACAATGCAATCTGTTCAAAGAACAGGTGTCTTTCTAACCGCAGGTTGATCACCTCAGACTTTGAATCTTCAAGGTCTATCAAATTATAACAATAGATTATCTTTTGTCTTCTGTGTCATTTTTAGATTTTCATATTCTTAGGTTCATTCATGTACGTTTAAATACGTACTTTTACTAAAATACCGACAGCTTCATTCAGAAATTAGTAGTTTTATTCAGAAATGGAGACTCTTAAATTAGGATGTTTAAGATTAGGGTTAATCTTTTAACTCACATTTTTAAATACAAATTCGTTTACTGAAATACCGAAAGCTTCATTCAGAAACTAGCGGTTTGATTCAGAAATGGAGACTCTTAAATTATGATGTTTAAGGTTAGAGTTAATCTTTTAAGTCGCATTTTTAAATACAAATGTAATTTTAATAGGTACCATGAAGATCTATAGGGGTTGTTTTAAAAGTATAAGGTATCTAACCTGAAACTTGCTAAGATTGTGTTAAATTCTTCTGACTACGTCCTCCAAGCTTCTAGGTTACTCCAAGGACACTTAAAACAAAGGAAAAATGTCTTAATTAAATGTTTTGGTTGAAATTAAGCTATCAAGCTTGTATTTTTAACAAAATCCTCTGAACGTGTACTAACAATTTATATGAAAAAACGTGTGCGAGAAAATAAGCTAAAATTTTGAGAACGTAAAGTAGAAGGTTAATGTACCCAACACAAAACTACATAAGATTGTGTTAAATTCTTCTGACTACGTCCTCCAAGCTTCTAGGTTACTCCAAGGACACTTAAAACAAAGGAAAAATGTCTTAATTAAATGTTTTGGTTGAAATTAAGCTATCAAGCTTGTATTTTTAACAAAATCCTCTGAACGTGTACTAACAATTTATATGAAAAAACGTGTGCGAGAAAATAAGCTCAAATTTTGAAAACGTAAAGTAGGTTAATGTACCTAACACAAAACTTCATGAGATTGTGTTAAGTTCTTCTAACTATGTCCTCTATGCTTCAAGGTTATTGCAAAGACACTTAAAACAAAACGAAAATGTATTAATTGAATGTTTCGGTTTAAGTTAAATTATTAAGCTTGTATTTTTAATCAAATAAAATGAACCTCTACTAATTTATCATATTCAAAAGCGTCTACATGAAGAAATAAGCTAAAATTTAGAAAAAAAAAAAAATATATACTGGTCGAATTGAGTAACCTCCTCCTTTTTCGAAGTGGTTAAAAACGGAAAGTGTAAGCTTATTGTACCTAACATGAAGCTTTATAAGATTGTGTCAAACTCTTTTTGACTGTGTCCTTGAACCTCCAAGGCAACTATGACACTAAAAACAAAGGTAAACTAAATGAATCGAATATCCTATTAACCTGTGAACCTTGTATTTCTACTAGAATCTTCTGAACGTGTACTAAGTTTGATATGAAAAATCGATGAAAAGAAATAACCTAAAATTTCAAAAAAGAAGAGTAGAGTACTAGTGTACCCACACAGAACTTCGTAAGATTGCGTTGTAGTCTTTTTGACTATGTCCTTGAACCTCCAAGGTAACTATGAGACCAAACAAAAAGGAAAAATAAATTACTTGAATACTCTATTAAGCTATTTTGTATAATAAAATACCCCGAACGTGTAACAACAATTAATATTGAAAAGGGTATATAAAGAAATAAGGTAAAACATCGAAAATGGAAAGTGAATTGTAACAAATGGTTGATCCTGTTAGTAAAGGAACATGATACAGGCGATCAATAGAAAGGACCTTGGATATCGAAGATCAAGAGTAGCTCGTACTCCCACCAAAGATAAATACGCAAGAATTATACTTGCCTATTAATACAGAGTGTGTTGGTGCCCCTTCCTTTGCAGAACCCACGGAAGGCCCGATCCTTGGATACTTTCTTATAAATAAAGGTTGTCCACCGGCTTGTTTCTCACTTAACGCTCCATCCCTCGTATGTACAAGGAGGGATTGGTACATTAGTCAAAATTATTTTTTCCTTTTTTTTATCGGTACCTGTGTCGTGCGACAAATTAATAGTGGTTCCGTTTTCGTTTTCAAATTTCGCGCGAATTACCGAAACTGAGGGATACCCCTTTAACACGTAAGTGATACGTGAAATATATAATCATTTTAAACTGCGGTAAGATAAAATGATAGAAGTTATTCTAACCGATTATTTATTATATAATTACCTTTTTTTAATTAATACATCCGGTGATTGAATTCTATTTTATTTTTACAAAGATGGAAAATTATGAAATGGTATTCTAGGATTTCTTTTTTTGAAAATTGATTTTAATAAATTAAATCGATGTACTATTTGATTATATCATTTTTTATTAATGATATGAACGTAAGCTGAACATGTTTAATTGGTGTATTATTTACTTATATAATTTCGTAATAATTTAATGTTTGTTATAAAGTTGAATATGTTTCATTGAGTTATTATTTACTTATATAATGTTTTAATGATTTTAAGTCTGTTAAAGAGTTGATAATGTTTAAGTGTACTAGTTATATAATTTTTTATTTATTTAAAGCTTGTTAAAAAGTTGAACATATTTGGTTTATTCTTTATATATATTTCTGAAAGCTTAAATAATGTTAACAGTGTTGGTCTTTCTGCCATAAAATAGTGTGCAAGATAATTTTTAATTTGTGAAGTGAATTTCTGTTTTCTATTGAAATAGAAAATATTTCTATTCTATTGAATTTGGATTATTAAATTAGAAATAATTAGAAATTAAATTAGAAATATTTAACTCCATATATTTATTTTAAATAAATCAGTTTATTCTTCACTTAGCTTTTTAAGTAACTTAAGAATTGTTAGCCATATTTTCGTGACTGAAATTTACAAGCACCGAAAATAAATGTTTTCAAATTGTTTTTTTCAAAAGGTTAATTTTAAATAAAAAATCCTTGTTTTTCTTATTTGAAATCATCGCCTTTAAGCTTGCAACGCCAGTTACATGATACCATCTATATTGATAGCGATGATTACTATCAAGAATATAAAAATAAAAATTAAAACGCACGCTTGCGTCAATTGATGTTTCAAGCAGTCCTTGATAACGTTACATTACGGTGAATGGAATACGAAAACATGCAAATGTTTTTATTTATTAGAATGTTATGAACGCTTAGTCTGTGGAGAATTCAGTTCATAATGTAATACAATTTTATAATACAAATTTAATGTAATGTGAAGTTAATATAACAAAAATTTAGGGTATCTTAAATGCAAGTAAGTAATACTAACGTGTTTACAATAAATGTAATTCAAATTTGCAGTCCAATTTAGTAAAATAAAATTTATGTGCTTGTTTATTGTAAATTAAATATAATAAAGTTAAAATGCAATGTTTAGTGAAATTTGAAATATGTAATATATAAACTTAATTATCGTAGAAAATTAAATACATATTTTTATACATATTGAAATGTATATTGAACTTGTTAAAATTAAGTATCATATGTTTATAATATACAAATATGTGGAACAATTAAATTTAATACCTGCATTGTTAACGATATTAAAATATATGGTTAGGTTAGGTCAGGTTATATGTTGGGATAGGTAAATATGTTGAAACATAACAAAAGAGAAGATATCATTACTTCTCCATCACTTAATTACATTACAGAGAATTAACTTAATTAAATTCTTCAAAATTAAATCGCAGAAAATTTGTTAATTAAATCATAGAAAATTTGCTAATAAAATCGAAGAAAATCCACTTAACCAATTTTCAGAAATTTTATCAATTAAATATATATTTAATTAACCTCTAATCGTTAATTTAATTTAAATAAAAAATATTAAAAAGAAGTTGTAAAGAGATTGTTGTCCCCATCGACTATAAATAAGAAAACTGTCGAAAGAGCAAATATGACCGCACGTGTTTTACATTCCGGAACTCATTCGAAACGGCACAGCCTTCCGTTTCGTGTTTCAAACAACGTATCGAGTCATTCTCAGCGATATGCCGCTTAATCAACGTCGTGCAAATACGTGAACGTCCGTGGGCTGTGCCATGATTGCAATATTATTATTTTGCATAATTTGCGCAACTTTTATCATGAAATTGTAAACACATCAAACTGGTTGCTGTCGGTAATGTGCGAGTTTTTTTAACATGCTTGCTCGTTGAACTACATTTTCCGGATAAATTCTTTTCACGCCGGAAAACTTGTTCTAATGGCAGACTGCATTATTTATTGATCGTAGCTGCATTTATTTCCCGGAGAACCGGCGACTGACGGCAGTAAAGGCTCGCCGTTATTGTACTTCAGGCATAATCTAATAGAAAAGATAGGAATGTGGAAATTATGCTGTTCGCTAATTTACTGTGACTTAATTTGCATTGAACGTTCGGAGAGTCGGTGATGTATGTTATTTATTTTCAATTCAGGATTTGGATCTTTGGGAATTTTGAAATTCTGGGTTTGTGATGTTAGAACTTTTAGATGTTGGAGTTTCTTAGTATTGGGATTTTGAAATATTAAAGAATTTTGGAATTTTGGAATTTTAGAATTTTAGAATTTTAGAATTTTAGAATTTTAGAATTTTAGAATTTTAGAATTTTAGAATTTTAGAATTTTAGAATTTTAGAATTTTAGAATTTTAGAATTTTAGAATTTTAGAATTTTAGAATTTTAGAATTTTAGAATTTTAGAATTTTAGAATTTTAGAATTTTAGAATTTTAGAATTTTAGAATTTTAGAATTTTAGAATTTTAGAATTTTAGAATTTTAGAATTTTAGAATTTTAGAATTTTAGAATTTTAGAATTTTAGAATTTTAGAATTTTAGAATTTTAGAATTTTAGAATTTTAGAATTTTAGAATTTTAGAATTTTAGAATTTTAGAATTTTAGAATTTTAGAATTTTAGAATTTTAGAATTTTAGAATTTTAGAATTTTAGAATTTTAGAATTTTAGAATTTTAGAATTTTAGAATTTTAGAATTTTAGAATTTTAGAATTTTAGAATTTTAGAATTTTAGAATTTTAGAATTTTAGAATTTTAGAATTTTAGAATTTTAGAATTTTAGAATTTTAGAATTTTAGAATTTTAGAATTTTAGAATTTTAGAATTTTAGAATTTTAGAATTTTAGAATTTTAGAATTTTAGAATTTTAGAATTTTAGAATTTTAGAATTTTAGAATTTTAGAATTTTAGAATTTTAGAATTTTAGAATTTTAGAATTTTAGAATTTTAGAATTTTAGAATTTTAGAATTTTAGAATTTTAGAATTTTAGAATTTTAGAATTTTAGAATTTTAGAATTTTAGAATTTTAGAATTTTAGAATTTTAGAATTTTAGAATTTTAGAATTTTAGAATTTTAGAATTTTAGAATTTTAGAATTTTAGAATTTTAGAATTTTAGAATTTTAGAATTTTAGAATTTTAGAATTTTAGAATTTTAGAATTTTAGAATTTTAGAATTTTAGAATTTTAGAATTTTAGAATTTTAGAATTTTAAAATTTTGCAATTATAGAGTTTTGGAATTTTGAGATAAATGAATTTTCGCGTATTGAAATTTTGCATTACTGGGATTTTGGAATATAGGAACTTTTGAGTATTGAAATTTTGCAATATTAGAATTTTTGGGTATTGGGATTTTGGAGTATTGGAATTCTGAAATATTGGAATTTTGAAGTATTGGAACCTTGGAGTACTAGAATTTTGTGATATTAGTATTTTTGAGTATTGGAACTGTGGAATATAGAAATTTTTGAGTATTAGAATTTTGAGATATTGGAATTTGGAGGTATTAGAATTTTGGAGTATTGGAATTTTGAAGAATTGGAATCTTGGAATATTGAAAATTTGAAGAATTGAAATCTGGGAGCATTGAAAATTTGAAAAATGTGAAATCTTAGACTATTGAAATTTTCTACTTTTGAATCTATAGAGTATTGTAATTTGTAAATATTGTAATCTTTGATTAATCGGCTATTGCAGTTTTGTAACTTTGACATTTAAATTGCAATATTTATAAATTTTACATATTTGAATTTTTGACTTATGAAAATTTAAAATATCAGAATTTTTTAATTTCTTCTTTACAACTTGGAAATTCGACTTTAGTTTCTAGTATTTTAGAATCGTGGGACTTCTAAGACTTTTGGGACTTTTGGGACTTTTCAAACTTTTGGTATTTGGATCTTTCAAGCTTGAAAACTTTGATAGCTAGATTATGGTTCAAACTTTGATAATGTGACATATGAAACTTGTGATTTTGGCTCCCCAGGATTTCAAGATTACTTTAGTACTTTGGGTCTTTTAGTTGTAATTCTGATAAAGTGTTCTGATTTTGTAAATTTTAGTGATTTAAGACTCAAACTCTTAGCTTCATGACTCTGAAACTTGAAATTTTGAATTTTTAGAACTTTACGACCTTGTATTTCGGGTCTATGAAATTCTGTTTTAACAAAAGTTTACTTATAACAATATGATTGTATTAGCTTTTGGGCTCTGAATCTCTAGAACTTTTGAACATTGATATTTTGGGACTATAGGAATTTTAATACTGTTATTTTGCGCATGTAGGATTTTTTAGTATTAAAATTTTGAGACTTCATGACCCTGAAACATTGAGATTTTGATACTGTAAGACTTTGAGACTTTGAGATTTTGGGGCTTTAAGATTTTTTAATTTTGAGACTTTAAGACTTTGAGAGTTTTGGACTTTGGGACTTTAAGACTTTGAGACTTTGAGACATTGAAATTTTGAGACTTTGAGACTTTGAGACTTTGAGACTTTGAGACATTGAAATTTTGAGACTTTAATACTTTGAGACTTTGAAACATTGGAATTTTGAGACTTTGATGCTTCGAGTTTTTAATACTTTGAAACTTTGAGACATTGGAATTTTGAGACTTTAATGCTTTGAGTTTTTGAGACTTTGAGACTTTGAGACTTTGGGACTTTGAGACTTTGAGACATTGAAATTTATAGACTTTGATACTTTGAGACTTTGAAACATTGGAATTTTGAGACTTTGATGCTTCGAGTTTTTAATACTTTGAAACTTTGAGACATTGGAATTTTGAGACTTTAATGCTTTGAGTTTTTGATACTTTGATACTTTGAGACTTTGAGACTTTGAGACTTTGAGAGTTTGAGACTTTGAGACTTTGAGACTTTGAGACTTTGAAACTTTGGGACTTTGTGGCACTGAGACTTTGAGACTTTGTGGCACTGAGACTTTGAGACTTTCAGACTTTCAAACTTTGTGGCACTGAGGCTTTAATACTTTTAGACTTTCAGACGTTGAAACATTGAGGCTTTGATACTTCTAAACTTTGAGACATTGAGATATTGAGACTTTGATTCTCTAAACTTCTTAAATATTCAAATTTTAGATCTTTAGAACTCTTAAATATTGGAAATCTAGAGCTCTGGAAACTTAAAACTGTAAAACTTGTACACTCTCAGATTTTTGGACTCACAGTTCTCTCCTCATTCTCTCCATCACAGATTTGTAACCTTCTGAATTTGAAAAAATTTTGGAATTTGGTAACTTTGGAATTTTTTCAGTTCAGATTCCTAGAACTCCCGGACTTCGAGACTTAGAGATTTTAAGATTTTGATATGTTGGAACATTACAAATTTTGGATATAACGATTTTGACACTCTGAGTCTTTCGAGTATTAAACTTTAATGACTTTGGAACTATCATACTATGTGCACATCGATATTTTGGGCCTCCACGATTATTGGATATTGAAATTGTAAGACTTCCAATTTAAATTCCTCTGAATTAAAAATCCAGGCTCATCCTACTCCCCAGAATCAGCAGGGCGTCCATCGCTTTGATGACGCACCTATAGACTGCGTAACGTGATTCAAAGAGCAAAAAAGCGTGTATCTCTCAAGAATATTCTCCGCACTATTCCCATTCGAACTGTCTACAACAAAGTTTTCCAGTTGCATCCATAATTTCATCGCAAACGTTATGGATTATCGAACAAGTAATTACGGTTAGTAGTTAATAATGCATTCTCGAAGGTGTCTGACAGGTGATTTAATTGAGAGGCCCGATATTCCGTCGTCCAATGAGAGGCAGCCGTCAGCCGGTATACGCCCATGAGACATGTTCAACCTTCGATTTAACATCAGCCTGTAATTATAGAAAAGTATAGTGCGTTCGGGTCGCACCTCTGTTGCTCTGGTTTCTTATCTTAAGCTCCCCTTCACATTAGCAGAATCACGAGGAGATGAAAAAAACGGATCTAACACATCCGGTTGATCGCATTGCAAATCAATTTGGTTTCTTGCTTCGTTATGAGCTACGCACCTTCGCCGTGATTTTGCGGATGTCGGAGCACGACGTGAACGTTTAGTCAGCTACGAAGCTATTCGAGACGATTAATGATGCTGGAGGACGGAAGTAATTCTTGTATGTTCCTTAATAAGTTAATGCTAATCGAATTGTTCTTTTATTGCCGTGGAAACATCTGGGTATTGGTAATTTTCCGTTATGTCACGCGTGGATTTTATTTATTTTTATTAATTTGAGAGTTGGATACTTTTTTGAGGGGTTTTTTGGAGTATTAGGTTTTTCAGAATTTTGAAATACAGTTTGGTGGTATTAGTCTTGTGGTACTCAAGTATTTAGTAATTTATATTGATATTATGTATTTTATGGGATTACATAATAATATACTATTATTAGTAACTACTTAATAATACTACTTAATACTGCTTAGTAATACCGTAATGCTATTATTAAGTAGTTAAGTAATAGTATTATTACGTAGTATAATAATTACTTAATAGTATTGTATAGTAATATAATAATTACTTAATAGTATTGTATAGTAATATAATAATACAGTATTGTATCACTATATGATAATATTATGTAGTATTACAGTATTATTGTATAATGTTTTAGCAGTTTAATGTAGTAGAGCAATAGTATTAATTATATATTAATAGCAAAATACTATTACAGTAGTATTGCATAACAATACACTGTACTGCTATACTATTGACAGGGTATATTGTAAATATAGTATAATAGAATGGTATAATTAGTATAGCATAGTATAATACAGTATAATATTCTATACTACATACTAGAATATTGTATACTATTATACTATATATACTGTACTATAGTATATAGTATTATATGTAGTATACTGTACTATAGTATAACAGTATATTTGCATGCTAATATAGTATAATATAACACTATTATGCTATAGTATACAAATAAATAATACTATATACTATACTAGTATAAACCAGTACTAAACTAATATAATACTATTACATGTACTACACAACTATTCTGTAGTATATCATTTAGTACTAGTTTATACCAGTTTAACTTATACTAGTATTATATTATACCATACTATTATACTATAGTATACAGTATATACCATCATAATGTATGTATACTATACATGTACTGTTATACTACATATTATATGATGTGGTATATGATGTAGTACTATATGTAGTACTATATGATGTAATATGATATAATTAATACTAGCAATATAGTATTAATATATTATACTACAATACATTATACCATACCATACTATACTAATATTTAACTAGTATTAGTATATTATATTAGGATAGTGAATTAGTTAATACCAATATTTAAATACATTTGCTACTACTAAACTTGGAAGTATTATAATATATGAAATGTTAAGCTAAATTTAGTACAATATACTTTTCAAAGATATACTTATACTTGTATAGCATATTAACAGTTACTATACTACTATAAATAATGTTACTATAAATACTACTATAAATAAATACTACTATAAATACTATACTACTATAAAAACTACTATAAATATACTACTCTAAGTTACTAATATACTACTCGCCAAATAATATTTGTCCTACGTATATTACTCTTCGTACAATATTTTTTCTGAAGATATCTTAATTATTCAATTTACAATTAACCTTAAATATACTGATAAATATATTCAATAAATACTATCTTATCTTGATATTAACTACAATTACATTCTTCATATCTCATCATCAACGAAATATGATACTCTTAAGTTTCACGTAACTCTAAGTTAACCTAACCTTCGCACTCCGGAGGCTCATCCTGTAATTTAATACAATTTGTATTATTTTCTAAATCAATAATTTTATACGTATGATATATAAACATACTGAAATACTAACAATTAGATATAACTGAAATAGTATTTTCAGTTTCTCATCAAACTTTTCAACCAAAAAATTTAACAACACGTCTGTAACAAAAATATCATAAAAAGCAAACTTAACTACTAAATTGAGTTAACTACAAAATTACTAAATAGCTAACTAAAAAGTACCTAAACTACTAAATACCTAATAATGCATACCTTATATTTCCTTATATTTCCACCAAAATAAAAAGCAAATTTAACTACTAAATTGAGTTAACTACAAAATTACTAAATACCTAACTAAAAAAATACCTAAACTTCTAAATACCTAATAAAGCATACCTTATATTTCCATCTACTATCAGTACTGAACAAGTAAATCATGTAATGATTTATAATTGCCCACAATGAACAAATAAGCCAACCATCAGTACAAAAATGAACAAATAAATTAAAGAAAATCGTACACATAAAGGCTACAAAACAGCGTATAAAGAAATAAAAAATCGCGTTCGTTGCCCTAGATAGACAAAAGTGTCTCATATAAACGGACTCATTCAAAGAACAATGCAGTCACTTTACCTGTTTTTGCTTATGGTGGTGCTAACTTCTCAGGATTGTGACGAATAATAGAATTGGCGCTATTAAAACCTATGCCCGTTACGTCTCAATGATTTGGGCTCAAGGTGACCAACTCGTATGGTGCATGCGTTACAAACCTATGAAAATGTGTACGGATATTTCTATCGAATATTTCAGCCGGCATAGTGTATACTAATCAGTGCGACTTTGGCTCTTTGTTTAATGGTAAACACTTAAACGCAGTGTAATTGCTTCGAATGTGTAAATGGTTGTTAATTAACGTGCGAATTTGTGATGCGTTGTTTCTGATAACCGGTGGCAATGGAATATAAATAAATATTAACGATATGTTCGTAATAAAAAAACTTGTTCAAATGATTAACTTTTAATTTAAAATTTTTACATATGAAAATAGTTCTGAAGTTAATTTGTTCGTTTAAATTCAATGGTTTTGTTAAATTTATTTATACTTAGGTATAAATTAGTTAAAATTATTTATACTTAGGTAACTTTTATTGAGTCATTTAAATTAGATTTATTGGGGATAAGTTTGTAAATTGATTAATTTCGTAACATTAGTGTTATTAGTTAATTACCAAAATGAAGAGGGTTAATTAATATTGCGATGGTAAGAAAAATTTTGCAGTTTAGAATTATTTATAAATTCTAAATTGATTTGTTAGTATAATTAAATGTTAGTTTCTAAATTTATTAGTTTATGAATTTTGTCGAATATTGGTATGAGTATTGACTTTGAGATGTTGAGACTTTGAGGTTTCAAGATTTTGACATTTTCAGATTTTGAGATTTCAAACTTTAAGATTTTGAGATTTTGAGATTTCAAACTTTGAGATTTTCAGATTTTGAGATTTCAGATTTTCAGATTTCAAATTTTGAGATTTTGAGATTTTGAGATTTGAAACTGAGATTTTCAGATTTTGAGATTTCAAACTTTAAGATTTTCAGATTTCAAACTTTGAGATTTTCAGATTTTGGGACTTTAAGATTTTTGGACTTTGAGATTTTGAAGTTTTGAGGTTTCAAGATTTTAACATTTTCAGATTTTCAGATTTCAAACTTTAAGATTTTGAGATTTCAAATTTTGAGATTTTGAGATTTGAAACTGAGATTTTCAGATTTTGAGATTTCAAATTTTGAGATTTTCAGATTTCAAACTTTAAGATTTTCAGATTTCAAACTGAGATTTTCAGATTTTGGGACTTTAAGATTTTTGGACTTTGAGATTTTGATGTTTTGAGACTTTGAGACTTTAAGATTTTGAGATTTTGAGACCTTAAAATTTTGAGATTTTGCTGTGTTAAGAAAAATTTTGCAGTTGGAAATTATGTCTAAATTCCAGACTGATTTGTTAGTATAAAATATTAGTTTCCAAATTTATTAGTTTATAAATTTTATTATCGCAATCATGAAATTAATTCAGATGGAAAGATAATTGAAAAGATATATAAGTTTCTAAATTAATTTATTAATTTCTATATGGAGTAATTATTGCTTTAGTTGCAAAAAGAGTTACAAAATATTCGATTTCTAAATTAATTCGTATATTAACATCCTAATACAACATTGACTTGAAATGAAAGGAAAATTACAATAATGTAAGAATTTCTAAATTAGTTAATTCATTTCAATTTTGTTGTCAACAGAAAACTAAAAATATAATTAAAATATTAAACAAATTTTTAAACTAATTTATTAATTCTGTCAATATTATTAATTATTATTACAAACACAGAAATAATATTAATTATTTCTTTAACTATAACAAAAATATAATACAAAAGGTTTGACATCTATTTGTCAATTATTTGAAGTAATCAAAATACTTCAATACTCGAAACAAAGAACAATAAAAGTGAATTTCAAAACCGAATAATCTGTTAATGTAATTATTCCAGTGTTGCAACTATTCAAGATCCCTTACGTAATTAATAATTCGTTAATTTCGTTAACACTATTTTGTTCAGCTCAGTAAGCAATCCAAACGCACGTGCAGCTGAATAATGAAGCTTTGTCTCGTAAGACACGAGATACTCATAAAGATACCATCAGCACTAGTATATTTACGATCAAGTGATTGTTAACAAGTATGTAAACGATTTTGTGCGGATAATTTATACGATAATTAACTCGATCTTGTAAATAACGTACACCATATGACGCAATACGGATTTACTGATTGATGTTATGCGTTCTAGACGCTTCAAAATTACTATATTTTGTGAAAAATTATAGCTCTTCCTCGTCGGTTCAATCATTGTTTTTCAAACACGTTCGTGGCATTCGTTTGAGTCATTCGCGTGAAATTAAATGAAAATATGAAATATATCAATTTTTATTGTGTTTAGTTAATTTAACTGAATATTGCACAACAAAAACATATTTATTTAACTTTAAATTAGATTTACTTTAAATTAAAAAGCTAGTCATCATTTTGGGAGCCATTTTGTTGGACCAGTCGCATCAAAATATATTCAAGTTTATTAAAACATTTTAAAACGTCAAAACAATATAACTGTTGTTAAAACATAGTCTAACGCAGTATTTTAAAATACGTATAATTTTTATTAGGTTCAATTTTGCGTTAGCTTAGTTTAAATTTCAGTTAACCTACTTCTGCTTTAAATACATTAACAGTTTCAGTATAGTCGGTTCAGTCGTTGGCGCCAAAATAAATACAAGTTTAGGTTAAATCTACACAACACAATATAGTTAAAAAAACAAATGTATTTAGCTCAAGTTTGAATTTCTTTTGAATTAAATTTGCTTTGAAATATATTTATGGTTTTAGTCTAGTTAACTTAGCCGAAGTCAGTGAAAGTTTCAGTTAGTTCTATGTAATTTAATACAGTATTTACTGCGAAATACATAAATATAGCTATTTAGGGTGATTTTGTACTATGTGTGGGTTAAGCTTGAATTACTCTAACATGGTATATATGAAATATCAAATTTAATGGTTTCAGTATAGTCGGTGCAGTCTTTCACGTTGAAATGTAATTTTTGAATTGACTGTAGGCTAATATTAAAGATAAAGTTAATATAAAGCCAAATTAATTGCATTGCAATTAGTTTTAAATTAAATTTGAATTAATTTAACGCAGTATCTATGGAATATCAAATTTAGTATAGTCGGTTTCAGTATAGCTTCAGTATAGTCGGTTCAATCTTTCGCATTGAAACGTAATTAAATTTGAGTTAACTGTACGTTAATATAAAAGATGTAGTTAATATAAAACAAAATTTGTTGCATTTCAATTAGTTTTATATTATATTTGATTTAATTTAAATTCAGTAGTTTCAGTATAGTCGGTTCAGTCTTCTGAGTTGAAATATAGCTAACGATAAGTTTGAATTAAATCTAGGTTAAATTTAATTAATGTAAAACAAAATGTATTGCATTTCAATAAGATTTGTGTTAAATTTAGATTAAGCAATGTCTATTTTAAAATACACTAATAGCTTTGGCATAGTCGGTTCAGCTTATACTGAAATGTACCAAAGTCTAAAAGATATAAGCTAAATTTAACCGATAAAAAAGCAATATTTCTTTCATTTTAATCAATTTTGTATTAAACTTGGGTTAACCTAACTTTTGAAGCAGTATCTACTTTAAAACACACTATTACCTCCGGCATAGTCGGTTCGGTCCGCACTGAAATATTTACAAGTTTAGATTGCTTTTGGGTTATATACGATCCAACTCATACAAACTCTATAACATACTTTCTGAATACAATAAACTACAAGTCTAAAATTTCACATTAATAATTTTTAAAAATAAAAATTAAAGATGGCACATTAAAATACAAATTGGTCCAAAAATTAATAAATAAATGCATACTTTTCTAAAAAAACATAAATTCCATAAATACGAACAAGCATCTTTTTCTTAAGAATTATCCCGAAGACTTATATAATTTTTTTAAAATTACATTCTAAGAAATGAATCATTTTAATGAATTATTTAAATATCTTTTCATTCTGCTTAATTAACGGAAATGTTTCAGCTTTAATTAAACTCGGGAATGTGTTTACCTTTATTTTCAGGACACAATGTTGAGCACAGCATTACAAAAAGTGCGATTCTTGTACAAACCATACGCATTAGCCATCGTTTCAATCGGATACGTGCTTGGAGAGCTAGGTCATTATTTAATTGGTAAGTGATGCATTTGATTCAGTCAATTATCCTTCCTCTTCCTCGATACGTCTTTAATTACCTTTGTAAACGAATATCGAAGTAATTAATACGTAAAAGCCATTAGTTCGCAATATTTACTCAGTTAACAAGTTTTAATATACATATATATTATATTTTAAATCAGATTCTTAACTGTGGAGCTGAATAAAAGTTTACTATTATTCAATACATATTATTACAATATATTTCTAAAATCGAGTGAAAATACCAAACAAAGTTATTAAACAATATATTATATCATTAATCTACGTTTGTTGCATAAATTATAATTCTACAGATACATGATGATGTTTACAAACATTATCAGTTTATTTATAAATATTGTAACAATTTATTTTTTATTATCATTATGAAAATTTTATAAATAGTTTAATAATTCTGTTATACACATAGGACATACATTATTAATGTATATTATTAACACGTTGGTTGACAACATTTCATTGCAAAATTAAGGAGAATTGAAAATTTTATTAGATACTGCTTTTAATTTTTGATAAATCCTATCTATTATTTTTACAGTATTTTTTACATTTACTATTCCCTTACATTTATTATTTTGAATAGTTAATATAAATATTTATAGTTAAGTCAGTGAACAAATTTTTGATAATAAAGTTGATAGATTTCTATGAAAATTTAAGCGTCAGCCATATTGCATCGATGTCGTCCGCTATATTGTAAGGACAAAGGTGTTAATACACTTATTAAATACACACATATAGTATGTGTTTTTAATACAATATATTAATGATATACTTCCTTGATATGTGTAACTGGATCATTTTCTAGTACACTCATTGTCAATGTAATTTTCTTATGATCGTTTTCAAGGTGTCACCAGCAAGGCAACTGCGGAGGATTTGCACTACGGTGACATTTCCTGCCAATTAAACTCAACCAGATATTCCCTCGCCGAGCTTCCGGTTCAATGCGAGGAAGCAACGAATGCAAGTTTGTAAGTTTCTTTGTTTACTTTATCACAAATGCAATTAAATGAACAAAAGGTATCTGCACACCACATCTCAGTCATACAGGTGATTAACTCTGTTACAAAAACTGAAATGTTGCTATTTATGGTTTATAAGTTTCTATTTACTTTTTGAACTATTACTATTTATTATTATTTATTTAAACAAGTTAATACTACTACTAGTTAATACTAGGTAATACTATTTATTACTATTTATTTAAACTATTTCTATTTACTATTTAAACTGGTTTAATATTTATAAACGGAAGTAATATTTGACAAATACTCATTTATACATATGTACACATAGGGAATGGGCCGAGGTAAATATTTACCTCGAAGCTGTCGCTCCAGCTTCTAAGCGCGCGTAAATCTCGCGCTCTGATTGGTCCATGCTTTTCCTTAATAATTCAAAAACGAAGCTTCAAACCACATTTTTGCAAAGGAAAATCTTGTTCAAAATGACGTCCTCTACCACCCCTTTCAGAGAGTTACACTAATTACGAGACACCATGTCTATTCAACTTAAGTACAAATGTTCATTTATTAATAGCTTATTTATTTATACATCCATTTATTTATTTATTTACATATTTATTTATGTATGTATTTACTCATTTGTTTGTTTATTTATTTATTCAGTTATTGATTTGTTGATACATTTATTTATTCATTTATTTATTTGTTCATTTACTTATTTATTTATTGATTTGTTTATTTCTTTGTTTATTCATTCAATTATTTCTTTATTTGTTCCTTTAATCATTCTTTTATTTACTTGTTTGTTTATTTATATATTCATTCATTCATTTATCTGTTTGTTTGTTTATTTGTTTATTTGCTTATGCATTTATTATAAAATCTCTTCAACTAGAATGTATTTTTCAAGAATATAAAACAAATGTATCTACGAACTTCATTGATTTATTTAAGAGTCGTAATGAAGACATTATGTGTATAGACGAGATATGGTAATGTCTAATTGTATATCACACAGTCAAAATAAAAATAGATAACATGTGGAAGGAGAAAAGACTATTTGACATTTATGTTCTTACTTACATTAATTTTATGCAAACATCTTCGGTTACGGTGGATAGAACTTTGTACTCGGATAATACTTATTTATCAATGCACATATATTCCTTGACATTTGAATAAAGTCTCGATGTATCTCTTGGTGCAACAAATGGGTGATAAGGAGAATCATGGAAATAGGAATAATGACGTAACGTTAATTTCCGAGCTCTCAAGTTTGCAAATTTCTATGTCCTTTTTCTAGATACGTTCTTTAATTTTCTAGATTTCTACATTCTCAAATTTTCAAGTTTCTATGTCCCCAAATTTTTAAATCTTTTGGACCCCAAATTTCAAAATTATCAAATTCTGAAATTTCCAAATTTCTGAGTTCTGAAATTTCAAAATTCCTAATTCTTCAAATTTTCAAATTTCTAATTCAAGTTTCTACATTTCCAAGTCCTCAAACTTCCAAATTTCAAATTTTCTGAATCTCCAAATTTCAAAATCTTTGAATCTGCAAATTTGCAAACAAGGTCTTCAAATTTCCAAATCTTTAAGATCGCAAACTTTTAAATTTCTCAATCTCTAAATTTACAAATTTCTAAGTTTTCAAGTTTTCGAATCATTAAATTCCTAAAATTTCTAAATTTTTAATTCCACAAATTTCCATAAGCTATACAATAAATTTCAATAATCATTTCAACACTGAATTTATACAAAGTAGAGTAAATTAGTATTCAATACTAGTACTATTTAGTAAATACGACTGAAATTTAGTAAATCAGAATTTATTTAAAATTCTGAAGACTTTTATATATACAAATACCAGTATTGTAGTAAATACAATTAAAATTTAATAAATTAAAATTTAGTAAATACAACTACTACTATTTAATAAATACAATTAGTATTTTATAGTATGCAATAAACCATAACTCACTTAAAATTAGAATTAAATAAACGTAACCAGTAACATTTAACAAACACAACTAAAAAAACCTCAGAATCTTCAAAACAGATCAAATTCATAAAAAACAAACAGTAAAGTCCTCGCAATATCGTTTTGGTTATTGGTACAAAGCGTGAGCATATTTACCACAAAGATCATTCAAATATTTCTTTCGGACGTAAAAAAAGATGTAGTTGTTCGTGTGACTCATGAATTTGTATTTCTATCGCGAAAATATCACGGCCCGAGTACTTTCACCGTACACAGAAGAAGCGAAAAAATAGATTCGTTCGTTTCACCTTCGATCAAATCAGTACCACCTGGTTGAAGGTATTTTGTTTCACAGTTGCGAGTCCCTGGAACTGAACGGATCCTACTACTGCGAATGGAACTACAATGGCCTTGGACTGGACTATCAAATCCTGGCTGGTCCCAGTTTTATCGCCGTGTTCACCGTCGTTGGTGTTTGCCTGGGCATTGCAGCTGACAAATACAACAGGTATGATTAACCCCTTAACTGCGTCCACTGTGACACGAGTTTAACAGCGTCTTACAAATCTGCAATACGTAAAGATGCAGTCATTATAAATAATTCTTCGATAAATCATAATATTTGATAACATAACATGGAGTTTGAAACGGTTAGCAGGTAAATTTAACTGAAATTCGTTTCACTCGTTTGGGTCGATCTCCAAATTTCATTTCATTCGAGTCAAATTTTGACCCCTTAACCCACAAGTTTTCAGCAGTCGCGTCAGTCAGAGCTACCTAATTATTACCGCAGAGTTAAGGTAAATAAAGAACGTTGAAATGTTAAGTGTATTTGGATTTAGCGATCTTCGATTATACAAATTACAATTGGTATCGAACTCAAAATTTGATATTTAGGCAAATACGATTTAGGTTTGTCACGTTTGAACTGTAACGTGCGTCACGAGTCTGACTTGATGTTATACGGGGTTAAATACACCCGCTAACCGTGGGTTTAGAGCACGACGTTAACTCCAAACATTCACTGTTCGTGTTCACCCATTGCACCCTTGTGACTCACACTTATCTTGTTTGATATAATTTGAAATATTTTTTAACCGAATGTATTATATATGTGGTGTGGGTTTGGGCTGATTCTTCATTGATCACTACGCTATTTTATAATTATATATGATATGTATATGTACGCAGGGTGCTATCTGTAACGCTATTCACGATTTTTCTCCCACTTGCAGTCACCTTATGAAATAAAGTTTAGAACATTTGTTTTCGAATATTTAGAATATTTGTAGGGTATGGAATATAATATGATATATGTAGATCGTACACTGATATATATTTATTCTTGACATTATTTTGTTAATTATAATGAACTTTTATTAACTTTAAACTTTTGTTAACTTTTGAATTATTATATAGGTACTAGTTTTGTTTATACAAGTTACATCTTCAGAAGTACATACATATGTTTAGCAACTGATAACAATCTGTAATCATGCCAATTAACAAATACCTTAATACAATAACGATCTTCAAAACAGTAAACAAATTACTTGTGACTTGTTTTGAACAGTACAATGATATAATTAAAATAAAATAATTGATGGTTACCAATGAAATGTGGACGATAATGAGTGCATTTACTTTACTGGGAAATTAATTTGCACATAATGCTGTATCTCAACCGAAACGTAAGTTACATAAATAATAAATTTGAATAACTTCATTGATCAAATATTCGATGTATATTTGTAAACGAAACACGTGTAGATTTAAGTACTCAGTGTATTTTTATAAATAAAGCACGTGTAGTACAGTTAAATATTAGTTTTATAAATGCAACACGTGTAAGCATTCCTACAAAAGTAAAAAACAAATATTAAAACGTAGTTATAGACAATTTTTAAACTTTGTTTGTACAAATTTTACTACGCGTTTATCGTAAAATACAAATAAAAGTTTTTAAGAGATTTGTTCTTTTTTAAAAGTAAGATTGAATGACAAAGAAATAGAAATGAAATAAAATATTTTTATAAAATAAGGATGACGTTTAACATACATTAAGTAACGTTACTAACCTAACCTTGTTGACTGTTTCAAATCTTTCAAATCTTTAGTTATACTTACAATATACTCAAAGAAATGGAAGTGAAACAAAATATTTTTATAAAATAAAGATGACGTTTAACATACATTAAGTAACATTACTAACCTAACCTTGTTGACTGTTTCAAATCTTTCAAATCTTTAGTTATACTTACAATATACTCAAAGAAATAAAAATGAAACAAAATATTTTTATAAAATAAGGATAACGTTTAAAATACATTAAATAACGTTATTAACCTAACCTTGTTGACTGTTTTTAATCTTTAATTATACGTATACGTTACTATCTATAATAATAATCTTAATTATATACAGTTTGATTGGCTTAATTGTAAATGGTGATTCGATGTTGTTTAAAGGTTAGTAATTAGAATCCATCGAACCACGCGCCATTTATAGACGTTAATTGTGTGAACTTAGAATGGAGAATAATATTGCATACCTTCTACATTTCGAGAAGGCATGACGAAAAATTGTAATTACGAAAAACAGGAAATGTTTTGAATAAGATTGTCGATTATGAAACATGTTATTCATACATGTTTCACGAGTTACAAGAATTTTGTGCTAAATATTTTCGTCAATTTCCGAGGCATTTTTATAATGATACGCTGGAGGCTTTTTAATTAATTGATAATAGGAAATTCAATTTCATATTCTTCAAATTCTCAATTTCATTTCCTTTAAATTCAATCAACTAATAATATTAGATTTCACTTCGTGTATATTGAAATGGTATCAAATTTAATGGAGACATTTTTAAATTGACGCAATATTAAAAATGTCATTGATGAATTCAATCAATTGATATTAGATTTATTTTCATATTTAAATTGAATCAAATGAAAATTATTATGTTTAATTTCATATGTATTTAAGTCCAATTAAATGATAATAACAATGAAATGAAAAATGTATAATAATATGTAATAACAATGTATGTATTACAATTAAATCAAATTGCATTATTGTATATAAATTCAATTGTACAACAATGTTAAAATTACTTAAATAATTGCATTTAAATTGAGTCAAATAATAATACTAAATATAATAGCTCAATTGTATTTAAATTCAGTCAAATAACAATATTAAATTTACTTAAATAATTACATTTAAATTCAGTCAAATAATAATATTAAATATAATAGCTCAATTGTAATTAAATTCAGTCAAATAACAATATTAAAATTAATAATTGCATTTAAATTGAGTCGAGTAATAATATTAAATTTAATCACATAAGTGTATATAAATTCAGTCGAATAACAATATTAAAAATTATACAAATAACAATATTACATTTATTCACACCATCATATTTAAATCTATCCAACACTAGTATCAAATTTAACTACACAATTATATTTAAATATAATCAAATAATACTATTTTAATTTCATACTTAAACTCAAATCAGAACATTGTTCGAATACTTCTGCAAACTGCCACAATATTGTGTCAACATTATTTTGCTTCATAACATTGCAACACGCTCATCATCTCGCTAGTAACAACTTTTTTCCTATCGTCAACTTTATAACTGACATTTCTTGTCGTATCGACCGTTACAAGTACTGTTACTTTTTATGAGGAAAATTGCCAGACTATTGTACGCCGCTAAGAAAACTATATATTTTATTACGTAACTACTTCTTACTCACTAATATCACGAGCTCCTTTCAAACAGAGTAATAACATTTGCATACAAAATTATAGAATGAATGAAATCACGTTTTTTTCTTCGTATTGTCAGTCTTCGTTCTTACTAACTTTGCAATGACGATGGACGGCTCAATTTTGACCTTCACTTACGACACGTGTGCACTCAGGTGCATTGTAGGTCTTTTTGTTACAAGGTTAGGTTCAGTCCTTATATTAGCCGTTGGTATAGTTTCTTGGAATCTTTCTAGGTTCTTTATAGAATATTTTTAGGATCTTCTTAGGTTCTTTATAGAATATTTCTAGAACTTTTCTAGGTTCTTTATAAAATATTTTTAGGACCTTTCTAGGCTCTCTATAGAATATTTCTAGAAACTTTCTAGATTCTTTATAGAATATTTATAGGACCTTCTTACGTTCTTTGTGGAATATTTCTAGGACCTTTCTAAGTTCCGTATAGCATATTTCTAGGATCTTTATTTATTATTTCTAAATTTTTTCTAGGTTTTTAATATAATATTTCTGGGGCTTTTCTAAGTTCTTTCTAGAATTTTTCTAGGTTCTTCTTGGATTTTTTTGTGTCGTGATTCTCCTAAAAATGATAGACCAAAGGTCCACAATTCTAAAATCCCAAAATTACAAAAATTCAGAGTCCGCAGAATATCAGAGTCCTAGAATCCAAAAATCTCAAAATCCCAAAATTCCAAATCACCAAACTGTCATAAATCCAAAATTAAAAAATCCCATACTCTCAAAATCCCAAAATCTAAAACTCCGAAAGTCCCGAAAATCCAAAATCTCAAAATCCACCATATTCCTCTCAAATTTATTCCAAATTCGAATTGCAATTCTTCGAGTATTTGACTGAAACAAATTAACCAATAGAAAAAGTTAATTAAACAATTCACTTAATTTACTCAGTTCATATATATAATGGAAATTTTATTTTGGTTTACAGAGTGAGGCTACTAACAGGTTGCACCCTGATATTCAGTATTGCCATTGTTCTAATGGGTGCAGTGAAAGAATACTGGCAACTAGTTATTTTACGTATGGTCCTAGCAGCAGGGTAAGTTCACTATTGTATGTACATATAGTATTTCAATTTCACACATTGATAAATAATATTTCAATTCCACACATTGATGCATAATATTTCGATTGTTTACACTGATATATAATATATCAATTCCATAAACTGACGTGTAGTATTTCAATTTCGCATGTTCATATATAATATTTCAATTCCACCCACTGATGTATAGTAGTCCAATTTCACATATTCATTTATAATATTTCACTTTTACACATTGATGTATAATATTTCAATTTTATACATTGATAAATAATATATCAATTTCTCCCACTGATGTATAGTAGTACAATTTCACACATTGATATGTAATATTTCAATTCCAGACATTGATATATAGTATTTCAATTTCATACCTTGATAAATAATATATCATTTCCACACATTGGTGTATTGCAGTTCAATTTCATATATTCATGTATAATATTTCAATTTTACACATTGATGTGTAGTATTCCAATAGTAGTAGTCCAATTTCACATATTCATATATTATATTTCAATTCCACACATTGATGTATAATATTTCAATTTTATACTTTGAGAAATAATATATCAATTTCTCCCACTGATGTATAGTAGTTCAATTTCACACATTGATATGTAATATTTCAATTCCAAACATTGATATATAGTATTTCAATTTCATACCTTGATAAATAATATATCATTTCCACACATTGGTGTATTGCAGTTCAATTTCATATATTCATGTATAATATTTCAATTTTACACATTGTTGTATAGTATTTCAATTTCACATATTGATATATAAATATAAATAAATTTATAAATATAAATTGTATACATTTAGGGAGGCAGGATGTAACCCTTTGGCAACGGGGTTACTTTCTGACTGGTTCGCAGAGGAGCAACGAGGACTTGTCATGTCGATATTCAATTGGGGAATTTATGGTGGTTATGGTATCGCGTTTCCTGTTGGACGTTATATACCACTTTTGAATATTGGAAATTTGGTACGTGTATAAATATATCGTATATTAGAAAGCATTATAGAAATATAATCAATTCTTTGAGAATTTAAAGATTTAGCAGTTTGAAAATTCGAAGATTTAAAATTTTTGTAGAAACATAATTAATTACTTGAGAATTTAGAAATTCGGAAATTTGACTATTCGAAAACGAAAGGATTTAAAATTTTGAAAATTCAACTTGAAAGTTTGCAAATTTAATTTTAAAATTTTAGTAATTCGAAGACGTGACAATTTAATAATTTGACAACATCTAAAATATAGTATTTGGAAACTAAATTACTTGTAAATTTAAAGACTTGTGGTTTATACATTTCACAATTTAGGAATTTGGAAATTTAGAATATTCACAATTTGAAAATTTAACTTGACATCGTAAGTAAATAAAATAAAAAGCTACATTGCACTTTATTTATAAAATTACTAAAAACTGACTAAAGCCTTATCGTTATACATGGAAACATAATTCCATCTAATCCAAAATCGGAAAAAAAAATTTCCAATCATTTATTTACGCACTGAAAGGTGAAAAGTTTTATTGCACTAAATAGATGTTAGAACTCAGATTCTATGAGAGAATCTCTCAGATTTACGAGACAATATCCCATAAACTGCGTTCTAAAAATAAAAATATTACCTTGATACCTGCATAAGGACTGGGTAGTCCTTTAGGACATAAAGTCCTATCCTTTTAAAACCCCTCGGCACAGAGCCGACCCAGCTTATTAACCACCCAGGTACGAAACCAATAGTGTCAACTGTATATAATTATTTTGAATAGTCCATAAAAATACTTCATTCTTTATTAAAATTTAAAAACTGGTCTTTAATTTAATGAAACGTTTTTCAATAACCATAAGTGTAACTGACACTAGCAATACATGTAAATTCACTAAATAAACTTTTAATATATTGTCAGATAAAGGAAAACGAATATATTAACAGAATACTTATTATAATTTTACTATAGTCACTATAATTTTGTTATAGTCTTATCTACTTATTTAAGGTGAAGTGGGGTAAGTTCGTAAACGGGGCAAGTGCGTATACAGGCTATTTTTATTACAATATAAGCGAAATTTCTCCATTTAGTATTTTTGTTTCCTTGTTTTGTTTCACTGTATCCCCTTTTATATTTCAGCTAAGAGTACTAGTTTGCAGTATAAAGTACTTGCATAATGCAGTAAAAAGAATTTTATAGCAGATTTGTTAATAATTCTGCTCTTACCCCATTGCACATGAAATAAAGTTTCAAAGTATTTAACTTCAAGTTACGCTCTTACCCCATTTTCGGGGAAAGTGCAGAGTAGTTGACATTTTAAACAATTTCCTATCAAAATCAAAATGTACAAGGAAAATTAAGGTCCTAGTTAATATTAATTAAATAGTAATAATTGTGCAAAGCGTTCGATATCGACAGCGTTAAGTATTTACATAGCAAACTGAAAATACTTACGTTTAAATACGAACTTTACGAAAACCAGTCTGCGCTTACCCCAATTCACCTTATTTATTATAGTTTGGCACAATGGTACTTGTTTCTAGATAAATAAATGAAACAAAGAAAGAACTTAATAATCAAAGAAGGTTTTATTATAAAAAAGAGAACCTCACCGATTTCAATGACCTTGAAATATATAAATAATTACCACGTTAAAAATATCTCTGAAATTTAAGCCAACATACAAAGGAAAATGAATAAGGAAAAAGTTGTACAAAATTCGTGACAATATAGTTCGAGGTCGTTAAAATCGGTAAAGTTTCCTCTTCAACGTGTATAATTATCGACCATTATTCGAATTAGTTAAAAGTGTACAATAAATGATTATCCACGTTTGGAAACGTCCTTTTACGTCGGAAACGGTCTCCAAAAATGTCTATAGAGTTCGTCATAAACCTAACAGAACCTAACTGTAGCCGTCCTTCCACAGATTTGTCGTAAATAGCCTAAGTTTTGGAAATTTGTTTGAACAGGGATGGAGAGCGTGTTACTACGGAGCTGGCATAATCGGACTGATCGTGGCTGTTTTTACCTTTACTCTTTCGGAACCAACGAGAAAATCGATCGGCGAAGAGGAAACAAACGCCGACGGGAAGAAAATACCTGTGTGGAAAGTGATCCTGCAGCCGAGGATTATACTTTTATGCCTGGCCGCCAGCATCAGACATTGCGGTAAAGGGCAATACCTTGACGCAAAGGATTGAAATACGTTCGAAGGGTATATTAGCGTCCACATGGCTGGTTAATTCCAGCAAAATTTATATCTATTGCAAGAAATATTCGATTTCGGTAGTTTCCAACATTTTATGACGAGACTTTAGGGAGTGAACTGTGTACCGAAGAAAGATTTCCTCAGCATTTTGACAACGTTTTTATTTGTGGGTGTAATTGTGGCATCAAAGATAACTTAACTTATCAGATATTTTTATTTGTCGGTGTAATTGTAACATCAAAGGTAACCTAGCTTATCGGAAATTTTTATTTGTGGGTGTAATTGTGGCAACAACGATAGACTAACTCAACAAGAGTTTTTATTTGTTAGTACAATTGTGGCACCAAAGGCAGTCTAATTTATTAAAAATGTTTATTTGTCAGTGCAAATATGGCATCAAAGGTATCCTAACTTATCAGAAATGTTTATTTGTCAGTGTAACTGTGGCATTAAAAGTAGCCTAACTTATGAGAAATTTTTATTTGTCAGCGTAGTTACGGAATCAAATATTATAGCTTTACTTATCAGAAATTACCAGAGCTTGTTGAACGGCACAAACCCCTTCATTTATTTAATGAAAACTTTGTAATTAAACAGTTTGCTGAATTGACTGAGGATTACTATGTTCCTATTATTAATTTTTACTATTGAATGCTTCATAATGTTTGTGAGTAGCGTTACAGGTGACACCTTGTATATACATACATACAAGCTTCAAACCCCATTTTTGCAAAGGGAAATCTTGCTTAGAATCACGTTCTCTACCACCCCTTACCGGGAGTTACACGAGTTATGAAACAACCTGTATAATACATAATCATAAAATATCGTAGTAGTCAATGAAGGATCAGCCCAAACCTACACCCCATGTATAATAGATTCAGTTAAAAAATATTTCAAATTGTATCAAACAAGATAAGTGTGAGTCACAAAGATGCAATAGGTTAACACGAACAGCGAATGTTTGGAGTTAACGTCGTGCTCTAAACCCCGTATTTAACCCCGTATAACATCAAGTCAGACTCGTGACGCACGTTACAGTTCAAACGTGACAAACCTAAATCGTATTTGCCTAAATATCAAATTTTGAGTTCGATACCAATTGTAATTTGTATAATCGAAGATCGCTAAATCCAAATACACTTAACATTTCAACGTTCTTTATTTACCTTAACTCTGCGGTAATAATTAGGTAGCTCTGACTGACGCGACTGCTGAAAACTTGTGGGTTAAGGGGTCAAAATTAATTTGACTCGAATGAAATGAAATTTGGAGATCGACCCGCTAACCCTTTCAAACATTATGTTATCAAATATTATAATTTATCAAAGAATTATTTATAATGAACGACTGCATCGTTTAATACGTATTGTAGATTTCTAAGACGCTGTTAAACTCGTGTCACTGTTACGGATGCAGGAATTTACTAATGACCTTGACTTTGACTTTGAATGTTAAATGTATGCATACTCGGGAAGTGCTAAACACGTGCAGCTTTTAAATAAATACACTAAAGAAAAGTGTTGTAATTTTACCGTGCGTAAGTGTCATACATGATTACTGTGTACACGTTTCGTATTCAAGGCCACTTTAAAAATACCTCTTTAAAAAGTATTACAATTTTAAATAAATTTCATGCGCCTTATGACGTCAGTATTGGCGATTAATGATATTTTTTGTACACTAGTGTTAGCGATTTGTGACACAAATGAAACTCAGAAGTTTTTGTTTTTTAAGGTGATCTTTAGATCATATGTTAAACTTTATGTAAGGAGAAATCTTCTTGACCTTTTTGTTTTGGTTAGATTTAGCTATTTAAATTTTTCATCGACTAGAATTGAGACTGAAAAATAACAGAATTAAAAAATTTCGAAGTTTCAAAGTTCTGCAGTTATAGGGTGCCAAGGCTTTCACTACACTACTCATAAGTTAATGCTGGAAATCTCAAAATTTCAAATTTTCAAAATCCCAAAACTTCAACGTTTCAAAGTTTCTAAATTCCAATGTAGCAAAGTTTCAAATTCTCAAAGTCTCAAAACTGCAACACCCAAAAACTCCACCATTTCAAACTTTTCAAGTTCCCCAGTCCTAAATTCTCAAAATCCTAAAATCCCAAAACCCCAAAATTCTAACGTTCCCAAAACGTCTCAAAACTCCACCATGTTAAAGTTCCTAAATTCTTCAGTTCTAAAGTCCCAAAATCACAAAATTCCAAACTTACAAAGTCTCAAAATCTCAAAACTCTTCCTAAACTAAAACTAAATGTTCAAAAGCCCCCAGATCCTTAAACTTAAAAGTTACAAAACCCTGAACTCCAAAATTCCAAGATCTCAAAATTATAAAACTCTAGACTCTCCCTGTCTCTCCCTGACTCTCCCTGGCTCTCCCTAGCTTTCCCTGGCTCTCCCTCAATTTCAATTCCTAAAACTTAAACCCAATAACATATTAATCCTCTCATACTATTTCCTCGTCAGACAAACTTAAATTATACCCAAACCTAACAACCTTCAAGCACAAAGATGTAAAATTTTACTTAAATTCACAATGTTGATAAAATCTTTCTTCGTGAACATTACATATGCAATATGTAATTTATCCCACAACAAATAAAATTTTCCAATTGTTATTGCCACTCTAAGACAATATATTTTATTCTTTTTCAGGCGGTATGTGTTTCGCCTACAACTGTGACCTCTACTACAGGGAGTACTTTCCTGACTATGATCTAGGATGGTGGTTATTCGCCGTGACCATAGTAATCGGCAGCATCGGTGTCGTGGTAGGCGGAGTAGTCAGCGACAAATTCGTAGCAAAAATGGGCATCAGATCTCGAGTGGCGTGTTTAGCCATAAGTCAAATAATCGCGACGCCATTTGCATTTGGTTCAGTGTATTTCAATCCTCTGTGGGCGATGATCACTCTCGGTATTTCTTATTTCTTTGGTAAGCAAAGTACACACCTTTGAGTACATAATAAACAAACTAACAGATTATGAGTATATAATGAACAAAATAAAAGAGAAACCTTCCAGTACATAACAAGCAAACTATCAGATTATGAATATATAATGAACAAAATAAAAAAAGTATACAAGGACTTTGAATACACAATGTAAGTCAAGAAATGTCATCGGGCCAGAGAAAATATTTGTATGAGTCCGAAATACAAATTGTAGAATGATGACCAAATCTCTGTGAATTTTAGACTTGGAGAGTTTTATCCTCTCTTTGTCTTGTCTTTTGTTGATTTATGTACAGATGACAACCCACGAATTGGCGCGTGATCGACTTAAAGTAAAAGAAGCCCCTCTGCGTTAGATACAGGCAAATAAGAATAATAATGCCAATAGCAGCTGCTGAATACAAGTAGCACTATCTCGCTCACTTGAGAGAAGTTTCAAGACGGTCATTGTTTTTCACCCAATTCGTGACCGCAAGAGTCAATTGTACAACCCCCGAAAATAAGTGAATCTGGGCGTCCATTTTTCTATTCTGACCAATTGTGTCTCCTCTAAACACGTCAGCTTCTTCACGCGCCAACTCGTGGGTTGACATCGGTACATGTACTCCTATTTTATTTATAGGTAATATTTTGTTTATGATTGCAGCCGAGATGTGGTTCGGAATCGTGTTTGCGGTAGTCGTGGAAATAGTGCCGCTGCATTTGAGGTCGACCACGATTGGCGCCTTTTTGTTCGTAATGAACAATATCGGTGGAAACTTGCCAATATTGGTCGAGCCGACCAGAATGGCCATCGGTTTTCGAGGGTCCCTGTATATTTTCTATGCTGGCTTTTATGGCATTAGTAAGTGATCAAACAATCCGATAAGAGGTATCATCTGCTACCGAGTATCGGCAAATGATATCTAATTTACTCTTTCCAGTCTATCTTTAATCACAAGTACACTATGCGCCAAAAGTATGAGGCTATTCAATAAAGCAAGTGATATTTTTTCAAATTAAACTTTTAACAATTTGAAACAAGTAATTTGTTATTGACTTAAAATTAATTTATATTTAATTCACAAATATGGCAGCCATTTTGTTATGCCAAAAATGTGGTAGCCCGCCATTTTTGTTTCTTTTATTCCCTCATTCGAATTTTAGACTCTATTCATGACTTTGTTGTTGTTCTTTTGAATTAAACTTGATATTATACTTTTAAATTAAACTTGATGTTACACTTTTGAATTAAACTTGATACCTTTAGATTAAACTTGATGCCATACCTTTAGACTAAACTTGATATGCTAGTTTTCGGTTAGAGTTGACACTTTTAAATTGGGGTTGAAGTTCATATTTTCATATCAAAACTGATACTTTAATTTGATATTAGAGTTAATGCTATACTTCCAAGATAAAATTAGTGTCGATACTTTGAGGTTTCAGTTGAAGTCATGCTTTGAGGTTAGAGTTGATGCCACACTTTTAAGGATTGATGTTCATACTTTCACATTAAAACTGATACTATAGTTTGTTCTTAGAATTGATGCCATACAATTTACATAAAATTGATGTCTACACTTTGATGTTTGAGTTGAAGTCATGATTTTAAATTAGAGTTGATACTACAATTTCATATTACTATAAACGCCATACTTTTTGGTCAAAATTAAAGTCACACTTTTGGCCAGCAGTGTACATACGAAATTCCTGGTAACTTATCAATGAACATTTATTTTTAATAGGTTCCATAATGTTCTTCTTGACGATGTTCCTAATGGAGGGCGCTAAAGGAGAATCAAAGAATACAGAATCCGTGATCAATGCCAAACCAGAGTTTGGATACGATAATACCACGTTCACAACTGACGATGGACGTGTTCCAACCATAGAACTTCCACGACTGTACCCACCACCTCCACATCGTTTCGAGAATTCTAGGTTATAAGTTAGGAGAATACCATTTCCAACAATCGCATGTAAATAGCAATTTATCCATGCAAATCTATCCATGACAGCAAATTCAATTCTTCTCAACTACGTTTTTAAAACAATTTTTTATATACTGTACGCTGTTAGTTAAAACTGAAAGAAATCCTGATGTTCCGTGGATCAAGAATTGTGAACCCCCGATATAATCAATACCTGATAAATCACTTATTTAACTATATAGAATGTTTATTAGGTTGTATTTTAGCAACTGTAAAATTTGATTTAAGATATTATAATTGTTATGTAAAATACAGAGTTTAATGATCATTTTTGCTAAAGAAAAATAAGATTTAATAAATTATACAAGGACCGGGGTTCACACGAGCGATTCTCAAACGTTGTACAATTTTCTGACATAAAAAAACGTAAAGTACAATTATTTTGTATAAAACCTCGTAATTTAATATTGAAGAATAATAAATTGTAATTGTGATTGGTAAAGGCGAATCGATAAGTCAATATTATTGTTATCGTATATTAAAAACAGCCTGTTTATACATGTACATGTGTCTTCGCAGATATACAAAAATATACGTTCGAACAAATAGTCTCATCAACGTAATCCTAGCGAGATTGTAAAACTCTTCGACAGCCATAATACTGGCACTATTTGAGACACTTTAGTTTAATTTGTTACCCCGCTATGTCTTGATGAGGACTACATTACTCACACATACACACACAAGACGCATCCACTGTGTAACATGTGATACACAATAAAATCGATACCAAGATTCATCATCAAATCACGACGTATATGTACAGATTATTTAATATAAATAAAAAAAGAAAAAGTATCCTTTATTTGTAATGTACAAAATAGATAGCGATGGAGGAGGAAGATGATAGCATCCTTGACACTTCAAGGTACAAGATCTGTCATGAAAGATACGTTGTGTACATATTTACATTATTCGACATACTTGTAAAAAAAAATACTTTGATAGGTATGTATCAATAAATAGCTTATTCAAGTGTTGCTATGTTGAAAGTTAGTCTCGTGGTTGTTCGTACGATTATACACGTCGTTTCAAAAAACGTACACCATACAAAAAGTTGTAAATTCTTTATATTAAACAAAAATGTATCAAATTATAAAATATGTAGGATGTTTCATTTTTGAGTCCTTCTATAACACAGTATTTTAGTCCTTACAATTATTAAAAAATAATGATATAGATTTTTTAAATAACTACAAAAACTTTCATGGAAACATGAAAATTTACTTCTCACTCTAATGGCTGTTCCAAGAGTGGTGCCTCAAAAATGAAACGCCCAGTGTCCAACAGCTTATATCTATAAAACAAACGACAGACGGTAAAAGATCTTTCGATTTCGTTTAATACAAAGTATCCACACCAGAAGTTTCAGTGGTGCACATTATTTTTGAGACGACCTGTATAATTCCGTTGCTCCATAAATGCTACGGTGCAAAACTGATATCACCGCAAAAACAGCCTCATCGACATCGACTAATAAACCTAACGGATATGTAATTTAATACTAATCAAGTTTCATCGAAAAAAGTATAAGCTTGTTTCACACAAAATTAATCTGTGTATTAAAAAGAAACAAGAACCGTAAGTATATAATCGCACAACCACTTTTTGTTTGCTGTTCCTTATTAACAGACCTGACAAACGAGCTATTTAACATTCATCTGAGTGTCATCGTGTTTTATACCTAATTAAATTGTCATGTTCGCGCGTGCAGAAAAAGATAATGATCTTTGGAGGCAATTCGTCTTCGCATCTGTTTGTTTAACGACTCAGTTTTGACCGGTTCATTTGCTTGTTAACGATGAACAAGGTGAAACTGAATGGTCGCGCACTTTGCAAATGCAAAAACACAGACTTGGCAGCCACTCTCTTTGTCTCTGTCAATGGAATCAGAGTCAAAGACTGTCTGCCATCGGTTCAAATGCATCTGAAAATAGTTGTGACGTCCGCTAAGATCACAAAAGTGACCTTCAGTAGATTTGGTTACAATGATTGTAACCGAAATATCGTGGCCAGATAACTATCTTCTCCTATCAAACTTTTTCTCGTTCAAATAATAAATAGTTGATTTTTGGATACAGAGTGCATCTTTGGTACTTAATTTTTTAACAAACCGTACATTAAAGGACAATTAAGTATCATAAAGATCTTTTAAAAAAAAATAAAAGATGAAGTAAGTATTCGTACGTTACTGGGATAGTGTTAGGTTGTTGCAAATATGAGAGTTCATTGTTTAAAATTATACTCTTCAGTAGATCATTTGAGCCGTGGAATGTCTTGATTTAAATTTGTAAATTTTAATCTGAATCATTGTCCGCTGCAAATAGCAGTCAGCCATTTTGTATTCAGAATATTAATGCAGTGCATACAATGGGGCGTAATTGGTAAACTTTAAATTTCAAGTTGGTATAGCACAAGTGCCATTTTGTAATATTTTTATGTCATGAATTTGTGTCAGACTTTATATGTTTAGAAATCCATCATCATTCGCTCTAATTGGCAAGCGGCCATTTTCTATTAAGAACATTAATAAAAGCTCGATGCACTCATCTTCATTAAACCTGAAGCTTAAAACTGGTGTGCAGTGAGTGCCATTTTGTAATACTTCCATGTCACGAATTTATGCCAGATTTAATATGTTTAGAAATCCATCATCATTTGCTCTAATTGGCAAGCAGCCATTTTCTATTAAGAACCCTAATAAAGGCCTTACACAATCATCTTTATGAAACTTGAAGTCTAAAATTGGTGTATCACAAGTGCCACTTTTATACCCTAAATTTATGTCAGATTTTAGTGTTTCAAAATTCATCATCGTCTGGATTTTGCAATGTCTGGCAAGCAGCCAATTTCTATTAAGAACATTAATGAAGACTTTTCGCAGTCTTCGTCGAACTTGAAACCAAACATTGATGTACCGTAAATGCATATTTTACAATACTAACGAACTCTAATGCGCAACAACCTAACAGTACCTTCCTTTACAATTCTTAAAGTAAAAAAGAATCTACATCAAATTGTTGTATCCAAACAACCCTATCGAATGCTTCCTACCTAACCTCAAGTACTCACGCAGCAACCTGAATATTTCTGTAAATATTCGAGGCATCGAAGCATCATTTGGTATCTTCTTAAGTAACGAACAGCAATTTATCGCCGATTAAGTATAGAGCAAACATCGTGTCAGGAACATTAAACGTTTATGCGTCAACATTCGTCTGTCGAGGTGCTGGAAATCTGTGTGCTGGCACCACTGGAGAAGCTGCTCCTGCACGTCTCAACAGCCAACGCAGTGTCCGGCACTTGAACAAACTGAACCTTTTCTTTAGGCCATCTATTCCTCCCGTAAACGCAATTAAATATATTATACTTGTGGTCCATATCGAAATGACTCAAGGTGCTGCTGTGCCTCCTCTTCAGCACTTTCTTCGCCATCAGGCTCCTGTTGTTCTTGTAGGAGAGCTCTTTGCGGAAGCAGAAGAACCGTCTCAGCTCTCGTTTGACCCTCTTGGAGCGATAGCCGAACAGCAGAGGGCTGATGTACGCGGCCAAGATCAGAAAACTTGAGGCCAGCACGTCGTACTTGTGAGGCACGTGTTGGCCAACAGACCGAGGCAAATTCTTCATCAGCAGAAGTATCACGTATGGCGACCAACAAATCAAACCCATCACTATGACCACGGCACTGATTCGAGCCGCCCTGGCCTCTTCTCGGTGCCTAAATATAGATCCATTGCTGATTCGATCTTTCAGGGAATTTATATAACTTGAGGTACTCCTCACACTCGCCACCCGTTGCAGGCCTTCATTCTTGTTCGTTGCCGGCGTGATGGTTACTATAGGGGTCAAAAGAGAGGACGATGACTCTGCTGTACCGCTACAGGTGGCGGGGTCCCGTTCAGTCTTGTTCTCGGACAGATTACCCGCTTCCACATCCATAAACGTGGTCGACAGTCTACGATGAGGCCTTCCGTCAGAGGGATTCCGCAAAATCCCAGAGTCACCAAGTCGCTGGTTAATTTTTGGATCCCCTGTGTCATCCTCTTTATTATTCTGGACAGCCTCAACGGCTTCTGAAGATACTTTTTTGTCCAACGAATTAAGGCACTCGAGGGGGACCTCGTCCTCTGAGTCGCTGTTTTCATCGGTGACGAAACTCCCCGCCTGAGATTTCCCTGTTTGGTCCACTACTTGAGATTCCTCCTTCGTCTCCGAATAGCTGGAGCCTCGAGGAGATACCTGAAGCGGCTGCAGTCCTAGTGTGAACATGATTCCCGAGGGAGCTTGCTCGTCGGCCTGCATTGAAGTCACGTCCACTTCCAACGCGGACGAGAAAGAACGTCTCCTGGATCCTTGACCTGGTGGCTGCATGGTCTCGCTGGTCTCGTCGATCGACGACAGGCTGGATATTTTTGGTAGCTTACGAAAGTCTTCGATGGTGTCTGTTTGTAAACGCTGAAGTCTGGTCGGACCGTTCTGTTCCTCGCTGAAGCTTGCGGAGGACAATATCGGTCTAGACCCACTTTTTCTAGTCCTCACAGAATTCCGATGCGCGGCCACGAAGATGCTGACATAGATCCAACAGACGGCCACAAAGGGGATGAAATAAACGAAGACGCTGTACACGATAGCGTAGACGAAGCCGTAAGTAATGGCGCCGTCCTCAAACGCATACCCCGCGTCAGTGGCGTTCAGCTCTTCAATTCGCGTGCCCTTTATAGGACTTTCGCTAGTAAAATTATGACTTCCGGAATTGCAAACCAGCCAGAGACTCTGAGGATTCGGGTTGAAGAACGCGAGAAAACCGAACACTATGGAGATCAGCCAAATGGACATAATCAAAATCCCAGCCTTAAGCTTGTCCACTCGTGCCCGATAACGTAATGGATCCACCACGGCGAAATATTGATCCACCGCGATCAACAGCACCGACAGCACGGAGGATGTTGTCACGATGGCGACCGCACCTTCCGATATCGTGCAGATGCTACCTATGGACGTAGAATCGACTATAGGCGCGGTAGAGGCTGCGTCCATGATCAATAACGGGATCATGGTGGCGCATACCAGCAGGTTTGACACGGTTAAGTTCATGACAAACCTGAAATCAAAATTAACGTGCCGATTAGTGTGATGTGTGGGAGGTTTGCTTTTGATGAAATAGTTCAAGGACTTTACGTGGGATCTGATATGGAAGCTTTAACTTATCGAGGATATAACACGACTATAGAGGCCACACAGAATATAGTCCATAGAGATTAGTATGTGATATTTAAAGATTATGGAGGACATGTAGACACTATATAATTATAGAGATGTAAAGGATGACTATATGTAGAATCAGAGGATATACAGTATAGAGGTCATATAAATAATGTGAAAGGACTGTAAAGGGTATATAGCAACATATAGCAACATATAGGGTATATAGCAACATTAGGGGACATATGAGCCCTGGAGAAGGTATACAAAAATTATATGAAATTCAGGTTATAGATAACGTATAGAGGTTATAGAGAGTACAGAAAAGTTACAGCAAAGATTATAGCAAACATATAGCATTATAGAAGAAACATGAATAGAACTATACTATAATGGTACTATAATGATTTGTAAAAAGTGGTGAGTACAATTAGTTTGTAGAAAGCTATGGATTTTTGAAATGATCTGATAGAGCATCATTATATGATTTTTTAAACAAAATTTTCAATTAACCTGTTGGAAATGGTGCGCAATGAAGGGCGTATAAGAAACGCCAATAAGAGAATGACGTTTAGAACGAAACATCCGAAAAGGACGAAACTCCAAGCCACGATCCCTTGATTATCCCACCATCCTTCTAGATCTCCCAGATCTGAGATAGATCCTTCTTCGACGATGTCTGGCGAATCTCCAACCATTCATGTATAATGAATGTAACACAATTCTGAAACAATCGTAACAAGCAATTTATGAACATTTATTTTACAACAAATTTATTTTGTCGAATAACACGTGTAAAAATCACGACTGCAGTTGTAAAGTTAACTTCAAATTTTGTTAACAAAGTTATTTATTATTGGAGCAAGAAACGTGAAACACGAACATTTAATTTAGTGTTTATTTTACATCATACTCTATTTTTACTCGCAAATTGTTCGCTTCGACTTGTTTCACATTTTATATGTACAGTAAGGGTATTTTTAGACAACTTTTAAACGCAAAACTAACATTTTGTCCTTTGCTATTTCTATCTTATTCAAGAAGAACCTTGAAAAATATAAATTCACTCAAGCGTTCATAACCGTCAGGTTTAGTTTTCCTCGAATTGTTGCAAAATTCAAAACATGCACTCCTACGTTCCAACTACATATGTACCTATGTTAAAGAACGTATTGTTTCATTTAACCGAACAATTTATTATTCGACGCACAACTGACAGCGTTTTATCACTCTTTGTTAAGTAAAAAAAAAACAACAGAAGCAAAATATTTCTGAATAACATCCAGAAGCAAATACGATTGTTTTGGTTCCACAAATTTTACGATTTTTTCAACTGGGACACTGTTCCTTTCGAAATAATAAAAGTGTATTTTCGTAGTTATTTTCGTTAAATTTTAAGCTTCGCAGTAATGTGCCATAAACGGTACTTTGCGATACTTTTCTGTCATGAAATTATTAGACTTTAGTTTCTTAATAGACATCCTACGATTTACCGTAACCTATACATTGCGGTAAAAGTGATAGTCAGTTATTTTGTGTTATGAATATTAATGAGGCGCTGATGTAGCCAGCTTCAACGGACTTTAAAGTTTACGCTGATATGCTATAACTGTCATTTTGTGAAACTTTTCTGTCATGAAATTGCGCCAGACGTGTTTCCAAATCTATCGTCGGTTGGTGTAGCTCAGTGTTGTTACTGGCAACCGTCCATTTTGCACGAAACAGTACAACAATGCATTTATGTAGTGATTTTCGTGCACATTTAAACTTTAAATTAGCGTGTCACACGTGTCATTTTGTAATATTTTTCTGTCATGAAATCCCGTTAGTATAATAGAGTACATTTTGTTATAGTCAGATTGCTTTGAGGCCGATGACCAGCCATTTTGTGTTACGAATATTAATTAATCGCTAATGTAGTCGTTTTCAGTAGACTCTGAACTTTACATTCATATACCAT